ACAGTTGAAAAGCATATGTTTTTACAACCGCCAGTATTGGAACCAACATTGTTGGCGCGTTATTGTTTGCCGCTTGGTTCGATCAATATTTTATGCTTGATCGGGTGTGAGTTGCCTTTTTCTTTTTTATTATTTCGCTTTGTTATTAATTCTCTCATATTTGGTCGAGCATGGTCGCTCGTCTTTCTATCTCTTTGTTATTAATCGTGCGCCGTCCCACTCCAGGCCGAGCATGATCTCCTTTGTTATATCTTCTTTTATATTTATCATTCTCTCACTTCTGGCCGACGTTGAGTCACTATTCATCATTCTCTCTCTTTATTATATATTTCCGCCGTTTATCTTGCCTTCAGGTTTGGCGTAATGCTTGCGTATACAGGACAGGCGTATTAACTATAAATAATAACCGATCCTGCAGCTGGTTTACGGTAATTTTCCGCGATATTGGCATTATTATTATGATGTATGGCACATGCGTGTAGATATGTTCAGTTTCATTGTTTGAAATATAAGCGAGGCAGTTTTGGTAGTTAGATTTTCGTATTTTTCGCGTTCTTCGTTGAAAATCATCCAATAATTTTGAATTTATTCTTCAATAATAATATTATCACTTGATATGTTGTTAAGATGTATGGCACAGACATGTTGATGTGGTTAGCATGACAGTTTGTTATGTATTTATTAAGTTTCGGTTCACAATATTCCGCGATGTGTAGAAATTCATCGGATAAACGTTATATTCATAAACGTTATAATTACTCGTATTTGTTGTCATATTCGTGTAGATATTTTTGCAGTTTGGAATATAATTGTAAGGATGAGACGAAGTTAGATTATTATATTTCACGACGGTGTATAGAAATTTATATTCAATGCAGATATAATTTCTTGTATTTGTTGCTAATATGTATGGAAATTTGCGTGGATATGTTTAGTTTTATGTTTGTATTTCGCGACGCTTTTAAGAATTCATCCAATATTCATCTCCAATGAGAATGTAATTACTCATGATTAATCCTAACGCCAACTAATCTACATTTCTGTCTAAGCTTAAATGTATGCACTCAAAAATATATGCCGCCATAATTGGCAGAGCATGTTATTTTCGTTTGTTATAGAAGTATTGATTGATTGAGTCATCCCCGACTGCCATTTCTGAATTATGATTGGTTCACGCTAGATGTGGCTTTTCTCTTTTGTCCATATTTGGCAACGCTTGCCAGTCAAGCTCGAGACTTATTGTTTAGGATTGTCATGATTGGCTCACGCTTGGGTGACAATGGATGAGAAAAAGGCAAATTATCTCTCTCCCGTAATTGACCGTCTGTGCCTGAAGGGAAATCAAAAAATTAATTGCCATATGTGGCCAAGTAACTTTTAGCTTGGATAATTTAAGTTTTGATTTTGTGTTAGGAATAACTGTAATGGAGTTTTATGGGCCTCCACTGAAGTTGTACACAATTTATGTTATCAGAAATAAATAGGTTTTGTCTTGATTTGTTTTGTTCAAGTATACAGAGTTCTCATATTTTTGGCCATTGGACTCTAGGAGAAGGATTTTATATTAAAACAAAACAGAAAGCTGATTTTGGTGGATGTATATAGGATGAATTTGAAAGCTATATTCCTATTTTCACTTCCTCAGTTTCAAGTGGTTATGATGTGGTATGATTTGATAGAAATATTAGTGTTTATAAAATCTCAATATTTGTTTGTGATATGCTTTCATTTTTTCCTTGTTTTCAAGTTACCGTATGTCAGATTATCTTATTTGTGTCATTAATATATTGGGAATATGAATAATGGGGTTTTGCTTACATTCCAAAATCTTTATAAATGTGCATTGATTCATGCAACTTCCCATATCAAACTTAACTTAATTTAGACCGGGTGAAGGATTCGAAATATGTATCACATACATTGCTCAGTTTAAAGTGATTTAGGATGTGCTTAGGATCTTCGACTGGAAAGTTTTGAGGAAGGAAGTATTTGAAATCATTCGATATCTTGCATATCTTTCATTCGGCCATCATCAGTAAAATCTCAAATTCAGTTTAATGTTTATTTCCAATGCATTAAAAATGTTTGGTGTTGCTGAACATGCTTGATAGATTCATTGTGCTGTTGTGAAGGCATGTGACTAGACATGAAAAGACTTTGTCATGTTGAGTCATCATATGCTTATGCCTGTTTGGATTAGGCCATAATTTTATTCAGATTTTCCTTATTTTAGTTCTATTACGAGACCGAGTTCGAGGAATGTCTGTGTTAGCCCATAGGTTTCAGTCCCTTTACACAACTTAAAAATAGGCGAACAAAATCAGTTGCCTCCATATTGGTACTCATATTTCTGAAGCCCCCAACGTTTTATATTTGCTGCTATTATTCAGAAAAACAATACAATTTGCTTGGGAAATGGAGAGATTGGTTTTTGTCCAGCCATGGATGCAAGGCATTTTTATTATCCATAGAAAGAAGTTAAGCTTGATTCCATGCATGCTTCACAAACATGAAGTATACATGGTGTGCAAAAAGGTTCGCATGATTTTTTAGTAATAACAATTAAAAATTGCTTTTGTCTTTGTTTATTAATAGTTCTTATTGTCCTTGGGGTTCTCATTTATCATACAATAAAATTTATTTAAACTTACAATTGTTACTACTCTGAAATCGGGCGAATTTTTTTCGACACACTGTATATACATTATATGCTTGAAATTATATAGTTATATATAATACATATAGTTATATACGTCTCATTATTATATTTCTATTCTTTTTAAATTAGTCCATGCGTGGATTTAATCTGTCACTTTTATCACAGACATTTTATTTCGGCCCGAACGTATCTACATTAGTGACTCAACTATTTTTCTAGCATGGTCTTTTAGTGTGTGTGCGGCGCTTAAGTTACTCACCATACATGCCAGGCATTACATGAAGCGTGAGCTTGTTTGTGTGTGTGCCGTGTCTGAAGTGTTAGCTTCGTTATCAATAAACCATACGTGTCTGACTCGGTTTGAGAATGATTAATTTGATCGGCCTATTGCGCGTCGCTTTTGTTATTTTTTAATGTCGTCGGTATCTGCTCAGTAATTGATTTGGTATATATCGAGTGTGATGACATAGTAGATTTAAATTTTATTCATAATTTAGCCATGATTGGATTATTAAATTGGGTTATTTTTGCAAGCCGTTTCATCATATTTTATAATTCTGCCATGATTGGAGGTCTTTTATAAATGTTCTGTTATTTTTTGAGCAGTTTTCAGCTGACTATTTCAATTAGCATAGATCTTGTATGGTTAAATATAGTTTTATAATTGTATTTATACTGTAATTTAGCTATTAGCTGATTCGAGATCTTTTTATAAACTTTGTTAATTTGCTGCAAACTGACTATTAGATTTAGCATATATCTAGTATGGTTTAATCATAGTTTTATAACTGTATTTATAATTCAGCCATGATTCGAGGTGTTTTATAAAATTGATTATTTTTTCAAGTGGCCCTCGTCAGCTGAATTTAGCGTACATCAAGTATGGGTTAATGGTAGCATATTATTGTTTTTGTGATGAAACTGATGATTTTAGTTAAAGAGATGCGATTAATATTAATTACAGAAAAAAAATCAGAAATTATACTATGATTTTTGCACTTGATTTCAATTTGGGTGTATTTTTTGCAATAAAATAATTTTTATTCGCTGAGCTGTTTTTGAAATAGAGTAACCTTGTTTTAAAACTTATTTATTCATGTATTGGGGCTGTTTTCATAACTGGTCATGTCTAACCTAGTTTGCGAATAAATAATATTTTTTTCGTATTCGAGCATAATTAGGATATTGTTGAGATGAAGAAGTCTTTTGCAGTATTTTATTTGTCATAACTGTATAGCAGTTTGTCTAACATAATATTATTGTGAAGTATTTTTCAGAAAAGTTTGGATTTTTTGTCAGCGGACATTCATGAATTATGCTAAGCACTAGCATGGCTTATACCTCACATAATTTCTAGGTTATAATCAATAAGTAGGAATTGATGTTTAATATCAGTTCCTCTTTTGTCAGCAGCATATTCAAAAATGAATTAGAATATGCCCATACAGATTAAACTTTTAACTGTGCAATCAAACTTAACATTTTAGTAAATTTTCGAGTATTGAAATCGTCAATGTAGTACTAAATGGGTCCATACTGCCATAGGGCCAATCTTGCCGCAGTTTGATTCGGATTCGTCCACCAACTCGACTATTAATGATTTTCTTTCAAGAAATTTACTCTTGAACATTAGATTAAGAGTTTGGTGTGTTCATACTTGTCACATTAGTTGAATTAAGTTGGAGGAATTGTATGATTTTATGGATTATAAACGATTTAAGAATTGCAGATCCTATTGACTCGAACTTATTCAAGTCCTTCGTCTGAGGCTATTGAGAGAGCATAATACTCCAATATAATTCTATGGGGTTTCAGGAGATCTTGTCACTTTAGTGGCTGCCCTAACTTTCTGAAAGAGTAATCTTCTCTTACTCTGAGTAAGTGTGGCTCTTACTTCAGTTGTCGCCTGTAAATCTTCTCGGAAATTAACATCCTCTCACACTCTGTGTGAGCGTGGTTTTTGTAACCTCAGCAGTTGCCTGTAACTTTCTCAAAAAGTAACCTTTTCTTAATGTGTGGCTTATGTGTGTCTCTTGCCACTTAAGTAGTTGCCTGTACACTGTAACATCTCTTAGAAATCAATCCCCTCTTATCCCGAATGAGTTTAGTTTTCATCACTTAGTGGCCATTCGTAACTCAGATAGCATTCTCCTCATAGTCTGAGCTAGTGCGCAGAGCCTTGCTTTGTGCAATTTCACTTAAAAAATATTCTGATATTTTATCTATGTTTTAACTCGATGCATTTATTTCTAAATTCAGTTTTATGTTTATATTATTGTATACTTAACATTTCATTGTTCAACTTTAAAACAAAACAAAAAATGCCGTTGATTCATCTCAGGCACATTTTGCGGAGTGTTTCGCCGACAAGCTCTCGACCGGGGTGCAATGATTCTAAAAGTTGATAAAATTGCGACCGGACATAATGCTGATGACATTGCAGAAACTGTAATTATGAATGGTAGGTTTGTCATTTCTTTCACCATATTTAGGGGTGTATTTTTCTTTGATGCCTTTTCTTTGAACAAGGCTTTAAACCTGGCATGGGCAAATTACAGCCCGCGGGTGAAATCCGGCCCATTGGGTATTTCAATTTGGCCCGCCTGATGCTGCCACAACCAAACTAAAACCAATTTTTGATGTTTTAACTGAAAAATAGCTCAAGGAATTTGTTGAAATGCGATTAGATTTAGCGGTAGTCTTGGCATGAGGCTTGACAAACGGACGAAAAGCTTTATTCTATTGCTCCGCGACTCTATCGCTTTGTGATGTCACAAAATATCTTCCAGAATCCCCTAGTTTTGTCACAATGCCTGTCTGGTAACTCTCTTAAATAACATAGACATGCGCTGGGCGGCGTTCTCAAACGTATTGGCAATTATTCTGCCATATTTGGAGCAAATATTCTGCCATATTTTCAAGCAGTCGCTGCTCGCACGGAGCTTTGTTCGGGATTTTGTTTTCCACTTTTGTAACACTGTAAATATTGTTCATAAAATGTAATTTTTTACGTCACACTCACATGGGTCACCAGACTAGGTGGGCAAAACTTTCGGCCCTGGTCCAAAAACCTTGCTCACCTCAGCTTCATACAAGCAGCCAGTGAGACGAAAGAAGCTTTTGTAAGTTCAACATTGCGTACTCGATTTTAATGATGCTTTCACTCCTAATAAGGGTCTATACAAGCAGCCAGTGATCTGTATGGACCTACTATTTTTTGAATAATTGCCTACACAATTTAATTGCACCCTGTTGGAGGTAACTGGTAGGCAACTCCTGGAATGCTAGAACAGGCAAGGGCATTGGCAGAATGTTGTTGCAGAATGGTATTTTCAAGGAATCTGATTATTTTGATGACTTGATTTTTAAATCTTCTATTTTTCATACAGTTCTTCGAGGAGACATCGCTCGATTGAGGAGATGCACTGCGATAAAAACAGTGAGTTTTATTACTCTCACCTAACCTAATGCAATCTAGTTTAGAAATGATCCAGTTTTAAACCTTCTCTTGTGTGAAGACTCAGAATTGCTTTGATTGCAGAGTCAGAGAGACTTGAAATTTTCAGTGTTGCTTCAACTAGGTCACTGAAAGTAAGAATCCAATAGGAAATTCTATTGGACCATATCAGGGGGCCGGAAATTTCCAAAGGGGGGGGGGGGGGGGGGTGTTACATTTCTAAATCCCAAGTTGAACCGTAACAGCTTGCAGATCTGACCGGAGTCCGGAGCAAGTCCAGTTTTAAGTATTCTGTGGCGTCTGCAGCTGCCGCGAAACCATGGCGGAATTTCCATACCATGACCGCTACGACCAAACCTATGGCGACTGACTTTTTAGCTGCCACAAACCAATGACTAGCTGCCGTTACCGCGGCAGCAAATTGAAAACCAATGGCAGGTAGAATTTTGCTGCCGTAACCGCGGCAGGTGGGCCGTAAAGACAGGGCTTTACCTTATGGTGGCAAATATTGGGTAAGTTGGAACGTTTTTCTTATGGATACAGTTTTGATGGATTTGGGGGTTAGGGTTAGGGTTTAAGTAGATATAATTCCGCATGATCAATTAAAATCTGGTACATTCATTTGTGAATATATCGTTAATACTGATTACTGAATACTGAATAGCGCTATAAAACCATGGCAAGAGCTGCCGCGGTTCGTTCGTGGCAGGAGCTGCCATGAAGTGGTAAGAACTGAGCCTCGTCCGGAGGCTCTACAATGCTTTTCACGCTAGGGAAATTGCTATAATTGATACAGAAAAATGCATTTTTTACATTTCAAAAGGGTGGCGGTTCCAAAACTTCCCCCCCCTCTTGGCTATGCCCCTGGGTCATATGTCTGTTACAATGCTCAGTCGCCGCTTGCAAAGAGCTTCGTTCAGTGTGAAAGACGATAAGAAATAGAGTCATATAAAATAATAACTTGCAAGTCACAAGCTCCTCATCTGTTCCTCTCTGGATATCATCAATGACTGTTTAATACAAATAATAAAACTCATGATTATAAAATGAGGTCCATTTCATTAGATTAGACTGCAGGGGTTCTCAACCTTTTTTCTGTCAAGTACCCCCCGAGTCACGAAACAATCAACGCGAACCCCCGGTAATCAGACACCGAACAAAGTTGTGATATATTGACTATTGATTTGTTGAAACAACAATTTATTGACCAGATGTAACCAAATTAAATCTTTGTGTTGATATTATTATTAATCTTTGTGTTGATATTATTATTAATCTTTGTGTTGATATTATTATGAATTCTTGAAATCTCTCCCAAGTTTTAATAAGCATAATCACCTTCTCCAATGCTCGCAGCACGCTGTCTTATTAGATTTCAAAGTTTGCCTGCAAAGCCATGAATTTCACATTGTTGCGTCACAATAACAACAACGTAACATCAGGGAAAATCCAAGTTTCAATTGGCATCTAGTTTTCATGGGCACGCATTTTCCTCTGATAGTAATAAAGGATATTAAAAAACAGCAACACACAAAAACTCGACTGCCGTCCAAGTAGCCCTGGAAATCTTCTCGTGAGCCCCTGGGGATTAGAGGGTCTGTATAGCAAATTCAAACAATTATTTTCTTTTTTTTTAGGCTGATGATCCAAGCGGCATTCCACGAGTCAAGCCCTTCAAATACACCTATGAAAAAGAGATTGTAGCCTATGCATACTTTAAAAAGTTGGATTATTTTTCAACTGAATGCATCTACTCACCAAACGCTTATCGTGGTCATGCAAGAACGTATCTCAAAGATTTGGAAGCAATTAGACCAAGAGCTATTATAGGTAAGAATGTCCAGGCATTGCTAAAATGTAGTTGCCAGAAAGTGTAATGTTTCAAATAATTTTTGTTGCAAAAACACTGCTCCTTGAAGAAACGCCTTGTTTGTGCGGGTGGATTCGCATGCATATACTGCAAGGATGCTGTAGCAAGAGTAAAGATAATTATCGTGTTAGTGTGCAGCAAGACACTCGAATCACTTTGGTTTTATGTGGCATTTTTGCATCTTTCATATGACCTCTCTTGTTCTGAGCAGGTGATTTTATGAATGCTCTTTTTATTCCGATATGTATACCAGGGCTTTCCAAACTTTTTGGGTCACGACCCCTTCCAATATATCAAATTTTTTCGCGACCCCCTGTTATGAGAAAGCGAGCCACTTTTTGGGTCATCCGAATACGGGTCATCAAAGTCGGCATTGGTATACACGCGCACAGCTTCTTCGATCCTATGTATTTTTTGCGGCCCCTAAAATTCGTTGCGCACCCCCTCTAGGGTAGCGACCTCCAGTTTATGAAGCCCTGATATGGACAATGATTTATAGATAAGATCTGGCCTTTTGTTTTACAGATGTGATACATTCAGGAGAGTCCATGTCAGTTCGCGAAGGAGTCAAACTCCCAACACAAACAAAATGTGAGCGATGTGGATACATCTCATCTAATGCTGTGTGTAAAGCATGTGTTCTACTGGAAGGCCTGAACAAAGGTTTGCCAAAACTTGGGATCGGAAAAACTAGCAAGGTCAAGCAAAGGGTAAGATTTATTTTAGGTTTTATTTTATTTTAATATGGCGGACACCGGAACATAGTATGTGCACCAGGTTAGGCTTGGGACATATTATTATTCCAATTTTTCATATTTTAGTTCTAATATTAGTTCGGGGACTAGTCAAGTGACTCCTGTAGTATTTGTACCTGAAATCATGGCCTAACCCTAACCTGGTACAGTTCTGGTGTCCGCCATCTTGGTTCATATACTACAAGAGTACCTTATTTTCTTTGATCGTTGTTATTGGAATTTCGCTTTTTGCTAAGCTTGAAAAAAAAACTTGGCTCCTCTCGCATGAAGGACGAGCAGGCATTGATGTTTAACAATTACATTTAAAAATTTGGATTCATTTTTGTGTTTAAAGCATTTTATTGAAATTTCGCCAAGATTGGAAATATCCCTGCCTTCCTCACGCAGGGAGGGGAAGCGGTCATTGATTACTTTAATTTTAAGATATTCTTGAATAGTTTAGTTCTGTATTTCCCATCCTCGCGCCTCCCAGCTGGCATTCCCGAATATCAATTACATTTAAAAATGTGGATTCTTTTTTGTGTTGAGGATTTAATTGAATGGCCTCCCTCGTCCCTTACGCAGAGGGGGGAACTGGCATTGATTATTTTACTTAGATGTTCTCGATTATTTTAGTTATGTAGTTTCCCAACCTTTTTTAGACATCTCTCCCTATGTCTATTATGAGACTTTCCATACCTTCCGAGAGAACTATTGAACTAAAGCTCATAGCACTTTTTTTAAGTTTAAGCAAAGGGTGAAATGAATAGGCAGTAGGCATCATATGAAATTCATTCATTGTCTTCAATCACTGTTATTGAAAATTTGCTGAGTTCGAAAATACCACTGGCCTCACTCACATAAGAAGGATGAGAGGGCATTGATGAATAACAGTTACATTTAAACATTTGGATTCATTTTTGTGTTTAAAGCATTTTTTATTACTTTAATTTTTAGATGTTCTTGATTAGTTTATTTCTGTATTTCCCAACCTTTTTTAGACATCCATTTGTCGGTGAAAACCCTTGAACGTAAGCTCATAGCTAAATTTTTTTATTCTTCTCTTCAGCTCAAACAAAACAAGTTGAAGGAGTCTAAAGCCATTGCCGATGCAGATAGCAGTACGAAAACTCCACTACCAGAATATTATTGTTCCCCTAATTCCAAGGAATCAGAATCATCTCTGAATGAAACAGGGACTTGTGGGAAGGCCGAGGGTTGTTGTTCTAAAGAGAAAGACTGTGAAAAAACTGATGAAAAAATAGATTTGAAGACTTTGGACTTTTAAATTTTTGTTTTTTTTGTGGTGAAAAGGGAATATTTGGGTGAAGTCATTTACCCACGCTGGGTGTGACAAATTGGGTGGCCTAACTGGAAAAAATCCTGTCCCTCCCAATGTGTGGATTGAAAATTGACTTAAACTGTTTTTTCCAACACATTATCTTTGTACCCAAACCAAGATTAGGTTTATTAATTGTAGCATGCAAAGTTTTATGATTTGTGGTGAAAATGGATTTGGGTTAAATGCAGCTATCCTGACAGCACAAAAGGCCATGTGTTCCAAACTTGAATCAGGAGTCATTGGCATATTATCCATTGTTAAATCAAGTCCGCTGCTTTCGCACATAAGAAAAGTCTCATCTTTGAGTGCAGTTGTGGGCACCCACTGAAAAACTGAGTGCTACTGGGACTTGAGTTAGTGGGAAAAACGTTTGTCATGAATATTTTTCGATTTAGGGGGTTTGCTGAAAGTAAATGAGTTGTAACAGTGCAATGGCTGAAAACTTTTCTTGTTTTCAAATTACTGGTACCGGTATTCAAATTTTTCATCCTGTTTTCTATTTCAAGTATATTAAAGTGATTTCTGTATACTCATTTTTTGACAGATTTCTGAAATCCTAATTGTAAAATGGTTCTGCTTCTTTTGCCTCTAGATTTGAATGTTTTGCCATTCTGTTTTATTGCTCTCTACCTCCCCCAAGTTGTACTATAATGCCTACACATCCAGGCCTGTGTAAAACAGGGAAAATTTACAATCCATTCCAGGTTGATTTTTCATCCAAATTGTGAAAATTTAAACTCAGACTTCAGCTCCAAACCACATGGAAATTAAATTTCAATAACAAACCTTCTTGTTTATGCTGGCCTTGTAAATTTATTGCTTTTTCAGTTTTTTTGGAAAATTTTTGATTTCTTACATCACCATGGAAAGTCTAAAATCTTGACAATCGTCTGGCGAAGTCAGAATTTTAATCCCTGAGTTTCGGGTCTGGGAGAATAAAATTTGACTTTTCACAGGGTAAAATAAAGCCAAAACCTCGTTCTGCAGCTTTGATCGATCTAGTATTAAAGCCTTCTTGTTGACTTTTCTTTTGAAAAAAACAATCTTCGTTTTACATGCTGATTCGAAGTTCGTGTAATTAATCGCCAAATCTTTTTTTCTAGAATTCTAGATTAAATTTTATCTTTTACCTCGTATCGCTTATTACATGATACAAACTGGAGCCGATTAGCATGCCACATTATATTTGCGTTCGATTCCAAGTTGATGGGCGAATTGTCGTTGTTCACGAATCATGGCTGGTTGGTGAAGCCCATTGTAGATGGCCTCAATCTGGCAACATTGAAGAAATGGTAAAAATTGGAACGAAGCCAAAATCTGAATGGGGTGTTTGGGAGATTGATATTCTAGGCGGAGATGGTAAGACATGATTTTAAATATTGTACATTGTGAAAGTGTTTATTTTTCATAAAAAATGCACAGTTATGGCCTAGTGACCTAACAGCTGCATATTCCTGACCAATGCTTGCTGAAAAATGGGATTCATTTTCAATGGTTCAGATGGAATATGTTTTTTAATCGACCTCAGCCATTTGAAATCCATTCCACATGGAAATATGAGAAAGTCATTAGAAAAATTTTTTCTTTTCATGAGGCATTATGGGTAATAATATTGTCACATGACCAAAACAACAAAAAAGCAAGTTTATGATCTAGTGCAGGGGTGCACAACACGAGGCACGCATGCCAAATTTGGCACGCCATACGCTCAAACGTGGCACCAAACTGTTACGCAAAAAAATATTCATGATATACATTGAAATATCACGTTATATCAAAACCAGCTGTTTTTTTTTCAGGACATTTAATTGTTTCAATAAAAAGATGTTCGATATTATGTATCGTTATTGCAGTTTATTTCTTTTACAGGAGTTAATTCACAATACCACAATTGTGCGTGGCACCCGACGAGAATATTTTAAAAAATTGGCACGTATCCTCATTTGAGTTGTGCACCCCTGATCTAGTGACCATATTTTCTCATAAGACCTAACATTTACATTCTCCCAAACATAATATGAATGCATTGTAATTTATTTGGACATTGCTATCAAAAGAGAGTAATCCATTTTTACACTATTTGCCAATTTACAGATTATTATTATACATGCAATATTGTGGGGTAATAATTAATATTTAGCATTGTACTAAATTATTGCCTCCATTTTTCAGACGAATATGAGACTTGTTCCAGAAGAGCTTACAGCACACAACAATCATGGGGATCTCATACTAAAGTACAGACGTATCCAGAAAACAAAGACATTCCAATCCCACCTGTACCAACTCCACAGAATGTTAGGTACGCAATAGATTATATTGGTGTTCCCCAACCTTTTTCGTTAAATTCTTCTGTTTGCCCATTTTAGAACTCTCTATTCTTTGATACTTCTAAACTTTATGTTGTTTTTGCCCTCACAGATGTATTAATAAATGAAGTAAAAATACTTGAACAATTACTGATTAAAAACAACAAACTTGGTAAGATATATTGAGAACCGACTTCATAGAAAAATTTTCTTTATGAACATCTTGTATATTACTTCAATGAAACCTTTATTATTAATTTTATTTTCAGCAGTGCAGACCGATCTTTGATGGAGACTGAGAAAGACACGGCATCAACGACCAGCAGGGCATTGCTTTCACACAATCCTCGTAAACGAAAAGCTCCATCAGATTCTGAACTCAAAGCAACCTTGAAACGACTCGAACAATCAATTTCTCTAATTAATAAAAATTTATCGGGTCGGCTTAAAGATATTGAAGATAAATTAAAACCAATTTTGAATGTAAGTGTATTTTTGTCTCTTTATTCATAAAAAAGCAGGTAATGAGGATTATTGAAGTACTCAATTTTTGGTAGGCCTACTCCCGTAGTATGTGTACCTGGTTAAGGTTAGGCCATAATTTTATTCCGATTTTCCTTATTTTAGTTCTATTACGAGTTCAGGAACTGTCTGTGTTAGTCAAGTTAATATACCATACCCCCTGCCTATAGGCTTCCGTCTCTTTACACAACTTGGTGTAAATTAGACGAACAAAAATAGTTACCTCCATGTTGGCACACACATTGTTGGAGCGCTCATTTTTTATATCACTCTTATTCACGCTTTCTGCTCCAAATAAGACCCTGTATAAGATATTCGAAGACATGTATGAGCTACTCATTTTGTAATAACCAGAATCTCTCCAGTCTGCATTGACAGCCTAATCAACTACACCTGTGCGAGGCCTTGACTATGGGATTTGTATCCAAGATTTTGACCTGCGATTTTCTTACAGTTAGGTCTAGCAATTGGCGCTCCAGAAGTGTGTATACCAATATGGAGGTAAAGGTACGGTAACTAATTTTGTTCGCCTACTTTACATCAAGTTGTGTGAAGAGACTGAAACTTATGGGCAGGGTGTATATTCATTTGGCTAAGACAAACAGTCCCCAAACTTGTAATAGAACTAAAATATAGAAAATTGGCATAAAATTATGGCCTAACCCTAACCTGGTACGCACTTGAAATTCCTATGCGAATAATATAGTTTCATCTATTCTTATATTAACCTTCTCTTTTTATTCTTGATCAAAGTTTTAATTCAAATTCAAATCCAGGATTCTTCGACAACTTCCTTCAACAGCGGTAATCGCAGTCCATTGATAACGCCATCTTACAGTCCAAAGTACGACAGAAATGAGAAACATGAACGACATTGTCATACTGTAAGGTCTCCTGCTAACACAATGGAAGAACTGGATGAATGGTTAGATGCACAGGTAATCTAACTATGGATTTAACAGAACTTGCCTAAGATTTCTGATTGTGTAGTTTGGCTTTTCCCTCAACTAAGGGACCAATCAATTTTAAATATTTGGTTCAGTGATTCTCAACCTTTTATGACTCATGGCCCTCTTGTTTATCATTCCAGTGTCATCGATATTGTTATTTCAATTGGTAGATCTGAAATTCTAGTATGTTCAACCAATTCATGCTCAATAAACAGAAAACGAGAATATCGATCAGAGACCGATGACTTATCGATCGAAAGTTAGGGATCCCCCATAACAGCGCTCTTACTCCATAGTGACACCTTGTGTCCCATCACTAATTATTTAATAACTCGCTAATTATACGACATAATTCATCCAAAATCAATAGGCTTCTGGTCCGACATATGATGAATGCACATGCAAAATCTGGAGAAAATCTTTTTTTTACACTTCAAGAGTTTGGGGGTTGACAGTCATGAACCCTGGCTATGCCGCTGGTCGGGACACCTTCATTAAACTAATACCCAATATAGTATGTCCTAATTGAATATAATGACTTCTGGTAATCTCAAAACAACAGAGCTAGTATTCCTATTTCTGAATCGAATTCACCTCCTTTTCCAGGACACTTACGCAGTTGCCAAACGAGTCTCAAACGTCCAACTTCGAGCGACAGTTCGTACTTTTATGAAATGTGTGATGACCAAAGCGTTGGCGAAACAATTCAGTTGGAGTGGTTTTGGAAGCCGAAGATTGAAAACCAAAACTAGTTTCAGAGATCATAAAGTCTTCAATTACCTCATTGGTAAGTGTTTAAAACAGTGGTTCCCAAACCATGGTCCTCGGGCCAATTAAGGCCCGCGTAACGATTTAATATGGCCCACCGAACTTGAGTGAAATAGTTTGACATTTTTATTTGTGTTTTAGATGCCGCCAATTGGATGGTCCAGAAGTATGCGCACCAAGATGCCGCACAACCTGAATCCTAACCGATACACACATACTATGTTCAGGTTGTGCGCCATTTTGGTGCGCATACTTCTGGACCACCCAATTGGCTGCATCTAAAACGCAAAAAAAAGTATCGAACTATTTCACTGGTCCACCAATTGTTATGTCATTATCATAGTTTAAGCATGTGTATATTGGTAACAATTCAAATTCTACCGTTATCTTAATTATACGAACCATTATTGGCTCCTTGCATGCGCTCCTCTCTCCTGATCTGCAAATATCCTCCAGCTTCGGTACTCCCGTAGTGTATGTGCCTGTTTAGGGCCTAATTTTATTTCGATTTTCCTTATTTTAGTTCTATTACGAGTTCAGAGACTGTTTGTATTAGCTAAGTGAATATATCCCCTGCCTATAGGTTTCAGTCCCTTTACACAACTTGATGTAAAGTAGGCGAACAAAATTAGTTACCTCCATATTGGTACACACACAAGGGGAGCGCCTTAAAAGTACCTTAATTTAATTATCAACCTCATTTATATTCTCAGACGTTCTTCATGACACTCCTCATAGAAGAGCACCTCAGTCAGAAGTAGCGGATTCAATCAAAAAAGTACTGATGGGCGTCGGAGATTGGGACGGTGGCAGAACTAGAAAGTTTGCCTCTGCGGCCGCAACTTCAGAATCATTCCCAACGATCGCGTTCTTTCCGTGATCGCTTTTGAAAGTTTTTTAGATTTGATCAACATCTGGATGTTCTCACTTTGAGTGAAAAGTTTGGCGAAGGACAAATATTGATAAGACTAGTCTTTTGGAAGACTTTGGTCAGAGCTATTCATGTCATGCCCCTTGATAGAAACTGTAAAGCGGGTAATAGTGTTACATTTAGTCTGATGGAAGGCTGATGAAAATTTTTGTTGGACTGCCTTTAATTAAAGCAGACCCAAAATTGAAAGATTTGCCTCTATAGTTCACGCCTAATAATGTCGTTGCTATTTGCGGGATGTTGAACTTCGATGGATGCTGTAGGGTGGATGATAGTGTTACATTCAAACTGATAAAATGTTTGATAATATTGAGAGGATTTGCTTAAAACAGTCTCAGAACTGAAAATTTAGCCTCTCTAGTTCACATCCAATAATTTGGTTATTTGTGGGATGCTTTCACTTAAACTTTGGTACCAGACAAATATTGGTGAGGCTGGTATTGAAAGATTTCAATTCGTAGGATTTATGTCACGCCCCTTGGTGAAAAATTGAAGTCGAATACTAGTGTTGTATTGAATCAGATGGAACATTTGATGCGATTACAAGTAAAATTGTGGTGGGCACGTATACGTACCAATGACAAAAGTTGCTAGATTGCGGCGGGTACGTTGATGTACTCCACTGTTTTATTTAGCAATCGGTCGCAAACTGTTGGTCTAGTTTTTCCGGGTTTTAGTTTATTGATAAGAAGTCTACTTCGAGATTAACATAAGCGACGGTAAATCTCGCTTTCGTTTACGACGGGAATTTTATTTGCGGCGGAACGAGGGAGTGTTTTTGAAATTTATGCAAATATTGGTGTTTTTTGGGTGGTAATAGAAGATATATTATCCCTTCCATTCCAAAATCGCATGGAAATGGTTAAACCATACCCAAAACTAGAAAACTTTGCCTTTTGACAAAGTACAAATCTGGGGCTGTTATTTGTAGGTACTGAATATCTAACCCATGAATTGAGCAATTGCAAATCCTACATCGATGAAAAAATACCAAGTTTTTACTTTCTTTCACTCTAGTCCCTCTCATAACTAATTTTTTGCCTCCACTCCACTGCAGGAAATTTTGTTATGTTGCACTATTTTAGAACCACTGAATAGTGTATTTAGGATAGGCACATAGTGTTTGCGGCGAGGCAAATTCTGACTGAAAAGTTTGGTCAATCAACCTTTTTTTGGGTAAAAATTTGATGTGGATTGCGGCTCATGGTTAACTTAGAAGTTCAGAAATAACTTTTTAATTTTCAAATAAAAATGCCAGATTTTGTCTCAATATGAAGAACTTACAATCTCTAGTTTTATTTCATGGAATATTTTTACTTTTTTATTTTCATTAATTTTTTTTTGTCAATAATGAAATTCTTAATCCAATGGAATATAATCTGAAACTCCTATGTACAAGTTATATTGTACTTATGGTAATAAATAGCTCATATTCAATGCACAGCAAAATCATGATAGTTTTTAGAGGTGTTTTCTCATCTCTACTATAAACAAGGCCTCGTGAAGATTCATTAATGCGAGAGGATCAAACTATTTTTTTTTGAGAACTGGAATTTCATTCTAAAAGAGGCTCTACCCCAGCGGTTCTTATCCGGGGACAAAGAGTGGTTCGATGGGGCCACAATGCTCGGCGCTAAACTGATTTTACTTTTTTTTTCCCCATTCTTCCTAGTTTCATTGCTCAATGAGGTTATTTCACAGGGTGTTTTTACTTTGTTGAGCTTGAATTGTGTAAACATAATGGTATTTGGAATCTACCAATCGAAATAACACTATAAATAACAACTTTCATTTTCTATGTTTTGAATTTGAATCTGTTCATGTATATCCATCTCAACTAGGTAAAGATCATTGCCAGCAACAGTACTATGTTAAATCATGAGAGAAAGTTCCGCCAATATTTTAATATTTCCCAGCAAACCCAGGATATTTATCTTCATTCTGAGCAAGGCCCCAGACAAATGGACACAACTAACTAGCTACTAGCATTACCCAATTAATTATTATACTCTGGAGGTGATGGTAGGTGTAGAATTGGATTATTCATCTTCTATTTTTGTGATGTCCAACAAATTGCTCATTTCCGCAAATAATTGCCAAATTTCATTTTCAATGTCCTGAACTTGAATCTTTTCATATATAGGCACCTCAACTAGGCAAAAAACTCAGCTATTACTGTGACCCATTGCCATGGGTTTCAGTGCTAAAAAGCTTTACCTGTGAGAAATTTCCTCCATTGAATATATTCCACTCAGACAAAATTTAATATATTGAAGGGTTTACGATCTTAAAAGTTGCCAGTATAATAATGCTATATCTGGATACATCTGCTTGCAATGTTTAATTATTAAGCGTTGAAATGCATATTATTCATTTCAGTTACGGCATTGGATCAATATCTCATTGAGCCATTGTAAATCAGCTATCGGTGATTCTTTTAATTTGAACTAATTAATTTTATTTTTTTTTATAATTTCATAACCTAATTGAACTTCACTGAAATACTTGAAAAAAGCATGGTTTTGTTCATCCACATTTTTTTAATTTACAATAAGAAGCACAATCCATTTTATGAAATAGTTCGTCATTATATGAACTTATCGATTTTAATCGGTAAGTATGTTGATAGGTATTTGTCTGTCTGTGTGTATGTCTGTTAGATGCACGCGATATCTCATGAAAGCGAGGCTAAATCTGCTCCAGATTTTGCTTGTGCATTCATCATATCTCGGACCGAAAGCCATTGATTTTGGGCGAATTATGTCGTATACTTAGAGAGTTATTAATTAATTAGTGATGGGACACAAGGTGTCACTATGGAGTAAGAGCGCTGTTTTGGGGGATCCCCTAACTTTCGATCGATGAGTCTTCGGTCTCTGACCGATATTTTCGTTTTATTCTCAATGAAATATTGTTTCTCTACTCTCTGTTCTGTTTAAGTATTTTGTATTCTGGAATGCAATTCTAACTAAGATAGTCTCAAAACTAATTGAATATATCAAATCTGAGGGAAATTCATTATTTTCAACATAGCAAAGAGTGTATATATAAGAAAATGTTGAGACAGGGATATTTTTTTCACATATTTATGTTTTAATCATGGCATCTATTTGTATCTGATTTTCCAACCTCTGTTCTTTTCAAGTATTTTGTAATTTGGAATGCAATTGTCGACCAGATAGACTTAAAGCTATCCAGTATTCAAATCCGTAACTCATTTATTAATAATTCTACCATACCAAAATATGATGTGTAAGGAAATGTTGAGGTGGGGTAGTCCTGATATTTTTCCTTTAAAAATGGAATCTATTTGGCTCATAATGGGTAGTGGGTACTATAATAACAACAAGCATTTTTTATGTTATACTATCTTACCCTTCTAACGCAAGGTGACGTATTTTGCTATGAGCAAGACCCTGTATTAAATAAAGGTGTGACCCGCGTTTCATCCAGTTATTTGTATTTGGCCCTCATGTACTATTAAAGGGTGCACACCCCTGATTTAACTAGGCCACTGCGCCCACAGATTACATTTCCTAAATTGATTCCAATGGAAATAAAATTGTCAGCTGTTCATTTGTGTAAAATGCTTAATTTCAGACTTTTTCTTTTTTACAGACTTGTATACTGTATCTATTTTTATCTTTTTTTTCCAATGTCATAATACATGCTTTTCTTGTTTTTATATTAAGGCATAAAATAGGTTTTAGTTTAATTAGGCCTAAAAAATCTGCATCCAGGGATGCCACATTTTATCTGTGTTAGATTCCAAGTTGATGGGCGAATTGTAGTTGTCCATGAATCATGGTTGGTTGGTGAAGCCCATTGTAGATGGCCTCAATCTGGCAACATTGAAGAAATGGTGAAATCAGCAACCAAGCCAAAATCTGAATGGGGAGTTTGGGAAACAGATATATTGGGAGGAGACGGTGAGTAAAATTGATATTTATGAAGTCAAGTCATTTGTATCAGCACTCCAAAGACTGGAAAAATAAATTGACTTATATAGATAGATATTGTTAGAAATTAAGGCTCAGAACCTGAGACAGAATCAAAGTCAATTTAAGGCCTCCAAAAGTCTGAGGAAGTAAAATTACTGGAATCGGATTCTTTTTCACTTTATTCTCGTTTTTCCCCATGTTTTGTCGACATCAGTTTTCTCTTTATACTGTTTACCAAGTTTGATGTTCTCATGTGCTTGTCGAAAAAATGCGAGCAATCAGATAGGGAGCGAAAGAAATCTCGAAGAGCCTATGTTACCAGAGAAAACGTGGGTCTCTCACACCATGGGTATAAATTTAATACTCAAAATTTAGTACTCGAAAATACGAAAATGGTTGCAATGTGCCAAATATGCTTATACCGAATCTTGCCGTCAGATCTTTGAACTTGAATACTGTGGACTCGATTCCTCTGGAATCAATATTCTAAATTGCCCATCTTCATTCCCACAGAAACCCAGTTTGTAGTTAGGCCTATTGCTTATGTTCTCAGATGACTTTGGCCCAAACAATATGTCTCCAACTCACCCAGCGTATAATAAATTATATCGGCAGTGCCGAAACAAAAGATTCTGATTCTTTGAAAATTATAAAAAGCTATGTATCCTAGCTACCTTTTGCCTGGTTATCTAAAAGAAGCCTTGGTCTGACTCTGAGTGAAGAGTGCGAAACCGCCATTTAAATATAAGATTACGTCTATGCCTGTTTTCAGATTACTATGAGACCTTAATTAATGTACATCTGCTGCTCTGAACACATCTTCAGATATTTTATCATATTAGTTATGTTTAACACAATAATGATAATCAGGACGCACTTAGCAAATCAAAGCGGCGCCCACTTTGGGAACCACTGGCATAGAAGGATAAGTAGTTAGAGTCGCAGAAAATGAATTTCTAGTTACATCTAACTTCTGACACATGATTTCTTTTCTTTTCAGATGATTACGAAACCTGCGCAAGAAGAGCCTACAGCACCCAACAATCATGGGGACTCCATCATAAAGTTGGGGGTAGCGGTGGCGGAGGTTATGTGCCAGATAAAGACCTAATTGCTGCCATCCCTGTCCCAACCTCACTAACCCCCCAGCCCGTACAAGCGAACATTAGGTACGCAGTGGATTATATCAATGAGCTAGGGCGAAGGTAGGCAAAAGTGAAATGGGAACAAAAAAAATGGTTTCTTAATTCACAGGAAATTTGTCTGATCTTGTTTTGCCAATTTGACTTTAATTTTTGAAGATTTTTTTTTGTTTTATTACCGTGTTTTCCCGAAAATTAGACTTTGCCCGAATTTTAATATTGATTTTAATACAAGCTCTCCTCCTTTCAAATAAGACTTAGTCGATAGCTCAAATAAAAACGTGTTAATTAAAAGTAAATGAATATTGGTTTTCATATTTTGTATATCTGAAAATCTCATAATTCTTCACTTTGTTATTCTGTTTTTGATAAATGAAAATAAAAGACATCTTTTTCAAATAAGCTCTAGTGTTATTTTTCAAAAGAATATTGAAATAAGACCCTGTCTTGTTTTCGGGGAAATATGGTAGTTCAATAACATTGCACAATTTTGGTGTACAAGTTGATTTTTTTTGTGAGTTGCATTAACTTTAATCTTTAAAGATACTTTATATTTTTTTAATATTTGATTAACGTTGTAGAATTTGAGTATATAAATTATTTTTATTGTGAGTTGCATTTGTTAACTTGTTATACAGTATGTCCATAAAGTCTTAATTTATTTTAAATTGCAAAGGAAATTCATGGATACTATATATTGTTTCGGCCCTCACAGTCACAGATGTATTGAATGATGTAAAAATAATTTAAACTTTTACTTTGGCATCTTTTAATCTTTAAATAACGCTACATTTGCTTTGTAATTTGCATGAAATTTGCTGGATATTTTTTTCAATTCTGCGGTGGCATGTACAAAATTTCACCATTTGTTGATTGTTTAATTTGTTTTTTAAGAATTTTAAGAGAAGTTTGCCTTCTTTGCTTGGACAATTTAGACTGGTTTGAAACTGCATCATTCTCATTCTGTATGGTCTATATCGGGCGAATTGCAGCTTGGGTTCTATAAACAGTTATTTAACCATAGTTTTTCATATCGAGTTTTGGGCCTACTGCCCAGTAACAAAGTCTATTGTGTGTAACTGGTCTACTCAGGAAGGTTATTGCCCATCCCTACCCCCCATTCATTGCCTAAAATAGGAGAAACATTTGAACCTGTTCATAATATTTCAATCAAACTCGATATGGATCTATAGCCAAAAATTTTGTACCCAATAAAATTTAAAAATATTTTGCTCAAAACAATGTTATGCACACTTGCTCAGAAATTGGAGATGGGAAGGTGAGCTCACAAAATATTTTGTGATTTAAACTTCAGTGAAACTTTTGCTCACTCACATTAAAATCCGACGCTCCAGAAATGTGTGTACCAATATGGAGGTACTAATTTTGTTCGCCTACTTTACATAGATTTGTAAAAAGGGACTGAAACCCAAGGGCAGGGAGTATATTCAATTAGCTAACACAGACAGTCCCGGCCTTGTAATAGAACTAAAACAAGGAAAATCGGAATAGATCATGGCCTAATCCTAACCTGGTACACACACTTCGGGATTCCCATTTTTTGTGACTTAAACTTCAATAAAAGTTTTGGTCACTCTCCAGTGATTCCTATTTTATATTTTCTGCAGTGTGCATCACACAGATTTAAGTATTACACTACTATTATAAATCTGGCATCCCTCTTTTTTGTAACAGGAATTCACATGAAGTCGCACGTGAAACTCCACCAACAACAACTACTCCAACCACCACCACGACTGCTAAAAAAAGAAAAGCACCAAATGAAAACGCTGAAGTCAAAGCGACGCTTGATAGACTAGAAGAATCAATCTCTACAATAAATAAAAACATTTCACTCCGATTAAAAAATATTGAAGATAAATTGAAGCCTATTTTACAAGCTGTAAGTACAATACTGAATACTTTGGACAGGACAGGATTTACATATTTATGCAGGAGAATAGGAAAGCCAATAAAACGGCCTAATCTTATGGTGAACAACGGCTTTACCTGTCCATGGCAGGTATGGGGTTAGTCAGGCAGTTACCGGTTTTCACAAACATGGTGACTTGAACATGAGTTGGTGTTGGAGGAAGCCGTAACTGACCAGCAGTCACGTGAACCGCCCAATGGTGAGAATTCCAGCGATCCTCTCGCATATAACTATCTCCGCTCGGGATCCCTACCTGCGAACCGACGCATGACAATAAGAAGTACAGTGGCGAGCATATTCGTAACACTTAACATATCGCGCCACATCGCATTATGCCCCTCTGCTCTTCTATAAACTATGTAGGTTTGCTTTTAACATGTCCCCATCAGTTTTTTCTTTCCCCATGTTTTCCCATTTTATAATAAAGAGTCATACGGAAAAATAAATTCATTACGTTAGAGAATTAAATCACATTCAGTTTATTGTAAATCAATGCATTCATCGCAAATGGTACCGAGATCCTAGAGTACTGCTCTGTAGTCCCTTTATGGGGTTGTGGGCCAACAATCATTCTCTGACTGATTGCTCTGAACTGTTTTTCTGTCGATGGTAGGCTCCAAAACCTGTCCAACTGATAAAACTAAAAGGAAAATCTGAATAAAATTATGGCCTAGCGCTAACCTGGTACACATACTACGAGAGTACCCATTATCTTTTTCATTTACTTCAGGAACTTCTCAGTTCAGGCAGCAAAACTCCTGAATTTGAAGAAGAAGAAGAACAAGATGAAGAGGAGGATGACGCTGAGACTCGGAATCTAACAGTCTTGAGTGCGGCCACTACGTTGGAACAATTAAACGAATGGTTGGATAATCAGGTTGGTTTGCGAGATATCTCTGTCTCTTATATATATTGTCTGCTACACCAGGGCCCCCCAACTGACTCTTGCAATCTCGTTTGGGACTGTCAGTGTTAGCCAAGTGAATATACCTCCTACCCATGGGTTTCAGTCCCTTTACACAACTTAATGTGACGTAGGTGAACAAAATTAGTTACATCCATATTGGTACACACACTTCTGGAGTGCCAATGGTTGAAATGTTACCAGGGAAATTGTTTTTAGTGTTTGTAAGAGTAGCGGATATTTTCACTGTTTTGATTGAAAATAGGGTTAAGCCATGATTTTCTTCCGATTTTCCCTATTTTAGTTCTATTATGAAGTCGGGGACTCACTATGTTAGACAAGTGAATATCCCCCTGCCCATAGGTTTCAGTCCTTTTACACAACTTGATGTAAAGTAGGCGAACAAAATTAGTTACCTTCATATTTGTACACATACTTCTGGAGTGTCCAATGTTCATTACAATCATTCTTCTATTTTTCAGGACACATTCGCAGTATCAAAGAAGGTCACTTGTACTCATCTTCGAGCGACTGTGCGGAAATTTGTGAAAGCATGCATGACGAAAAGTGTGGCTCGGCAGTTCAGTTGGACAGGTTTCGGAAGTCGGAGACTTAAAACTAAAATTAGTTTCAGAGATCATAAAGTATTTAATTACCTTCTTGGTGAGTTTTTCATTCCATATTTTTATGAGATTTTGACTATAACAAGGTCTCTTATAGCAATCACCCTATTAATTCTGAGAAAAGTTACACGCAACAACTGAAATGTCAAGAGCGAATAATTATATTGACTATTATTGGTGCATCTCGCCACCTTTCCCTCTCGTTAGTAAATACGATTTTCTGTCTTAATTATTTCATCAAATTACTAATTCGTCCAGCCATATCTACTATAAAAATAAATTAATGAATTTCTGATTTAATTATCAGTTAAATTAGATAAGATCAGACAGATAATCTTATCAAATTCCCTGAAAGCTATACAGAACTGGGTACTCCCGAAGTATGTGTACCAGGTTAGGGTTAGGGCATAATTTTATTCCGATTTTTTTAATATTATTAAAAGTTTGAGGACTGTCTGTGTCAGCCAAGTGAATATTACCCCTGTCCATAGGTTTCAGTCCCTTTACACAACTTGATGTAAAGTAGGCGAACAAAATTAGTTCCCTCCATATTAGTACACACTCTTCTGAAGCGCCTAGAACTATTCATAGCACCCCCTGACTTCTACTTGTCATATTTTTTTAAAAATCTCCTCGTTCTAGATGTTCTTCATGACACACCGCATCGCCACGCATCACGAGCTGAAATTGCAGATTCGATTAAGAAAGTACTAACAGGAGTGGGGGATTGGGACGGCGGCCGAACTGCCAGATTCTCATCATTTCCTTCCATTGCTTTCTTCCCTTGAAATGGAGGCTTTAAGGTGAAGCATTTATATTTGTAGTTAATTTTTTTTGTTGTTCATACTGTGAGAATTATTGTAAAAATAAGCCCAAATTAGAGCTGCCAGAAGGACGTTTTGGGTCAGTTGCGAGAATTAGTGTAAAAATGAGATCAAATAGGGACACCAGAAGGACATTTTGGGTCAAATTATTGCAAAAAATGCGAATCTAATTGCTCAGAACAGGGGCTTACCCCGTAGGTGGAGGGTGTGGTAATGTTGCAAGTCGGAACCCCCCTTTTCGAAATGTAAAAAAAGGCATTTTTTTGTTTTCATGCATGCCAATTTTTTATAGCTCGAAATGCTTTATAGAAATTTCTCCCGAGTTTATTATTCTTAATGTGCTTGTAGTTATCATTCATCATACAATAAAATTTATTTAAGCTTACAATTGTTATTGCTATAAAATCGGGCGAAACTTTGTATGGTTATTTACTCTAAAATCGTACAAAATTTTTTTTGGGCATCGGTATAAAATGTTATGCACACAATGTGCATAGAAATGAGGTATATTGGTATAATTTTGTCTTCATTTTTTGACAGATGATCATCTGCACAGCTGTGGAAAAACTTCAAGTACTCGGCGACAATTCGTTCTGATCTTAAATAAAGTGAAAAGAACTTTGAATGAAAAGTTTTCAACCTCGCTGTGTGTCTTCTTAAGACACCTGGGGGTTCCTTGAATGACTAAGCATATGCTGCTTTTACAGACTTCCAATTTTTGCCATATTTAATTCTCTATCAAGTTTTTGTTCAATTTTATCATGAATTCTGCGATTTTATATAAGATTTGTGAACATTTGAGTGTTAAAATTGTTTTACTCTTTGATCTTTTAATGCAGTGGTTCCCAACCTCCTTCCGGATGAGTTTAAGCACTCACGACCTTATTGTTTGTCATTCCAGTTGTAATTTATAGTGTTATTATGATTGGTAGACCGAATACCATTATGTTCAAACAATTCATGCTCAACAAAGTTGTGTGAAATAACCTTATCAAGCAATGAGACTAGGAAAAACGGGGACTATTTTTTTTGTAAAGGGAAAAGTAAGCCAGTTTTGCGCCTGGCATTGTGGCCCTCTTTCCCACTGCTCTGTGGCCCTCTTGAAGAGGCACAGGTCACCGGTTAGGAACCACTGTCTTAATATTTGACAACTGGTCCTATGAAATGAGAACTACTGTGGCATATTTCAGGCCGTTGTAATGTTATGCCTTATATTTTGAAAGCTCAAAGAGATTCTCATGTTTCCAATAAATCAAATTTGTGAACGAACATTAAGATAACGATGAAATACTGCAGAGGAACCGCTACTTACAAAATTAATTCATTCCGGGAACCGTTTCTTAAATAGAAAATTTTGTAAGTAGAGACGCTTTTTACCTATAAATGCCCCTATCTGTTCTAAACTCTGACATAATATTTGTATAAATTATAAATAGTTTAAAACCTGTAAGAAGAATTTTCGTAACTTGAAAAATCTGTCTGGAGTCTTTCGTAAGTAGAGGTTCTGCTGTACTGAAAATCATATAGAATTTGAATGGGTATTGAGGAGCTTCTGTATTCAGATCGTTAATGAAAAAATAACAGAAAAATATTAATTCTACAAAGTTTGCAAGCATATTTTTGACTGGTGGTAATGTGGTTGTGGTTAAAAAGCTGGCACTCTTCTTCTTGGTTTTCTAGTCCCAAGTTTTAAGTGTGAATACTCATGGATGAAAATTAAAATTCTGCCTGGTATGCAAGTCTAATCCGAATAAGTGAGAAAATAATATTTTGTCGATACAATTTATGTGTAGCCTTAAGGCGGGGCTGTAACAGCAATCGTATTTGAACGGAGACTGGAAAATGTGGAGTTCCGACTCAACCCCCCTCGCCTGCCCCCTTTGGAAAAAAAATTATTTTTTTGTATCATGCATAGCAATTTTTGTAACTTGTTACACTTTTCAGACTCTCGACCCATCCCCCCTCCCCCCCGCTTGGAAAATTTTTTTTTTTGTATCATGCATAGCAATTATTATAACTTATAACATTTTTCAGACCATCGGGACCTTTCAAACCCACCTTTTTTGGCATCTGGGCAGATTCGCTGGCTGTTACCGTCTAACTTTGCAATTAGAATTTTAACCCTTATTTGAAAATTTCTGTCTACACCCTTGTTCATTTGTAATCCGAAATGAAGTGTACGATAACAATTTTCTGTGCCACTGCTCTGTCTACTTTACTAAGTTTTTAATATTTTTGCCTTTTCCAATCTGTATTATTTTTTGTTGTTTACAATGAATTATTTTTAAAATGTACAAATTCTCCCAGTTTTCTCTAATTGAAAAATCGAGTTTTTAGATTTAATTGTTAATTTTTATCGAATTAACTTCAACTATTATAGGACACTTATCAGGCAAAATTATACCTATAAAATCAACTCCAATATTCATACGATGACTAGCTGTTTTTGCACTAACATTCTAAAAGTTTTATTGATTTATTTAGCATTGCTATTTTATTAGTTAAACTCACTGGATTAGTTTTCAAACCACAAAATTTGAGTGCGACTTAGCTGCCACATTTTATCGATAGGGCCTAATTAATACACTCCAAAGCAGTGGTTCCCAAGATGGCTCGTGGCCTCCTTTCGGAGGCTTTCAGTCCTCATTGCCCCCTGGTTATCATTCCGGTAATACACTGAATGTTCCAAATCCCATTAGGTTTTGTTCAAACAATTCATGCACAAAAAAAGCGATAGTAACAAAGTACGAAACTTACCAACATCTATCCTGCTTATATAAAGACACTTAATATAAGGTATTTGTCGTAAATTTCGGATCACTTGGAATTTGGGAAAAAAAAAGGTTGGAAATCACTGCCCTAGTACAAATCCTTGTCCTTTGAGGAGCCCATAGTGACTTCCTGTAAATCTATCACTTCCTGATTGGGTTCAAAGTTGAGTTTTGATCACCTATTTCGAATATATTATTCTCATTTGAGAAGCTATTTTTTGTCTTTTACAGGTTTTAAGCTTATGTTTTTAATAATAATAATTTTTTCGTTTTTTTTTTCAAGTTTAAATTTAACTTAGTCATAAAAAAGAGAGATGCCGCGTTTCATTTGCGCCAGGTTCCAAGTGGACGGACGTATTGTTGTTATTCACGAGTGCTGGCTTGTCGGTGAAGGGCATTGTAGATGGCCTCAATCTGGCAACATTGAAGAATTAGTAAAAATGGGACAAAAACCAAAATCTGAATGGGGAGTTTGGGAAATTGATATTCTCGGTGGAGACGGTGAGTACTTGTTGGCAGAATTTGGTTGGTGGAACTCCCCTAGTATGTGTACCAGGTTAGGGTTAGGCCTTGATTTTATTCCAATTTTCCTTATTTTAGTTCTATTACGAGTTCGGGGACTGTCTGTGTTATCCAAGTGAATATACCCCCTGCCCATAGGTTTCAGTCCCTCTACACAAGTTGATGTAAAGTAGGCGAACAAAATTAGTTACCTCCATATTGGTACACACACTTCTGGAGCGCCAAATTGACTAGTATCCTTTGATTAATACAACTATATATTTTACGGTCAGAACCGGTATATTAGCTTGCATAGCAACCATGCTGCAAGAGCAAGCAGATACCTAATCAATGGAGCGTGAAACAATTAAATCTTTCCTTTTTTGTATGATTGTGTCCAATTAAGTTGATGTGTAATATTGAGTGTCCTGTTTGCTCTATTTGCTGCTTAATTTCAGCTGCAAGGTGTCGCTGACTAGATGACTCTCTGAGTCTTTTCGCGACCCCACGTCAACTGCAACAAGCCGATATTCATTTGACATTTTGTTACATTGTATTATTTATTCATTGTTTTTGCATGATGAAAATAAATATCTGAATCTGAAATGAACTGACTGAACATGCAGTGTTGCCAGAAACTAACAAAACAAAATAATACAATATTAACAATAATCCTTAAATTTCAGAGGATTATGATACCTGCTCCAGAAGAGCCTACAGCACCCAACAATCATGGGGATCTCATTCAAAAGTTCCGAATTCCGTTCCTCAAGGTCCTGGCAGCATGACAACAATGTCTTCAGGGTAAAAAAAATTTTTTCCTTTCAAACAGAGGAAAGCTGAGCCACGACCTCGCGCCAGGTTACCAATTGGGGCGCATGTTCACTAAACGGCTAATTCTAGTTGGCGTGGCACAAACACCTGGGTACGCTATTCCAAAAAGGATGTCACTACGATGTCACAATTACGTCATAAACCTTGCCGAAAACGGCTAAGACTACCCGAAATGGCATCTCCGCCAGATTAACGACATGCTAACGCCAGCGACCTATCTCATATCGGATTGTTTAGACGAGAAAATGAGAGAAATAGCTTGCTTGATTTGGGGTGATCGTCTGCTCATTTTGGACGACAATCAGTATACTTTGACAGGCCTTATTTCGTTACTGTGACGTTGTAGTGATGTAATTTTTGGATGACGTAGTAAGATGGGGGTTAGAAATGACATATGTGAAAATGGTTATGCCAAGCCAACTAGAAGTACTTAACGGCGTTTAGTAAACTAGCCCCCCAATTTGGGACAAGTACGAGGGATCCTGAGGAGGGGAAAGCTAATAATGGCTTAATCATATGGGGTATTCTTGCCAATTCAAGGCAGCCATTGAAATACTTTATTATTTATTATCTATGCCTACATTACAAATGTCTAACTGGCACACTTTTTTATCAGGATAGTGATTAGGAAGTAAAATGCACTATATATTCGGTGTGTCTAAATAATTTTGTCCCTAGAAACCCTGCTAAAACGCCTAAAAACAGTGAAAAACCAGCTAAAAACACTAGAAACCCTGCTAAAAACACTAGAAACCCTGCAATAAATAACAATTGTAACTTTAAATAAATTTTTGGACACTCTGTATATGGGTTAACCTACAAATCGAAACCCAGGCCATTTGAAACATTGTATGTGTTCCGTTTTGCGGTCAGGATAGAACTTATATCCTTTTTTGTGAGGTTGATTGCTTATTATTGTTTAATACAGTCAGCCATACATTTTCACATACAAACTGAGTTATTAGATGTAAATCCAGGATCTGTAACCTGTGATGCTGTCACAGGCGAGTCTATCGCTTTAACCGCTAAGCCAGTGGTAAATTTAATCTTGTCTGCCTTATTTTGGATATTCACGTTCCATTGACCATTCATGTATTTTCATCGTGTTTTTTTAATAAAGCTTATTTTGCCTTACTATCTGTTATTTGTAGCTTATTGTTAGCTAGTTATTTTTGAGGTGGGGCACGAGATATGACAAATTCTACAAAGGGAGTGCGGCTTAAAATGTTTGAGAACCATAGCGCTAGGCCATTGCACCCATGAATCACCATTTTAGCTCTTTTAGACAATTTTTAACTCAGCCCGTATTTTCAGATATACCTACAGACCACTGTTGGATTTGGAGAAGAGTACCACAAGCACAACTTCATCTTCAACGACTTCAAATTCACGGAAACGTAAAGCGCCATCAGATTCCGAAATAAAAATAACTTTGAAACGTCTAGAACATTCCATTTCAACTATAAATAGAAATTTATCTGGAAGACTAAGAGATATTGAAGATAAATTGAAACCTATTTTAAATGTGAGGAATTTAATTTGTACCTGAAAGTCTTTGTGAGTTGTTTTGCTCTCTATAAGCAGACACTGTATATGTCTGATGACACTGTACATGTAATGATCTACTATTTTAAGTAAAATTAGAATCCTTCCAGTGTTCCAGTATCGAAAATAAAATTTGTTTTCATATCTAAGGTTTTATTGCTGTATGATCTGCTTTTAAGTATAAGTTTATTTCGACTCCATAATCAGCAATAGACGATAAAAAAAAGATAAAAACAAAAGTAAAAGTAACTGATTATAGAATTGGGAAAGCGAACAAAACCTAGAGTAAGGTTTGAAACGTACAGATTTTAGATGGAAAGGTATTGATAAAAGAAGTAGTACGTGTTCGCTCACCCAAAGTATGCTCGAATTGGCCTAATGACTTCATGAAAATTGCATTTGATTTGATATAAATCAATGGTTTTCAAACTGCGGCCAACAGGCCAATCACAGACTGGGTAACGATTAATATGACCTGCTGAACTTGGGTAAAACAGTTTATCGTTCCAGATACCTTCAATTGTGTATATTCGTAACAAATCAATTATACCGGTAGCTTAATTATGCGTACCGGTATCGTCCCCTTCACCCGCGAATATTCTTCTGCTTCTAATTTGCTCCTGGTCAATCAATTTTGGGAACCACTGATATAAATTAATTGCTTTCTAATTTTATCAAGTTTTTCCTATTTTTCCATCTATCCGGGCCTTTTATTTATAATTTTTTTTTATTAATTTTCAGGATTCTTCATCAAATAACGGTGCACGAAGTCCACCCCCTGCAAGTCCCCCATATGTTCCGAAATATGACAGAGAGACAGGGAGACATTGCCATACTGTACTTCCTCCTGCTAATACTATGGAAGAACTAGATGAATGGCTCGATAATCAGGTGTGTTTTGATCTGGTCCAGGGGTGTGCAACCTGTGGGCCAAACACGGCCCACAAGAGAAAATTGTGCGCCCCACGGTGAAGTGCCAATTCATGCATGTCATGAGATCGAGAACAAAATATTTGTGATTGCAACAACTAGAAAGACTATGTTAAATGAAGGTTTGGCCCGCGGATGGCCTTCTGTCATAAAGGTTGCACATTCCTGGCATTGTCAATGAAGCCAGAAAATTTAACTTGAGTTGGAGCAGATATTGTATTTTTACTTTTACATTATCTGTTTGCTTATGACAAATATTAGATTTTTTAGAGACTGTGTTAATATTATTTCAAAAGCCACAAAAAATTTTCTTTGCTCTAAGATGCTGTGGGTTGTTGTAGCACAACTGGTACAGTAAGCCACTGATACACATATTTCATGTGTAAAAAATTCTCTTTATAATTCGTCTGTAAATCTTTACAGGACTGCTATGCAGTAGCAAAACGAGTTACATGCACTGAATTACGAGCAACAGTTCGTGCCTTCATGAGAGCAGCTATGACCAAGAATCTGGCGAAAACGTTCAGTTGGAGCGGGCTCGGAATGCGAAGAATGAAAACAAAAACCAGTTTCAAAGATCACAAAGCTTTTAATTACTTAATTGGTGAGTCAGCGTTTTTTTTTGCTCAACTGAATGAGTCAGCTATTTTCCATTACTCATGCAAATTTATAATATAAATAACAGTTGTTCTCAAACTTTCTAGGCCGCACCCCCTTTTCAGAATTTGTCAAGTCCTGCGCCACGCCACAAAAACAATTAACTCCTTTTATTAAAAAACACATTTAAAATATGTGGATAGTACGTATATATCCAAAATGAGGGAAATGTAAATATTTAAATTGAAGCGAGCAAGATCAAATCTAATTTTCTTCTTAATTAGCTCGCAACCCCTCACAAAATTTTCTATCCTCCACTTGTTGGGCGTGCCCCATCGTTTGAATACCACTGGTCTAGTCCCTTGTTTAGATCTGAAGGAGTCGTGAATAAGTATCATATAAAAAATGTATCTGAAAATATTATTCACAGATGTCCTTAAAAGACTGTCTGTCTTAGCCAAATGAATATACCCCCTGCCCATAGGTTTCAGTCCCTTCACACAACTTGATGTAAAGTAGGCGAACAAAATTAGTTACCTTCATATTGGTACACACACTTCTGGAGAGCCAGATTTTGTCATGTCTTATTCCAATTGAAAGACAAAATTACTATTCACAGATGTCCTTCACGAGACACCATTCCGACACGCATCTCAGAGTGAGATTTCCGACGGAATAAAGAAGGTATTGGCTGGAGTCGGTGAGTGGGACGGAGGACGCGCAGCAAGATACTCTTCGTTCCCAACAATTGCCTTCTTCCCTTGAATAATATGAGATGGAATTTTTCTTGAAAATCTTCTCGCTTGAAGGGAATCGGGAACAGATGGACGTGGACTCTTACATACTTATAATTTCCATCAAGATGATTGTCAGTTACGGCTTCCTCCACCGACCTTGAATCTGAAACAAATAACTGAATAACTACCGACACTGTCTCATTTCCATCAAGTTACCTGTCGGTTGTGAGTGGGACGGAGGACGCGCAGCAAGATACTCTTCGTTCCCAACAATTGCCTTCTTCCCTTGAATAATATGAGATGGAATTTTTCTTGAAAATCTTCTCGCTTGAAGGGAATCGGGAACAGATGGACGTGGACTCTTACATACTTATAATTTCCATCAAGATGATTGTCAGTTACGGCTTCCTCCACCGACCTTGAATCTGAAACAAATAACTGAATAACTACCGACACTGTCTCATTTCCATCAAGTTACCTGTCGGTTACGACTCCTTTCACCATGAATCTGAAACAAATAACTGCGTAACTGATCGAATACTTGACATGGACTGGTAACCGGATGAAAAGCCGTGGTTCGCGATATGATTAAACTGTCTTATTTCCATCAAGTTACTAGTTGGTTCGGCTTCTCTCATGATAAATGTCCATGAATCTCAGACTGATAAACGGACCTGCGGCCATGATTTCTCATATGATCAAACGGACCTCCTGAAGTATGCGCACCAAGATGGCGCACAACCTGAACTCAGGTTGTGTACAAGGTCATGTTTCAGGTTGTGCGACATCTTGGTGCGCATATTTCAGGAGTACCGAACTGTTATATCAGCTTTCCGCTCCCCCAAGAATCAGGATGAATATAAAAAATCAAATCTTGATTTATAGACAAGTATTGATGGCAAGTATGCAACCTCAAAAATTTAAATTAGGGAGACGTTTGAACTAAAAGACTCCTGCTAGTTTTCCATGGGCCGGTAGTACATTAAGTAAAGCATTGTTTGATCTCAGTGGCCGCTTATACAAGATATGGTCTGGAGCGGAAAGTGTGAATGACCGTTGTATAGAAAGGAAGAACATTTAATAAGCTATATCAGGGGTGAGCAAATACTTTCCTGAGTGGGCCAGTCCAGTCAGTTCATGACAAGTCTTCATTTAGTTGAATTTAGTCACTGAGTTTTTTTGCTGAATGGCCTTTAACCTCATAGGTTTTAACGGTTTGATGGGGATATTTAACTTTTATTTTGCTCATCACTGACGCTGTTCTTCATATTATGTTATTTAATTTCTAATTTTTATTTTCTTTTTTTTAAGCTGTACATGTTCTGCTGCTTTACTCTTTCTGTTTTATGATTTTTAGTTAAAACTTCTAACTGTTTTAGCAAATATTATAAAATTATGAGGGCAATGCACAAATATTTTGGTGATTTAAATTATTCTTCCTCTACCCTCAAGTCCATGTATCCGAAAACAAATGACTGGCTAACTAATCCCATACCTGACTTGGACTGGTAACTGGATGATAGGCCGTGGTTCACCATATGATTTAGCTATGTCATCGTCTTACCTCTCCTCCAGGATAAATATGTAAGTCCTGTATACGAACACAAAGATCATTGAATCTACTGAAAAGATTACCAGACAAGCATGACGAAATAAAAAAGTGTTCACCCTCAATTAAAATAAAACGTCGAAATTTTGGGGTTGAAAGTTCAGATCCCGCATAGCTCTGAAGAAATTTAATAACCCTCGATGGACACCCCCTTCAATCTCCCATCTTCAAGTCAAAAATTTATTTAACACTTACCGCTTGTGTTTAATTGCGCGTGCACCCAAGGGAATTTTTTCTCTAACGAATCCAGCAACAATTTGGCAAATCGATCTACATGTATAATTCTCACTCAATGAGTTATATTTTCATGTTTTTCTCTATGTGCCTGATTTATGAAATGATTTTTTTTTAAACTATTCTTGAACCATCATGATTATTCACCCTTGTTAAATTGATCGACTTTTACAAGACTATGATATAGGGATGTTTAAGCTATTCTTGAACCATCATGATTATTTAACTTTTCCTACAATTTAAAGTCAATGACTCATCTTTGAGTCAAGTATTGGATCTTTCTATTTGACATTAGCTTGTTGGATGGTTGCTCATGATATGATATTGTGAAAAACATTCTCTAATATTTTATCTGAATGTCGTAATGAGCTGAATGTCATAAGCATTTGAGTGAATACAAAAATAAACATGAACAATATCGTTATATTCAATATAATGGCCTTCTTGGTTCTTCATTCTGAAATTTACTCAACTGTTTGTGAAATTCCAAGCCAGCATCAACTACTTTGCATACAAGGCGGTCGTTTAAAACAGAAACCGCGAATTTATTGATCACTCTTACGAAAACGAAGACAATTTATTTAACACTTGAACTCATTTGTGAATGATTACTCAAAAAATTATGTTCTTTCTAGTATATGTTCCTAATGACCTGAGTTTTGGGACGCCCTGCCTGGAATTTTCAAATGTGGGTGTTCTGAAATTTCTTATTGCCAAGTTAGACAGTAACAGCTATCTGGTCCCGTCAGTATTTTTGACCAGCGCTCCCTCTCCTCCTGCATACACCCCTGCCGTGTAGTTGTACTCTTCCAATATCTATGTGGCAATTTTAGTCTTTGAAAATTGATGAATTTATAAAATTAATCAATACTTGAAAACATTTTTTAGCACATACTTAGGGTAGCAAATAATTTGCGCCTAGTAATTCACTGGTCATGGGTTCGACTTTTCAACTTTTGATGGTCGGTATCATTCTATGCGCCAACTAAATTGGTGAACTAACTGTTCCCTATACTCGTTTTGGACTACCTACTGGATGAGGGGCCATGGTGGTCCACCATATGATTCAGCTGTTTACAAACTCTTCCATACCTTGGAACCATGAAAACTAAACTGGTAGAGTAACTTTACTCATATCCAATCTGTATTTGCATATGACTTGGTTGTTTGCCATAAGACTATTAATCTTATGTATTATTGGTTTTTCTATCTCTGTTGTTTTTTATTCAGTAATTGTTTAGGTATCTTTTGCTCATATAATACGTATGGGAGGGCCAAAACAATATATGGTATAGATAAATTCCCATTGCAATTTTTAAAACATTTTGGGACTTTATGGACATCCTATATATGAAATTTCATCTAGTTTGGTTTAGCTTACAAGTTACAATGCTTCTGAAATGATTTGCTATTTCTCAACTTCCCTCTCATTGGTATAAAGATGAAAATCTATCATGTGGCAATATGAAAATCTGTCACTCATTTATTTTTCTGTGTTTTTCTTTGACAAACATCATGTTTCAATTTCTTTTATTGTTTTTTGTTTTTATTCTATTATTAGACTAGTCTAGTTAGTTGTATCAATTGAGGGATGCCACATTATATCTGTGTCAGATTCCAAGTTGATGGGCGAATTGTAGTTGTCAATGAATGTTGGCTGGTGGGTGAATCCCATTGTAGATGGCCTCAATCTGGCAACATTGAAGAAATGGTGAAAATTGGAGCGAAGCCAAAATCTGAATGGGGTGTTTGGGAGATTGATATTCTAGGCGGAGATGGTATGTTTGTACTGTGTTTGTATTGTAATATTGTAGATAGGGGACTTCAACTCGAAGGGAAAATCTTCAAAAAGCTTTCAATTTCTGGACTTCTGAAAATTTTTCTTGAAACACTTGTGAATATTCCTTGAAACTATGATTAGCTTCCAACTTGAATAGAGCTTGTTTCTTTGTAATAATTTCGAATGAAAAATTTATCAAAATTTTAACACTCGTGGTTTTGTCCAAAAACTTTTGAACTTTATTTTTATGTCGTTTTTAAAATGGATGCTGCGTTGAACACAGGACTAGGCCAGCTGACTAATGGATATTTCAATTTTCATCTAGCTTTGCACATAATAAAACTTTAGCTGTGAAATTATTGGCTTACCGTTGCAGATGACTATGAGACCTGTGCAAGGCGAGCATACAGCACCCAACAATCATGGGGAGCCCATCATAAAGCACCAACTTATACAATTGATAAAGATGCTTTGGCTCCCACAATCACTCCCTTGTCATCACAGAATCTCAGGTAATGTGGAAGTAATATGCTTGCTTCACTCGTACACTCTAGTACGTTTGGTTAGAGCAGTGCTTTTCACCTACTTTTCTGTAGAAATACCTAGTTTTTCTCATGTTAGTGCATTTCTATCAGGTATTTTATGCTCTGAATTTACGAAAGCAAAAGAATGAATGCATTTACAGACAAAAAACCGCAGTAATTTATTTCGAATTCGCTCTGTTGCTCTCTACAGGGCCCAGAGCTCAGTTTGAGAAAGTCGAGCGACGAGCTCACAGATCCAAATTTCAATAATGTACTTGTCTTTAGCGCTGCCTACCGACCGCACACAGAGATGGTGAAAGAGACGACGCCAGCAACAACGACGGCAAGTACAACCTCAACATCAAATCCACGGAAACGGAAAGCTACATCTGATGCAGAAATCAAAAAAACATTGAAACGATTGGAAGAATCGATCTCAACTATCAATAAAAATTTGAACGGAAGACTCAAAGATATTGAAGACAAACTGAGACCTATTTTGACTATTGTAAGATTTACCTTAAATGAGTTTTTCTGGAGCATAGCTGGATAGTCCTTTATTGTAGGTGTAGGTGTTTTATCGGTACTTCTGTAGTGTGTGGCTAGGGTTAGGCCATAATTTTATTCCGATTATCCTTATTTTAGTTCTATTATAGGTTCAGGGACTTCTGTGTTAGCCAAGTGAATATACCCCCTGCCCATACGTTTCGGTCCCTTTACACAACTTGATGTAAAGGAGCCGAACAAATTTAGTTACCTCCATATTGGTACACACTTCTGGAGTGCCGGATATTGTAAAACTTTGGACATTCTTAGGCATACTTCAATCACTCTGAACGAGCATTATAGACAGTAACAAAATCTTTATAGTTGCCAGTTTTTGAGACATTTTCAGTTCCCGGTTTAAACAGTACTTTCTGCTCCTAATAAAACCGTTATCCTGCTTTTGGGCACTTCGTGTTAACTGGAATTCAATTCTAAGTATATCTAACAAGTATAAACTGTTTTCCCAGGATCCACTGCCAGAGAGAAGCCCTAGTCCATCATACAGTCCTAAGTTTGAAAAACATTCCCATGTTGTTCTTCCTCCATGCAACTCCTTGGAAGAATTGAATGAATGGCTGGATAATCAGGTGAGTGGTCTTGATTTTCTAATAAGGCTGAATTTGGTGCTCCCGAAGTATGTACACCAAGATGGCGCACAACCTGAACCCCAACCTGGTACACATACTGTGTTCAAGATTTGCGCCATCTTGGAGCACATACTTCGGGAGCTCCCTGAATTTTACATTTTTTCACAGATCTTGTATTTTCATAATTACGAAAATCATACTCTCAATTTTTAACTCTTCAGAATTTTATGCTCTAAATTTAGGACTCGACATTCAATTGGAGAAGGCTTTTACATATCGCATAGTTTTTTCGTTATCAAAATTTTGTTTTCTCATGAAGTATCTCTACATCCTGCTGCACAACAAAATACATTAGCGACAACGGCAAGTGTTTAAAAGGGCCACACTAAAGGGCCGGGACTATAAACTTGAACTGTATTCTAGTATTTACAGCATTTATACATAATTTGAAATATATAAATTTTACTGCACTAATTTTTTACCAAAAAGACACTGAGTTGTGAGGGTAACAATTTTTTTTATTTTGGAAAAAGGAATGAGCCTGCTTTCTTATTTTGTTTAAATCAGGTTTTCACAATGTGAATCTTATTAAGGACTACGCTTGTGTGGAGCTAGGTACTATAAATTTAAATATTCTCCTGCGTTCACCAGTCCATGTTGGGAATGGGATTAGTTTGCCAGGTATTTGTTTTTAAATGCTTGGACTCTATGGTAGGGGAGAAGTCCAGCAATTCTCTCGTACATAATTATTCCCGTATGAAAATTCGAATCTACGAACTCACGCAGGGTAATCAGAGGCGTTGTAGAGAGGCGAGAGCGTATTCCTAACGCCTAGCACGTTGCGTCACACCGTTGAGCCTTTATCCTCTTATTCAGGACATCTATGCTTGTGCGAAGAGAGTAACTTGTGTTCAATTACGAGCGACTGTGCGTACATTTGTTCGAACGGCAATGACCAAAACCCTCGCTAAAACATTCAGTTGGAGTGGACTCGGAATACGAAGATTAAAAACAAAAACTTGTTTCAAAGATCACAAAGTCTTCAATTATCTTATCGGTAAGTTGATGTCTGTTTGTTGTCTATTTAGACCAGCGGTTCCTATCGAAGAGATCGAAAAATATAGAAATAAACAGAAATAATTTCACTCAGAGACTCTTTATTTTTGAATGGGAGCCTCTGATTGCTGTAAGTTTTTATTCTCTATTTTAATTATGCATCAACTTACAGATGTTCTTCACGAGACTCCGCACAGACATGCAACATCAAGTGAAATAGCTGATGCAATTAAAAAAGTTCTTGTTGGCGTCGGAGATTGGGACGTTCGGAGAAGTCAACGATACGGCTCTTCCTTCCCTTCAATTGCTTTCTTTCCTTGATTGATAAACTTAGAGGGGGAGTTTTGTGAAAAATGATAGCCTGCTACAAGTGGCCAATATTGCCTATTTTCCCAAGTGTCGATGGGAACATTTTACTACAGTGGTTCATGCAATAGTCTAGTCCAGTGGTTCTCAAACTTTTCAAGTCACGACCCCGTTTAGAATTTGTGGAGTGACGCTCCAGCCTCGAAAATAACTAGCTAACAATGAGCTATAAATAACAGATAGTAAGGCGGAAGTACCGTATGTTTTATTAAAAAAAAACAGTTTGAAAAACATGGGTGGAATCGCAAACAATAAAGATATTTAAATATTCAAAATATGACCAACAAGATCAAATCTAACAAATATTTTTAATTAGCTTCACCCCCCTCAAAAATTGTGTACGCCCCCCCTCGTGTGGCGCTACCCGCTGTTGGAGAACCACTGGTCTACTAGATGTATCTGTTTTCAAGTATTGATTATTTTAGGACAGGGTTTTTCAAACTGGGGTTCCAACCCCCCAGTAGGGTGCAAAAGCGCTCAATGGAGCTCGCATTTTTCTGGCGCTTCCGAAGTATGTGCACCAAGATGGCGCACAACCTGAACCCTAACCTGGTACACATACTATGTTCAGGTTGTGCGCCATCTTGGTGCACATACTTCTGGAGGTCCAGTCTTTTTGGACACTAAATTATGTTGAAACAAACTATTGATCAAATTTGAGAGATTCGGAACCGGTACAGAATATTTTAATTTTTGTGCAAAGTTTAGACTTCTTTTATCATCATTGAAAGTCTGTGATTCGAACTCCAGGAAATTCAGATTTTTGACTTCCCTGACAACTTTGACTCCCTCGAAAACCAGCTAAACTCCAATAGCAGCTTGAAATAGCAATAAAAAGTTGTAGTCTTGCTTATTGACTCACCATATTTTTGCAATTGAGATGACTCATCAATTTCTTTATAGGATTACTTATCAAATTCTTTGTAAGCAGCTCATTTCTTCCTTTAGAATTTAGAAATAAAATTTTTGAATGAATTTGTGTACAATTGAGGGTACTCCCGTCCCGTAGTATGTGAACCAAGATGGCGGACAAAGGAATGTAGTATGTGTACCAGGTTAGGGTTAGGCTATAACTTCAGGAACAAATACTACAGGAGTCACATGGCTAGTCCCCGAACTTGTAATAGAACTAAAATAAGTAAAATTGGAATAAAATTATGGCCTGATAGTTATACTAACATTATACACATTCTACGTTCCGGTGTCCGCCATCTTGGTTCACATACTTCAGAATTATCAAATTTTCTTGACCAATAATTATGTTTTTTCACTTTTATCTCCATATTTTTAGTGTATTTTTTCATATTTCTGTATTTTAATGTTTTTTTTTTCGAGTATTTAGCCTAGAATAGGCCTTTTATCCTGATTTCAGTCTCAAATTTAAAATCTTGAGTTTTTTCCGCAAAAGGTGCTTTGAATTGTTCGTATCTGTCATTAATTCATTCTTTCACATGCCAAAAGTACAAATGCATTTCAGTGTGAAGGAAGGTGTGATACACCAGTGATGGTTGTCTTATATATCGATTTGTGTGGGTAGCATCTTTCTCATACACATATCACTACTAATTTAATTTTATTTTCCTGTTTTAAATCATGTCTTATACGGTCGCTAGAAAAACAGAAAATTTGTGTTTTAAAGGCCTATATTATATTCCACTTACAGATGCTAAAAATGTTGCCCGCGTACGTCAGAGGAGTGTCTTAACCTAGAAGTCCTAGGGTTTCAATGGGTAATTTGCAGGATATTGTTTTAACTCCACCTATACACATTTTATTTGTGTTCTCATTTGACCTTCAAATTTTCTGCCTTTTTAGCTACCATGTTTGCTATTGTCATATTATTGCATTTAGTGGCTCTTGAAATTTTGTGATTCACAGCCCTCGCCAAAAACATTTTGATTACTCTCTGGCTCCCCTGCACTCAGGGGCACGGTGAATTTTTCTGCTGCCTAGGCGAGTTTCTGGTACTAATGCCCCTTTTTACAAAAAATAATTCGAGGGATAAACAGACAAACTATTCTGTTGCCCAGGGCAAGTTCCTGATACCCTACCCTTATTCCAACTTCAAAAATAATTTGTGTGATACAAAAATTATAAATGTTGTTATACATGAGAATGGATATATATTGAAGGTCAAGTAAGAGTGAAATGTATTAATTATTAAATCATCAAATTGAGCGACAAACTCACGTGTATGGGATAAAACTCATTTATCAGCCGTCCACATATAACATGCTGCCAAATCATCAAATTAAGCAACGAGAATATCGGTCAGAGACCGAAGACTTTATCGATCGAAAGTTAGGGGATCCCCCAAAACAGTGCTCTTATTCCATAGTGACATCTTGTGTCCCATCACTAAATAATTAATAACTCGCTAATTATACGACATAATTCATCCTAAATCAATAGGCTTCTGGTCCGACATATGAAATGCACATGCAAAATCTGGAGCAGATTCAATCTTGCTTTCGTGAGATATCACGTGCATCTAACATACAGACAGACAGACAGACAGACAAATACCTATGCATCCTACAATGTGCTTCCTCTATGGAGGCCCTGCACTACAATGAAGAAATTCTCAACTTTGTTTTATTACAATATATTTGATAATCTATGTTAAAAATACTTTTTACAATGTATTTGAAGTAGTGGATTATATGATTTCGATAGTCATGTTTTTTTTAAAATCTGACGTACTCAATGACTCTGTCACAAGTCAATCAGAGTTATTTTAGCTCCCATTAAAGTTCTTGGAGGGTACTTGCGAAGTATGTGGACCAATGGCGGACACCGGAATGTAGTATGTGTACCAGGTTAGGGTTGGGACATACTTTTTTTTCTGGATTTTTTGAAATTATGGCCTAAGCCTAACCCGGTACACATACTACGTTCCGGTGGTCCGCCATCTTGATTACATACTTCGGAAATACCAAAATGATGGGATTGGTGAGGGACGGATTCTCGTGTCATCGGGTCAACAACACCTCTAAAGTACATAGAAACTATATATATTTTACCTTCATAGGAAACATTTGAAAAGGATTTATGCCCTGATTTCGCTCTTTTGATTGTTGATATTATGAAATCTAATCTGTTGTACAATTATCTTGTGAATCTTCATTTATTGCCCAAATTTCTTTCAATTATCATGTTACTTATCTGTCTTATCTTACCTGTATCAGTAGGGATTTACTCAAACATGGTACATTGAATTTTTTAAGATTTTTGGATACAGTAATGAGTAAATTCTGAGTGTAGATATGTCAAGTTTTATCACTGATCTGTAGCACAAAACGATTTAAAAAGATATTTTTGTTATTTCTCATCAAACAGTAACGAATTATCTCTCTGTTATTTGTATTGATTGATCTATATCAGTGGTTCCCAACCGCCGGTCCGCGGACCAGTACCGGTCCGCGAAGCTTTTTTGCCGGTCCGCGAAAAATTTCGTTCTTATGCCGTCTCAATCCCTTTACCGTAGGTTGCGTTGGTTTATTACGCAATTTCTCTTCCGCCGTCATATTGCGACGTCATTCGCGACATCGTGGCGCCGAGTAATCACACTTCCGATTCATCGCGAATGCGCTCCATCAAATCTCGCAAGGTTCAGAAACCTAAAAATCGGCATGCGTGCTTTTTCTGTTCTGCGTGCTTATCGTGATTAATATGATCATCCATATAAAACGTTATGCATATTTCATTGTTCAAACCAGAAAACAGTCAAGGACAGTATAATATTCCAATATGATATGAACTTGTTGCGATCCTGCAGGTGATCACGAGACGCGCAAAACAGCATGGGCGCAGAGATTTTTTTGAATAATTTGGGCCTGGTAGCGACGACTTTGTCATTGTATTGTAAATTCATACCGTTTGAGGCATCGATCAACTGCAGAGGGATTAATATGATAAACCCGATGAAAAAGAAACCTCTTGATTAAAATTGTGACTCTACCTTACAGTCCAGATTTGAAAAAGAATCACTGTCATAATTTTGGATATCTCTTGATAACGAATACCCATCGCTAAGTAATCGAGCAATCAAACTCGTGTTCGTATTATCAACCAGCCACTACATTATGCGAAAAAACATTTCCATCACTAGCTTTAATTAAAACGAAGCAAAGAAATCGACTGCACACCGCTGCAGAGCTACGTTTTGCAGAAACTTCTTTGAGGCCTCGTTTGCAATCGTGCATCGGAAACGAAACAGCAGCAAAATTCTCACCAGAGTTTGTACATTATTTGGCATTTACATGTTTTTTATGTGAGATGTTTTACGCGTGGCCTTTGTTTACGCATGATGGGTGCCCAGCACTGCATTTCATTACGCAAATATATGATATTTTTTTATGTTCCACCCATTTCAATTTTTGGCCGGCACATTATTTAATAGTTTTTCTTCGTGTGAAATGTTTTTAAGTGTACCTTTTTTGTCTAGAAGCATATTGAGTGCCCGGCATTGCATTATATTATGCAAATAAATGTTATTCTTTTCTGTTCCGGTCATTTCAATTTCTTTGCCGGTCCGCGAGTACTTTTATTTTAATTTTACTGGTCCGCCAGGGTAGAAAGGTTGGGAACCACTGATCTATATAACACGAAAATGTTGTATTATTGCAAGAGTAAAAAATGACTTTTTAGAGTGATTAATAACTTTTGTCGCTCACTAACACACAATTTTCATATTATGGCGTATTTATGAGATTTTTGCATAAAATTGTGGTTCTCAACCTTTTTCTTTCGTAGCCCATTTTCGTTGCCTAAAAATTCTTGGCCCATTAACTTTTTCCTGCGAGAGAAAACTACAAGAAAACAAACTCTTTCGCAAAAAAAGACACTTGGACTTTAATAATTTAATGAAAGAGTATCAGCATTCAGTGCTCCAACAATAAAAAATTCAACCATTATCACTCAAATGAAAGCAATTTTTTCTAGCAATATTTAAATGGTTTGTGGCCTGAAATTGTTCTTGTGTGGCCCACTGGAAATGTGGTGTTGAAAACACGGTGCATAGAGAGGTACAAGTGGGTGCTGATAAAAGTAAAGTCACTGACTTTTGAAAAAGGCACCATTCTTCCAGTTCCAGTCTGCCTATTCATTTCATTTTATTATGAGCGAATTGATGGAAACGTGGTATTCTCCACCAGGTGCTCAGACACACTGAAAGAGAAATTAAGATTCCATTAGAACATCGGTTCCCAAAGTGTTTGTTTGTGCGGTGCTAAATTATCCGAAATTATCAGAAAGAAAAAAACCATGCGCACTTACACAAAAAACAAAATGCTGCTTTCGAAATAATTTGTGATCACCAATGTGTACTTTATTGCCTTTTAAAATTTGTAAATGTGTAGACCTGAAGAAAAAAAGGCACTAGTGCGTCGAGGCGTACCCTTTGGGCCGAAAGTGCATTAGGAAACCTAAATTTCATAGAATTTATTAACAACTCTGTACATTCATTGTATTTTTTTATCATTGATTTTTGTTATATTGCTTCACATTCAAGCTAACTTTTTCCTAATAGCTTTTACATTTGATCACGTGCTCTTAACCTGTAAAGTAATTATTATTTTGTTTTTTTTCAGATTTTTATAATTCTTAGCTAGATAGGGTATTGTAACTCTAGGATGCCACATTTTATCTGTGTTAGATTTCAAGTTGATGGGCGAATTGTTTGTTGTCCATGAATCTGGTTGGTTGGTGAAGCCCATTGTATAGATGGCCCCAATTCTGGCAACATGAAGAAATGGTGAATTAATGACAAAACCCAAATCTGAATGGGGAGAGTTTGGGAAATTGATATTTTGGGGGAGACGGTAGTGACTTGTTGTTTAGGATAGGGTTTACATACTATCTGTGTAGAGAAGAAGTTGATCGGCATAATCATATGGTTTTTAGTTTTTCCCACTGGGTTCCAATGATGGAAACGAGAGAGTTTCTTTAGCAAATAACGTTTTGGTGGATCGCGACCTTCAACTGATAGTATAGGGAGTGCATACTAATCGTACTGGGCGATAATTGCCCCTCTATATAAGTATATATAAATATACATTCGTGAAACTGAACGTTTTAGGGCTCAAGGATATAAATGTTAGTGACAGTCTCATCTTTTAATATTTTTCAGATGATTATGAAACTTGTGCAAGAAGAGCGTACAGTACGCAACAATCTTGGGGAGGGGTAATCCCCAAACCAACATGTACAACAGTGCCGCCACCCCCTCCCACGTCAATTACCCCGCAGCCTGCACCATCTGATGTTCGATATGCAATGGATTATATCAATGAACTAGGAAGAAGGTAACCTTTCAACTCTAACCTTTAAACCCGGTGTTTTTAAGATTATATTTATGTTTTTTGTTCTGAGAAAGTAATTTGAATTATTTATGGTAACCTTTCAACTCTAACCTTTAAACCCGGTGTTTTTGAGATTATATTTGTTTTTTGTTCTGAGGAAGTAATTTGAATTATTTATAATTTTGCTTTACACAAGGCATGTGTATAAATAAATAGGGTGTTGTGTTCCTAAAGAAAAGAATCTATATTTTGCAAAGTACAGTCCAACCAAGTAAGCGAGGTTTTTGGTAGTTAAATTGGGCAGGCAAATGTCGAACAAGAAGATAGGAGGAATAGAATCCTCTCGTCCGGTCACCAGTCCATGTCGGGTATGGGATTAGTTAGCCAGTTATTGGTTTCAGATGCATAGACTCAATGGTGGATGAAGCAGTAACCGACCAGCGATTTTATAAACCACCCTACAGCGACGAGGAGTCGAGCAATCTTTTCGCAACTAAGTAACCCCAACAGGATTCAAACTTGCGAACCCATGCAGGGTAATCAGAGTTGTGATGGCGAGCATATTTCTAACGCTTAGCACAATGCGCCACACTGCTGAGCCAAACATTCCAGTTATACCAAGCTGTAGTGGCTCATTACCTCTATTTGGAGCAAAAGTCTCTGAGCATCTTTTTTTTATTTCAAGGAACTCTGATATACCTCGGGAGTCACTGACCCCAATTCCAGCTCCACCGAACCCCAAGAAAAAGAAAACGTCAACAACAACTTCAGATCATGAGAAGAGCAGCGCTGAAATAAAAGCCACTTTGGCAAGACTTGAGGAATCTGTGTCGATAATAAACATAAATTTATCGCTTCGATTAAAAACGATCGAAGATAAATTGAAACCACTGCTTGAAGGGGTGAGTATGCTATAAACCAGGGGTGTGCAACCTGCGGCCCAAAATGGACCTCCTGAAATATTCGCACCAAGATGGCGCTTAACCTGAACTCAGGTTGTGTACCAGGTAGGGTTCAGGTTATGTGACATCTGAGTACGCATACTTCAGGAGCACCGAAAAAATTGTGCGTCTCACGGAGAAATGCCAATGGACAAAGGTGTGGCTCACAGTTTCATTCAGTTATTTGTATCTGGCCCTTCTGTATTAGAGGTCGCTCACCCCTGCCATAAACTATGCTTGTTTGACACCACCTGTCTCAGATAAGGCATGTAATGATTTTCTTAATGATTTTTTTGGGGTAACTAATGGACTGAAACCTATGGGCAGGGGTATATTCACTTGGCTAACACAGACAGTCCCCGAACTCGTAATATAACTAAAATAAGGAAAATTGGAATAAAAATTATGGCCTAATCCTAACCTGGTACAAACACTTCGAGAGTACTCTACTTTGAAAAAAAACATATTTTAAAATATTTTTGTGTTGTTTTCATCAGGAGAATGCATCATCAAATGCAGGCAAGAGAAGTCCTCCTCATGAACGTCAATCACTCACTGTGTTGCCTCCTGCTACCACTATGGAAGAACTCGATGAATGGCTGGATAATCAGGTTGGTGATTTCATTCATGGAATAATCCCAACTTAATGTAAATAGCCATGGCTGCTGTTTCTGGAAAGATTTACACGACTCCAAACACTGTGCTGTTTGAAATACGCTTCCTGATTGACAATTATATTTATCAGTCTCGGGTTAAGTTCAGCTTTTAACGAACCCAATTTTGACAGCATAGCTCAGATGCATTCTCTGTTTTGGCTCTTGACTTTGTGAAGTTTGAAAATTTGTTTCCATAAAACTCCACAGCCTAATTCCAAGTCATTCTTTTTCCAGAACGCATTTGTAGTATCGAAACGAGTATCATGTACGCAACTCCAACTATGAACCACTATAAGATAAATTCTTTAACTTCCAACACCAAATTTTGACTGCCAAAAACTGCCTAATTTATTTTTTTGCTTCAAATTCCAATTCAATAAAACAAACAAACTCGACTCCACAGCTTTATAATTGCAGTTCATTCTCTTTCCAGTATCGAAACGAGTATCATGTATGCAACTCCAAACACTAAGCCATTAAAAAAAATTTATACTTCAACTTCCAAAACCAAATTTTGACTGCAAAACTTTGTCTAATTTTCTTCTTTGGCTCCAACTTCCAATTTGAATAAAATTTAACAAACTTGACTCCACAGCTCAGCTTAGCCCTAATAAGTCCAGTTCTTCTCTTTCAGAACATATTTGCAGTATCAAAACGAGTATCCTGTACGCAACTACGAGCAACCGTTCGAATGTTTGTTAAAACTGTGATGAAGAAAAGTCTTGCAAAAACGTTCAGTTGGAGCGGATTAGGGAATAGAAGATTGAGAACAAAAACAAGCTTCAAAGATCATAAAATATTTAATTTTCTTATTGGTGAGTGTTCTGTTGAAGCATTTCTAATAAGTTTAGTTTGATGGCCCCAACTAAGTAAGTGTTCAACCAAACCAATCATTCAGATGCACCAATTTGGACATGTTGGCCTATGTTGGCCAGCAATCATCTCGCACATAGTTATCTTGTACGGGATTTGAACCTGTGAACCTATGCGGAGTAATCAGAGGTGCGGTAGCAAAAGTATTCCTTCAGCCTGCCACATCGTCAAGCGAACCTTTTTTTCTGAATGGATTAAATGGTATATTTTTATCATGAAGAGCGAATGTGGATGGGCACAGATCCAATCAATCTCAATCAGAAACTTGCTTATGTATCTTTCCGTTAGTGGTAAATACTTTTAACTTCAATCCTCAGACATTGTATCAGGACGTAGGCTCTTATTTCAGTTTAAAACTAAAACTGAAGAAACTAATGAACAAACTTTCTAGGAATCATCACAACTAATAAACCTGCATATTTTTGTACAATGAATTTTCATTAAATAATAATAACTTTTATTTTAGACGTACTCCATGAGACCCAACATAGACATTCATCAGAAGCAGAGATTGCAGATTCGATAAAGAAAGTTCTGGCGGGTGTAGGAGATTGGGATGGGGGTCGCACTGCAAGATTCTCATCTTACCCCACTATTGCGTTCTTCCCTTGAGAGGCAAAAGGGAGGAAAGGGAAAACATTTAAGGGGTGAGTTACTGAAATTCTGTATTTGGTGTATTCCTGGAAAACGAGATTTTATTTTTGTTTTTTTTGAGGGGGAAGAGGGGCATAAAAAGTAAAACCCTGTCTTAAAGCATGTCATCTTTACATTTAAGGAGTGAGTGGTAAAAGACAGAGTTCGGGAATTTTTTTTTCAAGTTCAATTTTTTTTACCTAGGGTCATGAAACAGCAACCCAATTTTAGCAGTTGTTATTATCATTCTACTTCATTGAATGATGGTGAACGTACTATATGTCAATTAATGGCCGCTTGAAGTCTTTATCATATTTGACCATGGGAAAGGGAAGCTGATAAGGCGTATTACAATAAGTATGATAGGAGTGTACTACCTGAAAGACACTGATTCGTACAATCAATCGATTCGTGAGGTAGAGTCATGTAGGATAGGGTCTCCCAAACTGGGGGTCGTAACCCGTTTTGGGGGTGCAGCAAATTTTAGGGGTCGCAAAATATCTATTGTACTGTTTCAGACTTCCGATTTCGAACACAATTAATAAAACTAGTGCAAAACGTAAATCTCAGGATACAATATAAGACAATACATAAGATCAAAGAAGCGCCGCTCCCACATACAACCCGAATTAACAGAGGTAGCAGAAAATTTCAATATATTGTGAGGGGTCTTGCGCTTGAAAGTTTAAGAGCCCTGATATAAGAGATGCAATAAATATTTCTAACATGTGAACAAAGCCGGCATGTACTTATTCTTCAGATCGATGTCCATCCCAGTAAATGGTGTTGCCAGAAATGCTACAGCTCAGAAGAAAGCAAGGATTCTGCTCCAACCAACGACAGTGCTGGTCTCTCCAGCCAAGAAAAGTTGTGAACGAACACAAAGATTGTGCTATTAAGCATGTCTAAACAGCTTCAATTCTTCAGAAATTTTGAAAATCTATTTTGAGTTGTAGAAAAATATAATAAGCAGGATTGTTTTTTTTTTCTATTTTGTTTGTTTTTCATGTGTATGTTTTGCGAGTGAAGCATTGAGAGAATGGATCCATGGAATCAGGGAATATTTACAATCAACTCTAGATTGAGAAAAATCCCGCCCTCATCTTTTTGCGCAAGCTAACCCGCTTTAGTACACTTCCCGACATCGGGCAGTTAGAAAATACAACTCTGGTGGATTTCCAAAGTTTGGCCCACTTGAATATAAATATGCTAAGCCGGATGAATACCAGTGTATGTCTTTCTATTTTGAGTCCAGTCTGCTTTTGTATCTGTTTTTGAAGAGGTCTTAAGGTATATGAGTGGCGGTTGACTTGAATATATGCTAAGTGGGATGAATACCAGAGTATGTCTTTCTATTCTGAGTCCAGTCTGCTTTTGTATCTGTTTTCAAAGAGGTGTTGAGGTATATGAGTGGCGGTTGACGATTGTGCTAAGCGTTTGTAATAAATATGCTTGTCATTAAACCTATGATTACCCTGCGTGGGTGGAATCACGTGGGGTAATATTATGTGAAAGGATTGCTAGACCCCTCGGCAAGAAGTTGGATCACATACCGTAACCGCTGGTTGGTTAGGTCACAGCTATTCCACTATTTTCACCAAATATCGGTTTACAAAACTCTGACAGTCCGGTCATTCCAAAAAATATATTTTACCATCCAAGCAAAACTTCAAATTCTATGTCCGACAATATTCATAAGCTTCGCGTTGTGGCGCATCGTGCTGAGCGTTAGCAATGCGAGGGGATTGCTGGACTCCTCGTCGCCATAGGGTGGTTCACGTCGCCGCTGGTCGGTTACGGCTTCCTCTACTACCGGTATCAAGTCCATGCATCTAAAACAAATAACTGTTCCTATACCCAACCACCGGGCGAGAAGCCTTGGATCGCTATATTATGAGCGAGTCAAGTTTCCGACTTTCCTCTCCCCCGAAATGAATATGAAAATAGTATCCTTTTGTTAAAAAGTTGTAGTAGCACGCTGGAATACAGTCCACTTTCAATTTTGGGCGCTATTGGCTGAAGAGCTGGACTGACTCTAACTATGTTTGCAAATTTTCAGATTATTTTTCAATATATATAATATAATTCCGTCGAATCCTTTTCGGAAAATTTTGTTAAAAGCTGCACGAACACCATTTGCTATATTCAATTGACTAAAAAATCAGATGTTCCGAATATTTCATGAACCACGGTTCCTTTTTAAAACACTCATATCTTTGTTTTTTATACAGATTTGCTAGTTCTGCTTTTACGAGTTTACTTTATGCGTCGTCGCGTTTAATAATAATAAAAAAAACTAGCAAACGACAACATAAGATAAATGCATTGTAGAGAAACAATTTGCCTTAAATTAATGTATTCTGAGAGACTCAGCCAATGACCCAGTTTAAAAAGCCATGGTCTAGACTCCAGAGCAGGGGTGGGCACGATTTTTTATTACAAGAGCCGCATGCTGCAAGTCAGAACTTTAAAAGAGCTGCAGAATTTGTGAATTTATTAATATTATCGAAATACCTTGAACCGAAAAGAAATTCACACAAGAGACTAATAACAATATATAGATAAACAAGGCAGCTATACTCAAATATATGCACAGTTTGAGCTCATTTAATTTGTGCTCCTTATAGCTGATTATTTACGAGGGTAGTCTCGTAGGAGGTTTTCACGATTCGTTTCATGGTGCCGTTTAACATTGCTGGCTTTATTCTGACTTAGTAGCTTATGACAGATTAAGCACAAAGGTTTATTCTCCTGACTGGTAAATCCGTACGTTCTTCTCATTCTGACTTGACAACTCTGTTTTCATCTTCGTACTTTTGTTTTTTAATTGAGGACATATCGCACAGTAACTTAGATAGACTAACTAACCGCAATCAAGCTGCAATACCGCCGACGCATCAATAAACATTGACCATTGTGACGAAAGATTTGCTGACTTGACTGACTTAAATTCAACGCTACAGCGATTTTCATACTTAAGTTAAGTTTAGCTGTTAAAGGTTAAACTTATCTCACAGTTCGGCGGGCCATTTCAAATCGTTACGCGGGTCGTAATTGGTATGTGATTCCCTTATCTACACTGATAAATATGCCATATTCCATATATTTAAATACAATTATACTTGAGTTAGGAATTACAGTGTAGAATCGCACCACGAAATTAGGGGGAGGGGGGATGTGTAGGGAAATCACTGATTAGGCCTACCTCGCCCGACTGTTTACATGAATCTGTAAGTTTCTGTGTCATATTACAATACTCTTTATCAACTAAGCGACAAGGAACTAAAATTAAAGACATAAAACAGCGGTATAGATAGAAACTGACTCGAGTACATAGCGTGCATACAAGTTCTGGATTGAGAACTTAGTACTACGTCATCTAATGCCGTTTCCGAACTGCGGTCGATTTTTGCTGAGGCGGTTTTTCAAAAGTGTAAAAATAAGTCGATTTTATGTGAATGGTAAGTGACAAAGTTCATGAAAAACGATATAGAATTGGATCCCTCCCTGTCTACACCTATGGCAACATTGACATTCTAGAGCAGTGGTTCTTAATCTTTGTGAGCCTGCCGAACCCCTGCGCTATTCTGCAAGCTCCCGCCGAACCCCATTGTACTGAACGGTTGAAATTAGAAGCCAAACCGTAACGTCATAAAGCGGAAGCTAATTCTTGCAATGTTATAGAATATGAACATTGTGATGAAACCTTAGATATCAATAACCATGTGGGAATAACCATTGTTTTGTCACAATGACGTTGGCGACAGAATGAGCAGATGGTTTTTGTTGTATAAGTTATGCGGGTGAACCGGCGAAAACTGATAAAAAATAACTTTGAAAATCCGAAAGATGATAATATACCCCATAAACGTTGGTAGTTCAAGCAATTTGTTCTCAAACTTTAAACTGCGCTGAAATGCGAATAAAATCGTTTGCCAATTGTTTTATCTTACAGAAATAGAGATAGGATTAATTCGGCGCCATATCGAGGTTGTCCTGAATGGATCATAATAATTTCGGGTAAAGCTCTGCGATAAACTATTCCTTGTCGCAAATTTATCACCTAGTGAAATTCAAACACGCTATGATTTTGCATTCATTCATGTACAATACTGCCTATCTTCGATTTATCCGTAAAATTGAGTTAAATTTTATTAGTACGGTAGAATATGAATAAGAGTAACACTAATTAATTGTTCCATTCAATTGTTCAAGTCATTAGTAATTAGTCATCATGAACTATAGTTACTTTTGCATAATTAGTATGCAGGGTGATAAAAAAGTCTCATAATATGCAACTGTTTCAGAGCACCTTCGTCGAACCCCTGGAACAGCTCCACCGAACTCCAGGGGTTCGATCGAACCCAGTTTAAGAACCACTGTTCTAGAGTCTAGACCAGGGGTGGCAACCCCTGGCACGCGTGCCACATTTGGCAAGCGAGCCCATTTATTCGGCACGCGAGCGAGGCCTCGGAAACGAGATCATTCTTCTTTAGATAGAAAGTTTAAGACTATGAATAATCTGATGAAAATAGGTGTTCGTTTGTTCATTATCGAATGTTAACAATCCGGTATTTATTTTACTCTTTTCGTCCTCTCATGACATATGCCTACAAAGAATAAATTATGACGTAACAAATGAGTGAATGAGTGAGCTCTCGCGAAATTTTGTCGAGAAAAGCTCGGCATTCATTTGGCTACATTCTCACATAATATAGATCGTCTGTGCCACCCTTTTTCGTCATTTCTGATTGATTTAAAAGTTGTACAGCCCACGTTGGTTTTAGTCACTTGCTAACTTACTGTTATAAAATGATTTCGAAAGAGATATAAGCGATTAGGAAAGGTAACAAGAGAGGAGTGCACAAAACGAACTATTGCTTGCGTGATTGGGATGCCATTCCAGAAAATTTTCCGTGTCTTAAAAACTTTGCAACTGCATTACTCTACAATTCTACATATGCTTGTGGATCTCTATTCTCAGTTGTGAACTTCATAAGTCTCGTAACAGGAGTAACATGTAAGATAAAACCAGTACCGGTAGTCCGTGTATTTATTTAAAAGTTAGAAAATATAAACCCAATATAAAATATCTATCAGCGTTGATGCAGCAGAAAAAGTCTCACTGATATAGAATAAAAAAAGTAATCAAGTCTATTTGTCGGACTGATATTTTCCCGAAAAGTGAATCTGTCTGTACATGTTTAAAAGGTTTATTATTGTGTATGTTTGCTTTGAAAGTAGCAAAGTTATGTATTTAATTTTGGTCGGCACGCGGAAGAATTTGTCGCTAAATTTATCCGATTTTGGCTCGCGAGCCGAAAAAGGTTAGACTCTAGACCAGGGGTGGGCACACCGCGGCTCGCCAGACTTTTTTTGCGGCTCTCCTCGCTAACATAAATTATTATCCAAATTTTACTAACTTTTTACTAAAAACTTTAATTAAATTAAATTAGTTTAGTTTTAATTTAAACCTTTTACCGACTTTTAATAAATTGAAAGAGTTTAATTAAACAAGTTTTCGTCAATGATTAGGACAAATTATGTTTAAATAATACTGATACGTTTAACACTTTATGCGTTTACTTTTTTTGCGTTTTAGATACCGCCAATTGTTACATCATTATCACAGTTTAAGCAAGCACGTGTATTTCGTAACAATTCAATCATAGCGGTATTATAGCCCGCAACGTCGCTAAAAAATCGCCCGTTTGTTGAAGGGAAGTTTTTACGCGAATATATGCTGCAAATTTTTGAAGTCATTTCTTCTGATATAAAAAGTTAATTTTCCAGCATCAGTCTTACTAACAACACAATTAAGAACCTTAACAAATCAAAACTTCGGTCCAGACTGACAGACAATTACTTGAATTGGAGCCACGTTTTGAATATCTGATTTTAAGCCAACCCGAATTACACGTATATATATATATACAATGTACACATACACTATGTTAACTAAACTATGTTGGCATTTTGTTATATATCGTCACGCTAATAACCGAATTGCGTAAGTCATTTTTAGCAGTTTTGAGAAAAACGTAAAAAAACGTTCTAATGATATTGTTATGTCATTGAGAGTCAATAATTTGCCATGGTTCAATTTTTTGAACCTGATTTAAGTTAATTTGTATGAAGCAGTTAAGTGACGTCATAATGGCGCACTGTGACCTAGGCAGAAATGTGTCTATGACCTGAACATACGCAATTTTGCAACTTTACTATGTGCACCAGTCCTGAAAAGTAAACATTCCAAAGACGAATGTAATTCTCAGTATCTACAATGTCTAATCCCCAAAATAGCTAATCAGTTTCAATTACATTATTTTTTATGTTGAAAATATATATTTCATCAATATAACACGTTCTGCATATCCACCGAAATAAGACTAGATTGAATATAAAGAATAAAACGGCAATGCACCCAATATAAAAGCCAACCAAGGTGGAATTGGACTCGGATAGTGAATATCACAAGTGCACGTATTCCTATACTGTTGTATAAATCCAAATTAATACGCGCTAAGCTAGAATCCGAGATGCAAAAACTCGAAAATACTTCGACGAGGTTATTTTGCCTTCGTGACGTCACAATAGTCCTGTCGTAACAATGTCAATTCATTATGACGAAACAATTGCACAAATGTGCATGTCATACTAAATCTCCATTTTTATGGGTTTCGGAATTCTTAAAATAAAATCTGAGTTAACAGACAGGTGCGCAGCATTACATAAATACCTATTTTATAAAAAAATTCAAAATCGCCAAAAATGACTTACGCAATTCGGGTATTAGCATGACGATATATTTATATATATATACATTAGGATGTTTTTTGTGTAACAAAACAAGCCATAAGGAGTCATTCATACGATGTCATATGCTAGATGAGCAAGTAACTTCATTAGTCACTATCAGTTGCAAATTTCTTGTTGTTGTCGTGCTTGCTATTCCTCGGGTATTCTATCACCTAACTAATATAATTATTATTTTATTACATAACAAACTGCGATGCTAGGTTATCTAAAATCAAGCTTCCAACCTATTTTTCAAAATTTCCCAATCGTGCTGTCGCGCCTTTTTTGCCGTTCCCCTTTTCTGATCCGCGAATATTGTTCTGCTTCGAATTTTGGCCCACGGCCAATCAACCTCGGCAGAACCCCTGATGTAGATCGACCACCCCTTACATTTCGACCCCCCTCCCCCTAAAATGAAAAGCTGGGGAACATACTGGGACTAATACACGGTAAACGTTAAAAAGTAACACGAAATAAAATTCATAAAGTTTTTTTTCGTGGTCCTCGTCACAATTAATACTATAAACACATGTAACAAATTGATTACTGCCTCGGGGCTTCCCGCAATAATTAGTCGAGTACACCGCATAGAAAAGGTATAGACAGAGTTGACCTGCAAGTTGCAACAGATACGGACTAATGTCAGCGACCTTCCTACATTTTTTTGTAATTTTTATATCATTGTGTATCTTGTCGACTCTGATATATGTTAGCAGAAAACGCCCTTATTTCGGGCTTAATGGAGCAGCCTGGAATAACAATGAAAACCTAAAATTTTCGATTTTGACAAGGAAAACCGAGTTTGGTGAGATTGCCACGCAGGGGAACTATAGAAATCAAGGTGATGCATATCGCAGTAAAGCTACGGAACCAATAAAAAAGGCAGATATTGTTAGCCTTTCCAGTCTAATTATGCAAGAATTCAATTTATCTTTCAAATCAAAGGACAAGCGCATTTTAGGTGGCAAGTGGTTGGATATATTCCCGGAAGTACGACATATGCTACAGGAAATCGAAACCGGTAGACCAGCATCTTCAATCAATGGTATAACTTCGGCAAAACAGTCTGTAGTAACATTTGACAAAAAGCGGAAATATTTTGAAGGAAATACATGGAAAGGACTGATAAAATCATATGATCGGAAAAACAACCTGAAATCCCAAGGCGGAGATTATTATAAAGCATCCCTTTATCGCTCAGAGCGAATTATCGACGGTGGCGTGTCGTGTACTGTAAAGGACAACCAAAACGGTACATACGGAGTGGAATGCCCGTTACCTTGGCAAGGTAGAGGTTTTGTCCGTGTATTTCTGCAATCACCGAAGGAAACAGTTTATTTAAATATGTTGATCACGAGCAAAATGAATGAAGAATTGATCATCAAAAACACTTCGTTTATAAACTCATTTAAACAGAGAGAATATTCGATATGCGACATGGATTTGCGGGATAAATACAAGTAAGTCAAAGTATATTTCTTGTCTTTATGCGGAACTGAAAATAATGGATGTTTCCCCGACCTTTGACCCCAGATTTTTTTTTGTATATTTTACCACTGTAAAAATTGATTCTTATTCAAAAGTGTTTTTGCGAGTTTGCGCTTTTAAATTTACATATCCATAACCAGCCAGGAATTGCGGGTGCTACTAAACATCCCCGAACGATAAAAAAAAATACTCATCGAGTCAAAGTCTTAGCAAAATTATCGATTGGTATCTTTAAGTTTGACCTATTGCTCAAATGTTACGGAGGTAAACTGGCAAACATGCAATGTCTAACTAAATGTGCATACTCAACTACAACAATTCGTAGTACAATAAAAAAAAATTTTCTCAATCACGGTATATTGTAAGTCCCACCCGAAATAACTTTTATTAAACGACGATCAAACGAACAAGGCACTGTACAAGCATCAACTGATACCGTGTTTCCCTTAGAATAAGACCTAGTCGAGAGCGCAAAAAACTTTTTTGACCTAGTCGATAGCAAGAAATCACTCCTACACGTTTTAAATGATTGAAAATTTATGTTTTGCAGTTATTTTGAATAAAAAAACGTGTTATAAGTGAATGGATATCGATTTTCATATTTTGTATATATATTTGAAGATCTCGTAATTCTCTACTTCGTAATTTGATTTTTGATAAATGAAAATATAAGACATCCCCCGAAAATAAGCCCTGGTGTCATATTTCGGAAGAAAATTGAAATAAGACCCAGTCTTGTTTTCGGGGAAAACAGAGTATGTAGGGTATACTATTTCTGGAGAAAAAACAGCCTTTCCAGTTTGGCATTGCCTATTATATTTATTACGCTCTGGATGAGGTGTTGGGTACTAGATTTAAAACCCGATTTTCTCAACAACTGTCACAAGAAAATCTCAGATATATCTCGCGTTTTATTCTGCGCGACAAAAATCGTTTTAGTATTTTCAGGCTCCCTAAAGTCGGAGTCTAGATTTTTGCATACTTTCATCGGTGATGAAATAAAAAAATAACTGATTTCACTAATTGTTTTTAACTTGCACACGGCAAAATTTTTCGTTATTTTATTTCACTATAATTTTAAACCCCGAGCACAATCCTGGTTGCAATGAAATATCATTATTTCAACCAAGCGATGCTGTAGCTTCTCCGCGTTGAAATCTATTCCTCTATTTCAGCGATTCCGATATATGTGATCATAGTAACCTTCGCAATGGCGAACCTTGGTTCTGTGTGAAAACTTCTTCGGGAGAATGCCCTGCTATAGAAAATCAATTGGAAAAAATAGTCGATAAAGACGGAGGTAAAGCATTTCGTCGTAATAGGTACCGTGTTGAACCTGCAGCTGTTGGATCTGGCGATCCGGTAGCATTTTCCATCAGAAAACGACCAGTGAAAATGAAAAGAAAATTAGAAACATGTTCAAAGAAAAACCTCCATCAGTGTACTTGGATCTCAAAAAGCCACTGGATGGTTCCGAAGGTCGATCTTGGACATCATTTCAATGTTTGCTCGGAGAATTTGGTGACATTACGATTCGTTCAATGCATGAAGAACAAGAAGATTTATGTCGTTGGCGATTCTGTTGCCTCCCAGTGGTTTAGGTTTATGTACGGTATATCCCGATCCACGGGAAAACTGTTTTCGCGTTTTGGTTGGTCAGAACCGCAAAATACATTTAGTAAAATTCATAATATAACATTACATTACCGTGGGCATGGACCTCCGCTACATGGACCTGGTCCACCTTTATTTCACCCGTACATATCGAATACGATAGATTCGATAAAACATGCCGGGCGAGAAACTCATTTTCTGGTTTCGTTTGGTCCACACTTTGGAGGATATCATCCCGATGTTTTCTTGAATCGACTTGTGAAAATCAAGAAAGCTATGCTACGATTATTATCTCGATCTCCTGATGTAACTTTCTATATTGCCGGTATAATACCGCACTCACCTTGGGAAGTACAGCCGAGTGAATGGATAATGTACCGGCAAGAAATTCTGATGAGGAGCGTTCTGGGAAATATGAAAGGGGTTATATATTTGCAATTTTGGGATATGGCAAGCGTTATCATGAACAAAAAAGTACACGTATTAAATGATCTTTTACGACAACAAATGCGTATTTTCAATTCGTATTTGTGCTCTCCATAAAAAGTAATAAAAACACGGTAATGACATTAAAGTTATTGGACTATATGAAGATCTTCCTACCCCCAATCCTACTTGGGAGTGGGATATTCACATAGACGGGGGTGGGGTATCCTAGGGCAAGGCTACTAAACTATGTTCTCAAAATAGTTAGTTTTGGAGCGCCTCGTCTGTCAAAGTATAATTTGTAAACGCGTATCATTTTTTTGTAAGAAATAATTTGCAAACTTTGCTTTTACAGATAGTTTTTAAATAGTGTATGGACCGATCCACCTCCTCCGCTATTGTAAGCACCCCATATCATAATACGTCCCCAAAATGTCATTTCGGTCTTTGTTGCTAAATGCGTAACCTTGAAACCCTCTTTCTTTTCGCACACGAGGACAAAAACATATATTGCCAAAATACATGTTAGTCAGTTACGGTAGTCTACGAAAGTAAACCAGACCCGACGCAAACTACAACATCTTAACGTACTAAACTCGAAACGACTAAATTTTAAACAAAAATAATAAATCTAATGCTCGTTAAACTAAGTTAATAAAACAGAAAAAACTATCTCGTTTTCTATTTGAAACAACAATCTCCCGACACTTCAGTTCCTGCAAACTAACCGCAATAAAATTTAGCTCATTCCTGCGAAGATGACTCGAATCCATTGTCAGATTTGTTTGGTAACAATTCTTTATTACGTCACACATTATCAAATTTGTCAACTCGCTTTGGGAATGCAGATTGCGCATTTTTGCATTAGTCGCAGGGGCTTTGTACAAAAGTCCTACTAACTTTTTAGTCACTAGCGGTACCTTGCTAAAAATTTTACATGATGCTCATTCATTCACAAATACAGACATTTCCGGGTTACATTTTCCATCCAAAGTTGCCACTGCTTGCCAAACCATGCTAACTCCACAGTTGCTCTTATTTTACGAGTAAAATAAAATTCGTATCTACAGAACGAACGTAAAGATGTGTGTAGCTGGCTGCTAACTTTCCAACTTTTCATAGAATTTGCACCAAGGTCGGTGACGCCTATTATATCATCTGCTATCATATTGTATGCTAAATTTTCGTTGACTGTAATGCAAAAATATTTTCTTCAAACATTTTACCATTCGTAATTTATTCATTTAAGTGCTGGTTAAATTCAATTCCATCAACGGATGAGACTATATATTCTCGGTGTTCTCCCAATAAAATACTTCTGACTTTGATTTCTTGGATCTTTTGTTCAAGGTCCCCCTCAAAAAAATAGTAATTATTTAGTTCGGGTTAGATTGAGGAATGCCGATTGCGCTGAAAATTCGAATCATTTTGTAAAATGTTTTGGGAACTCATGGGGCTATTGTAAACTTTTCCCGACTTCACAACCCTGGTTAAAATGCAGTACGCCACTGGAATAAGAGCTTCTCATAATTAATGTCAAAGTTGATTGATATTCAGGATCAAAACTAAATACAAATAATTTGTATATTGAAATTGTACAGTGATCTATGCCCTATAAGGAAGTAATAATCCACGCATATATCTGTAGTACGTCATTGTCTCAAGTCATAGAATGACGATGCTTTAATCCGCCAAAGAATTGAATAAATCTATTTAATAAGCTATTATTAACGTATTAAGTAGGAGTGTAATTTACTGATACTCACTGTAAAGTCGGAGTGTGACGTCTACATTGGATTCGAAATTTGTAATTCGTCAATGTCAGAATTTCTTACTTGCAATGTTGATAATAAAGTTAACATGTTTTTCAGAAACTCCAAAAGTTTACTAAGTGTTATCGACAAAGGAGACTTGCACACGCCAATATTTTTTCTCTCAATATATATATTGTTTTCTGAGTTACGTCGGAGTCAACATTTTCCTAACCCCGATTCGAAGTAAATTGTACACTTATTCCAACTTCATATCCTTTATTGAATCGCCGGTATTCTCCAGTTTAGGACTTCCCAAATTGGGGTCTGCGGACCATGGGAGTTCGTGATGACTGCACATGGGCTCCGTGGCGATTAGAAAATAATCTGATCGATCTTTAATGATTGATTTCAATCAGAAGCCATTGCATCGTTTTCATTGAGCATTGCGAACGAATATTGGATGAGTAAATGAGAATATTCATTGTTAAAAAAGGCATTTAAAATTATATTGCAAGTTGATTGATATGCATAAACTAAAATTAAATATCATTGATTCGTATATTGAAATTTTATAGTGACGCATAAGGAAGTAATAATCCACGCATATAACTACAGTACGTCATTGTCTGAAGTCATAGAATGACGATGCTTTGATCCGTCACAGAATTGAATAAATCTATTTATTAAGCTATTATTAGCGTATTGAGTAGGAGTGAAATTTACTGATACTAACCTATAAATGTGAATTCAAAATCGAAAAACGTTGCTTCTGAAATGGTGCGCTATAGAAGATTCGTCCCACGTGGTGTCACAAAAACGTCGTGCCTACACTTGCGCTGTTTTTAGCGCGCTTGTCTCACTATGTTGGATTTGAATTGGTTAGGTTGTGGAAGCAGCCTAGCAATGGAAGGCTGTGCGTAGAGTCTTGATCGTAGCGAAATGTGTATAAATACGTCGTATATTGATGGATAAGGTAAGTAAGCATATGAAGTGGAATGTTCTGGCTTAGGATAGCAGGTTAAAGTATTCATAATAAAGTGAGATTGAAACAATTGGTGGACTTTTTTGTACAAAGCCCCGCACTAATGCGAGAAGTGCGAGATTTGAGAAAAACAACCCCGCCAAGTTGTAAATAAGTAATTATCCGGTTGGGGTTAGCATTAGGAATGATTTGAAAATTTGAATTTTCAGCGCAATATGTATACCTATCCCTAATTGAATAAATTAATAATTTTCTTATTTTAAGCATTGGCGGGGGTGTTTGTTTGGCGGGAGTTTCGAAAAAAGATCCCAATTGGGATTGTGATACACGATATTTCAACATTTATGATACACTCCGTCGTATCAACCGTACTTTGCACACGGTCAATTGATACTGGGAATTTTGAGTAAATGTACTTATCTTTAATATTTTTGTCATGATTATGAAATGTTTCCGTAAAAAAATGATCAAATCATGCGATATCAGATTATAATGACGTTGCCATATGGTACTATAAAGCAAGAGCCAAGGATTTTTGAGAGGGGAGGGAGGGGGATTTAAATTTCTAATTGGCAAGTTAGACCGTAACATCAGCGGGTTCGCGTTTTCATTTCTTTTTCACATTTCAACAACAACAACAAAAGGGGTTTGAGGATACAGCCCCAATGATACGCTTCTGTTATAATTATCCCAGGTGTTTAAGAGTATGGAAGGGACAGCTCTTCCCCGACCTGTAAGGTGATCACAAATTTGAATACTTTACCAAAACCTGATTCTGTGCGAAAAATACTAAATTCACTCATGCTATCATAGAGTTTTAAACAACTGTTCTTTAGACTTTATGTCATGATCAGTTTTTGGTTGCAACCGCCCAAACTTTTGCGATCGAGGTGCTTATTCTCAACTTTCACTCGCAAAGCAGAAATTGCGGAATCAAATTCGAAAAAGGGATGCTATGAGATTCTCACTCTCTCATTTATGCTTTACCAGACCAATTTGATGCGTGGCTCTTTGATACAGCCTTGTGTCGTCACAATTGCTCGTCAAGGAAAATATAGAAAAAAACATTAAATAATAAAATCTCAATCATATACTAGAACCTTGGGTGCCGCTGCTTGACAACCATCTTTGTTTCTTCGCAGTTTCCTTTCCCTAGTAAAATTATATTCTTGACATTTCCGAATAATTTTTGAATTTGTATCATTTATTTTTTCGCCGGTTGTAAAAAATAAACTTAACTATGACTTCACATTGTTGTGATGTAAAGAGTAACACATAATCTAACGACACGTCATTGTATAAAGTACGTCACAAAATGATTCTCATTGTGTGGGATTGCGTCATCTTTATTAGTTATATATATTCAGAGCAAACTACAAGTAGGTGACAGTGAATATGCGTTGCGTAAATTTATGCGTCAAGGACAGCACGTCAACACAGAATATATCACTATGCATGAACGTCATCTCATTGACCTTTGGCCTAACATGATTATTTATCATGACATTAACCAAGTACAAAATCACGATTGAAGTGTCGTACAGTATAACGATTAACGGACCGACCGAGCGAGTAACCCACTTCGCATAGGGCGTGGGCCATCCAGTATGTTCCTTATTCCCCATTTTTTTTTGGGAGGCGGGGGGGGGTTGTTTCCAAATTTAGGGGTGGTATATATTTGTTATTAGTGATGAAACTATTTGTAACTTACAAAAATGTGTTATGTATTTAACTGATCATCTTCGCCGGTTTATGAGCCACTGTCTGAATATTTAAATACATTTACAATTCTGACAGCCCTGCATTGTATATGCTCTTGACCATAAAAAGTGAATCAAATGCAATCGTAACCGATTGAAGTTGTTGTTAAGATTTTTCTGAAATTATCTCCATATCGTATTTATTAATTAATATTTTCAGACCATATCGACTAGGCTAGGAGTATAAAGATTTTTCGAAGAACGGGATATAAAATTGAAAATACAATCAGTTAGTCGATGTGCTATACATCCAAATTGAAATCTATATCTACAAAATGGCGGATATCTCTGTCTGGACTGATTACACTAGAACAATCCTTCATTCAATCAGAGAAATGACAGAAACTTGTGATTTTATAATCAATGTTGATGACGAATCTTTCCCAGTCCATCGCAACGTAATATCAGCTGCGTCAAGCTATTTTAGAGCGATGTTTTCAAGCAACATGAAGGAAGCCCAGCAAGGTTTTGCTGACATGGAAACTATAAAGCCCGCTGTAATGGAGAAATGTATTGACTTCATGTATACCGGTGAAATCAAAGTGCAAATGGATGAGGTTCAATATATTCTGATTGCGTCAAACTTATTGCAATTAGATTTACTAACTGAAATCAGCTTCACGCAGCTGCAAGAAAATCTTTCGACATCGAATTGCCTAGTGGTGTCGCATTATGCGACTGTTCTCAACAAATTGGAGGTTAAAAAACTTGCTGAACTAAAAATAATAAATAACTTTGAAGACGTAATTTCTACTGACAAATTCCCAACAATTTCTTTCGAAGATTTCTCTCGGTATTTTTTTGAATCCGTTGCAGGTCACGAAATAAAATGGGGGGCATTGGTTAAATGGCTTTTAAACAAACGCGAAGAAACGAAACCGATTTACCAAAAACTGCTTGAAACATTAGAATATTTTCCTCTCGATTTTCTGATAAAAAAAGCATTGGAAGGATTAATGAAGAAGCCCGTGAAAAAAAATACCAAAACAAGCAACAAAATGCGAAGAAATCTTGTACTCGATTTTCTGTTTGAAGACATTGAAAAATTCAAGAGAGAGGTCAATCTTGAAATTTCTGGGATTTGAAGAAAATAATAAAAATTGCAGATATTGGAAATGGGGAAGTTGAAAAAGTCATGAATCAATTCATGGAAGATAACTTTGGATTTATTGCTCAAAGTGATGATTTCGTCGACTTGGACGAAAAGAAATTCTTTTTTTGTTCGAATCTACGAAGACAAATATGCTTCTGAAGAAATTAAATGGATGCTGCTTTGAGCTGGTCCAAGCACCAACCGAATAGAATGAACGTTTTCTCACAGTTGTTCAATTGATAAAACTAGATGATCTTCACGTAGATTTCCTTCAGAACGTTGTGCGAAAGGAATCACTCGTGAGAAAGCCTAATAATTGTGCTGTAATCCTGTTGGACCATGTATTATCTAGTCCTGACCCAATGGGAGCGCAGTCGAGTCCAGTTCGTCATAGAAAGCCTCACTTGGTTTGCTTAGATGTTAAAAACGGACAAATCAAGGCTCTAAATGTTTGGAACAAAACGTGCCATGACCTTCCCCACGCACAGAAGGGAGACAGCGTTCGTATTGTCAATGTTACCAACACTCTGTATGTAATAGGTAAAAAGGAAATTCACCAGTTGAAAGGAAATGAGTGGACAATTAAAACATCGATGCGAAGGATGCAAGGGCCGAATGTACCTGTTTCATGTCATGGAAAAATATATCTGATTCAAACAGAGAATATGAGTTGCTTCGATACAATCCAGAATGGTTGGGAGAATAATTTGCCTGGATGTGGACTTGGAGTAGGATTCTGCGCTGCAGCAATAGAGAATTCGGTGTATGCAATGGGAGGAATTGATACAGATTAGTGAAGTAACTAGAATTTGATTCTAGAAACACAAAGTTGGTCCAATCTCTGTTCGATTGCAAAATGGAAGGCGAAATGCGGCGGCTGCTGAGCTGGGTCGGTAACATTTATCGTAAGCTGGGAGGCCACTCAGAAGCTAACTCGGTTGAAAGCTACAATTTGAAAACCAACACATGGCTAATGTTGCAGGGCTGTGCGTTTCTCGTTGGGATCACCGCCTATGTGCGATTTGAAAATAAACTAATCGCCGTGGGAGGGAAGAAGAAAGGTGGTAATAAACATACTAACTCAATTGAAGTTTACGATGAAGATTCAAAGCACTGGTCAAAGGTCAATGTTGATGAACTCCGAAAAATTCTTCCTTAGAAGTGTGTGCTTATTTCATGTAAAGACTGGTCATATATTTTGCGGAGAAAATAAATCACCAAGTGTGACGTTGGCGAGAAAATCGCAAACTTGACAAGAGAATGCGGAGGCAAATTGACCACCGACTCCCTCTTTTGCGTTTTGCGTTTTTTTATTGTTATTAAAACTCAGAACACTTTGCGAAATAGCATTTCGTTCTGAATCTTAGAGAATAAGTCAATGAATTGTGATGTAATAAGAAAAACACCATTTTATTGTAACATATTGTATTGTTTATAAACCACGTTATTTTAACAATTTTCACGTTTTTTTTGGTAGTTTCTGCAAGGTTTTTTCACATTTTTACAAGATATTTAGTGACTTTCAGTGTATTTCACGGTTTTTCACAATTTCAGCACTTTTTTCCACTAGGAATCCGACTTGATAAACTTATTGCTTTTTTAGTTTCTTTGCAAAATTCTGACTTTTTGATCTATTTGTAATTTTAGTGTTCCATTTATACTATTTTTACAATTTATTATATATTCAAGACATTCAGAAACTATAACTTATTTCTTAAATTTGTTGTCAATAACATTATTTGATACTGCTATAGCGCATGACAGGGCTTTCCAACCTGCAGGACAAGTGTGGCCCAGAAGAAAAAACTGTGCGGCCGCGAAACGAGTTTATAATTTAGTTTACCTTTGAGATGTAAACCCTATATTGTGCTATACTGTACAAAGCGAACAATACATGCCAGATGATCAATAACGAAAGTTTTTCTGCTCGCAACTACTAAAAAGCCTTTGTTAAATAAAGGTGCGGCCTGCGGTTTCACTCATTTATTAGTATCTTGCCCTCCTGTGTTAAAGGTTGCACACCTCCAGCGTGAGGTCCACCGCCATATGCCGTCTACCCAGGTACAGTTTCGGGCCTAACATATGTACAAATTGAGTGTTTATCGCTAAATTAAATTTATACAAATAAGTTGGCTTGCCGGTTTAGACGGGACAGTCCTGATTTCGACAATGTGTCCCGAAGACCCTCCCTGTAGACTTAAATGTCCCTGTCATATTGCTTTTTCTTTTTTATTTTATATCAATGCATTTTGTTGTCTGGAAGCAGTCTATTTATTACTGGTTTGCAATTTGCTTCGTGTTTTGTTATGTCATAATATGTTTAATACGCCAATTTAGCATCTAACTAACTGCCATTTAATTATTCAAAATGTCGAAGACTTCCTCCAATATCATGTCCATGCATCTGAAACAAATAATTGGTTAACTAATCCCATACAAAACATGGATTGGTAACTGTACGAGTGATCGTGGTTCGTCATATGATTAAGCTTTTTTTTATCGACTTTCCCCTTCAAGATAGCCTGAATATAAAAATCGAAACCCCCGTAGTGTGTACACCAGGTTAGGGCATAATTTTATTCCGATTTTCCTTATTTTTGTTCCATTACGAGTTCGGGGACTGTATAATGATTTTTTGTTGATCTTTATAAATTATTTCGAAAGTGGGAAATCGAGCATTCATTGCTCGTTGGCTCAATAGTTTTCTTTGGCTAATTGTACGTTTCCTGCATCTTTCGTGTCAACGCAAGGTAATTTTTGTACCATGGTGTAAGCAGCTCGCTTTTGAGCGGTATGATTTAGTCCGAGATTATTATTTACGCTTAAACTGCCTAAAAGTTTAAGCAATGATCATTTTAGTGTGTTTATTTAAAGACAGTATTTATTTTCTATTATCAATTTTCAATAGTTGTCCTATCATTTTATTAATGCACAGGAACTCTCGATTCGCGGGAAATATTAAAATTTCCAAGGCATTTGTTGCGATTTCTTCAATATTTTAGATGCAATGCTTATATTCGTTTACTTTTACCGTTGCCTTTTTTATTATGAAACGTGGCTAATAAAATAACTGATGGAAACCAGTGAAATATGAAGCTAGACTAGAAATAGTATTTACATATTTATCCCGGGGAGAAAAAGGGCCGATGAGACTGCTGAATTCTTTGGCGAACCACGGCCTCTCGTTGGGTTACTACACTAGTCCATGTCGGGTAGGGGATTAGTTAGCCAGTTATTTGTTTTCGGCAGCATGGACTTGATAGTGGATGAAGCCGTAACCGACCAGCGGTTACGTGAACCACCCTACCACGGCGAGGATTCCAGCAATCCTCTTGCACGTATTTATCCCACACGGTATTCGAACCTGCGAATTCACGCAGGGTAATCAGAGGTGTGATGGCAAGCGTATTCCTAACGCTTAGAGAACGATGCGCCATACCGCTGAGCGTTATAGTTTTATAGAAACTTTCAAACAAACCCAAAAAATCGACAAAACAAACTGACATGCATAAAATTTAATTATTTTGGACAAATATAATTCCACCTCGCGTAAAGAACAATTAAAGAAATAGAAAATAATGCGACGACTATCAACGTACTATGACGTAGCGCAGTGTAATAATGCAATTTGAAATCATTGATGTGAATAACAATCAAACTATGATGCCATAATAAGTTTATAAATAAATAAATGTTGTATGAGATATATTTGCGCAAAAATGTCCTTATTTTAATTAATGAGATCTCGGATATGGCAGAATATCAGAGAAATATTACACACATTTTTAGTAGGAATCTTGGTGAATTGTTCTGCCTAGCACGGTTCAATGGGGCATTTGAAAAAGTTTCTCAACAATGGATCATGGAATTTTATGAATAAAACTGTTACAATAAAGCAAGAATGAGCCTTTTTTAATGATTTGATAGATGAAATGCATCGGTCCATCCTTTTTGATACAGAATTATCATAAAATTGTCAATTATTATGTGTTTCTAAAAGCACTCTGTCCAATGCTATATAAATTTTGGATCTTTCCCAGTTTTTCCCCCCTCACTAATATAAGGATACTCACACTCACTAATTAAAGCATTTTAATAAAATTCCAACATGATCTTGGCTAAGATAAGGTTTTAGTTTTCTTAATATTAGTAGGGGAGCAAGGAATAACTGGAAAAGGATCAAATTTGAATGGGTATTATGGTTATCAAATTGATGCAATTAAGTCTTCTGATTTTAAGTCAATTTTCATCAGCTATTATCTATAGAGGTATCGTAAGAAACAGAAGACTTCTGATAAAATAGAACTCTAGATTTTAAACCAGTCACTGGTAAAGCATATTTCACAACATCAGCAACATGGATGAAATAAAGATATCACCAGCTAATCTGTTCGCACAAGAAAGTGCGATGGCATGCTCTCACCAGAAATGTGTTTCCATGTATAAATAGGACTAACAAAATCATACCAGAATGCAAGATTTGGCAACCAGCAGGCTTTTTTGAATGTTTAGTGTTTCTTGCGGTCAAACGTCGAATAATAGTTGAAAGAAATTTTGGAAAATGGATTTTGAATCATTAGAAAGACCAGGGCAAGAACAAAATAAAATTTTCCATCACAATTCAATTTCTTTGGAAATCTCCACATTACGTCATACAACCAAGAAAAATTCTGAAAAAAATAAATCTTAATTATCCGAGATATAGACATACGGCCAAACACATGGTACTTCCGTTATTAGCTTTATATTTGAAATCTGTAATTATTTTTGTGGCCAGAGCAAAATAACTTTGCTATTCAATACCACATTCCAAAGAGAGGAAGGTGGTAAGACAGCTTAACCATATGGCGAACCACAGCCTCTGGTCTGTTCATGTTGGTCTCAAGCTAAGCCAATAATAAAACACTTTCTGGTAAGAGCATAGAAACAGTCAAAGAAGCAGAATGAGGAGGCATGCAAATACACATGCAGTGATATTTTTTTAGAAAAGAAATTATGTTAAATAGTTTGTACACAAAAGAAAAATGTACAGAGAAAGATAGATCGTGGAATTTTTTATACAAAATGTGTCAAGATAGGCGAACGTTTCGGAAGTATAGAGATTTAATTCAAATTTATTTAGGCCTTTTCAAAATACAGAGCGACTCATAAATTTCTTATTACTCCTACGAAAAAGAAGAAAATTTATTACAAACTTGAACTACTGTCTGAGTAAGATTGTACCCAAAAGTCTATCCAGAATATATTTCGAAAAACCTAAGTTTTTTAAAACTGTTGCCAGCACAACCACGTTTATGATTCCAGTTAATAATTACAGGTACTTCCGTTGTGTGCATACCAGGTAAGAGTTGGGCCATAATTTCATTCCAATTTCCCTTATTTTAGTTCTATTACGAGTTCGGTGACTGTCTGTGTTAGCCAAGTGAATATACTACCTGGTCATAGGTTTCAGTTCCTATATACAGCTTGATGTAAAGTAGGTGAACAAAATTAGTTGCCTCCATATTGGTACACACAATTCTGGAGCGCCTAATTACAACCCTTTTATGTTCAATTTAATTTTTTCGAAATGAAAATGAATTTTGAAACATGAGAGCATAGCACCTGTACGTACAGCCATTTTTGGAAAACAATTCAGGGCATAATTTGATTTCAAAATGTTCTAGCACTATCACATAATAAATATAATTTATGACATCACTATATAGCATATTTTCAATGATTTTGAAATAATAAAACACACAAAAAATCAAGGAACATAAAATAACAACAATATATCATTTTCTATAAATTGACAATAAAGCAAGCAAGCAATGAGCTGGAACCGGATTTGGGCAGTCATAACCGGTCAAAAGCAGTTGCATCTGGAATTAGTCACGCATATCAAAAGCATAGTGCATGTTAATAAATTAGATTAGTCATACTGAAAATATATATAACACATAACCCAAACTTCTGCTCACTATAAAATGGGATTTTTGCTTATGTTGGATCACAAAGAAGCCATTATCTGGTCTGTTGTAATTCAGACTAGCTAAAACCAGTTTAATCCAGTAATTCTGCATATGGAGCCTAGCAGAGATATTACTGGAACTGGAGTTATTTAAGAATAAACAAGCTCATTCCAGTACAAACCAGTTTAAACCATATGAATCTGGTCAAAAGGTTAAATTTGAGGCGCTAATTCAGTAGACTCTATTTTGAAACCAACAGTCTTACCAAAACCAGTTATATCCGGTTTATATTCCAGTTGGAACAAGGGGTTCTGATCGCATTTAAAACCAAGTCTTGAAAGAACCAGATAAAACCAGTTATATCCGGTTTATATTTCAGTTGGAACGAGAGGTTCTGATCGCATTTAAAACCAAGTCTTGACAGAACCAGATGAAACCAGTTATATCCGGTTTATATTTCAGTTGGAACAAGAGGTTCTGTGGATATCTTCATATTGTCATTATTACTTGCAAGCAAATCTTGGTTTCCATTGCTGACTTGCATTGTTGTCTGCTGCTGCAGGTCCATGCTACCATTAGTGAATATGTTGAATGGATCCTAGAAAGAACAGAAGATAGTTTTCAGACTGAGTCGACTGTTGTATGTCTAACACGTCGCTAGTCCTAGTTCGGCGGTGTAGCGCATCGTGCTAGGCATTAGAAATATTCTCGCCACCGCACCTCTGATTACCCTGCGTGAGTCCGCAGGTTCGAATCTCATGCAAGGATAATTATGTGGGCTGGGATTGCTGGACTTCTCACAGTCGTAGGATGGTTCACGCAATCGCTGCTCAGTTACACATTCCTCCACCACACCATCAAGTTCTTTGGGAACCACTGCACCAAATTAACTTATTATCAAGATATATACCAAACTTTATTTTGTACAACTTAACAGGATATCTTTTTTGAAGGGAACTTTCAATTTCTCCAATTAGGTAAAGTCATATAAAGCAGTGGTTCCCAAAGTTGATTGACCGGGGGCCAAAATTAGAAGCAGAAGAACATTCGCGGGCTGGGAGAGGGAGCGCCCACAAGGGGTCGATGCTGATACCAGTACGCATAATCAAGATATCGATATAATTGAATTGTTACTAATATGCGAGTGTTTAAACCAGGGGTTCCCAAGCTTTTTTCAGGACGACCCCAATGACAACTTTCAATTGTCCAGTGCGACCCCAGGTCAATATATATATTTTTCATGAAACTTTAGAGCTTCTTTCACTGGATTTTTGAGTTTGGTCATGTGGTGCTATTAAGTAAAATAAGCTAAAACCAAACAGTGATGTCACAAGAAGCAAGTACATTTTCTATCATAGCATAAGCATAGAGCGATGCTTATCGGCCTGTTTTACAGTAAGCCATGGTACAAACTGCTGAATTTAACATGGTTTGTCAAATCTTAGATGAGTTGTACATCCATCCTCTACCATACCTTAGCGACCTCACCGACCCCATGACCTGTTTGCGACCCTACCTACTTATCACTCCGACCCAATTTGGGGTCGCGACCCCTGGTTTGGGAACCCCTGGTTTAAACTGTGGTAATGACACAACAATTGGGGGTATCTAGAACGCAAAAAGATAAAAACATGAGATGTTAAATTATTTCACATAAGTTTGGTGGGCCATAACTGGCCCGCGGGCCCCCGTTTGGAAACCACTGGTATAGAGAAACCCCCACTCACAAGTTCGATGTTTGTATAGAAACTTGCGCCATTTTCATATATATTAACATAATACTCACCATATTATTATGATTCTGGGCCTCCTCACTTTTCATTCCATTAGAAATAGGTTTAACCGTTGTAAACGCTTCAATAGGTTTCGGTTTCTCAAAATCGAGTGACATTGAATCCAATCCAGCGCCAATTTTTAATAATTCAACCCCAGAATCATAATTTGAAGTTGAATTTGAAAAATTTAATAAAGTCTGTTCATTGGATGAATTGTTGTCTGCTGAATCACTGTTTGATTGTGATGTCACAGTTGTGGTTGGTGAGTTATTGTTGCTGCTGAAAATTTAATGTAAAAAATTAATTATGAGAAAAGATGACAGTGCTGTTATTGTAGGATATTGGAACGACCAGATAACAATTCAATATTATTCGAACTAATTATGATTAAAAATAAAGCTAGTCAAAAGTTTTGGAAAGTTAAAAATATCTTAGTTCAGCATCGACTACTCTTTTTCAGTTCGTGGCCCCATTTCAGTGCCATTGTTTTTGTGCGACCCACAATGAGATGTTACTATGAGAGAAAAGAAACAATGTATCCACATGCAAAACTTGAGCTTGCTGTTCCGAGCCTACAGTTGGGGGGACACAACATACTGAACACAAACAGTCGCATGTGGCTCCAGAGCCGCAGGATGCCGATTTCACTATCCATCAACCATATTTCATATTATTCGGATCAATTTGGATTTTTGGATATTTTATTTATTTTCACATTTTCACTAAGTATAATGCTACACACTGGCACATATTACTATGATATGAGCTTCCGATTTTGCGAATACACAAATTGAACATATTTACCTTCGATTTATAATAGCTGCCACAGCAGGTGACACCGATCTTTCTGGTGTTGTTGCAGTGATTGGGGACTTTCCTCCTACAGGGCTCTGGGTCTGGGGTGATCTTCCAGATGCCGGGGACTGAATAGTGGGGGTATGTTGGGGTGAAGGGGTCCCTGCTGGTGATATAGACCCATCTGTTTGGGACTTGTTGGAGTCTGTAGCGTCTGGTTGACGAGTTCTCCTCATTATCATTTCCAATCTCTGAAAAGTAACAAAATAAATCAAACTAAAGCTAGCATAGGAAAACTACAGTCCGTGGGCTAAATCCGGCCCATTGGGTAATTCAATCTGGCCCGCCTAACGCCGCTACAGTCAAACTAAGCTAAAAAATATATCAATGACAATTTGTTGAGATCGCAATTTAAATTCAGTCTTTAGGCTTAATTTTGCTTTTGTAACACTGTAAATCCTGTTCATAAAATGCAACCTTTATGTCACACTTACATGACCAGTCCATGCGGACAAAATTTTTTTCCCCTGGTCCAAACCCTTGCCCTCCTCTGAACTAAAGATTCATCTGTGGCTAGATGCCACAGGAATATATCACAAATATATGAGTTTAAACTACATGCTGAAATATTCAGGACTTGTATCATAAACCCAGAGTACTATGCGAAGACGTTATAATATGGCTGACAAAAAATTAGCTAACAATAGGGATGAATATATGATCCCCATCAACTATGAACGCCCGTAGAACAGTGGTCGACAACCTGTCGCTCGCGAGGCAAAATTAGGGGTTGCAAGACTTGGCGGGCAACATGCATTTTCAGAAAGTTAATAACCGAACTGATGACCGATGAATCACAAAGTTTTTACACAGATCAGAAGTTGAAATTTTGAGCAGCGTGCAAAGATGGCAACTTGTGAACTCAAAAAAATTTACAAATGACATTTGACACTTTTTAATGCATGAGGTTCATCAAACGAGTAATTGTGAATTATATACTTGTTAAGTTATGATATAATTTATCCTGGACATGTCTCATCTCACAATTAATTCTGGGTGCTCCCGAAGTATGCGAACCAAGATGGCGGACATCGGAACGTAACATGGGTAACAGGTTAGGGTTAGGCGATAATTTTTTTTCCAATTTTCCTTATTTTAGTCCTATTATCAGTTCGAAGACTAGACAAGAGCCTCCCGTAGTATTATGGCCTAACCCTAACCTAGTACACATATTACATTCCGATGTCCGCCATCTTGGTTCGCATACTTCGGGAGCCCCGAATTCTGTTATGTAAAAAAAAATATCGTCGTAACAACCGTTTAGTTACTATAATCTGGCCCGCAGGTTGCCGACCTCTGCCATAAAAGATTCGATTGGCCTGATGCGAATAGGGATGGCGTGTTAGAATTGAATCATTGCTAAAATATTAGGCGCTCCTGTAGTATGTGAACCAAGATGGCGGACACCGGAGCGTAGAATGTTACCAGGTTAGGGTTAGGACATAATTTTAGTCCAATTTTACGAGTTTCGGGACTAGTCAACTCACTCCTGTAGTATTTGTACCTGAAATTACGTCCTGACCTGGTACACATACTACGTTTCGGTGTCCGCCATCTTGGTTCACATACTACATGAGTACCAAATATTGATGTCAACTCAACAAACCTTTTTCCTAGCCAATCTCTCATCTTCTTGTTTCTGTTTCTGAGCTTCCCTGTCTCGTTTTACTTTCTCTGCTGCTTCCTTCTTTTCTGCTTCTTTCCGTGCTCTGAAAAAAGTTGAAAACTTTTAGAACTAGAACAACCGTATAATATATTCTAGAATTGAGATCACTTTTATTCAGATTATCGTATATAAACTATTTACTTCGCCTTTAACTGTATGGGCATTGGAGATCACACATATTAAGTTCAAAATCTCATGCTCTTATGTGAAAAGTAACAGCCATTCACATATAAATATTTTTCGATATTTCCTACACCAATGCATAATGCACATCTACCAATTTTTTCAATCAAATTCAGTCTAAAGTGTTCATTATACATGAAGAAATATAGGTAATTCTAAATTTCTTTTGGCAAATTCAAGTGTATAAATATATATACGAGGTAAGGCTAAAAAGAAACGGGACTGACGTCACAGATTGCGCAACACGATTAACCATTGGTAATCAACACTTTTGCAGTGTGGCGTAATATGTGTTCTTTGTTTAACATCTGTTTTGACACAATATCGCAATTATTTTTGCTTTTCAGGATCCATAAGTGAATGTGATAAATTTCTTGTGGAAAAAAAAATGCTGTGCGAGGTCTGATTGAGTTTTTTGGCGATAGGGGGTTCAATTAAAGAATGACGACTGAGCAAAGAATTAACATTAAATTTTGTGTCAAACTTGGAAAAACGGCGACTGAGACTTTGCAGATGTTGCGTGATGTTTATGGAGATTCTTCCATGTCCAGAACAAGAGTTTTTAAATGGCACAAGCGATTTGTGGCGGATGATCCGAGGTCAGGGAGGCCTTGCACTTCCACTACTGATACCAACATCGAAAAGGTTTGGCAGTTGGTTCGCAGTGACCGTCGCTTAACAATTCGTGTCATTGCCAACGAAATTGGGATGGACAAAGAAACGGTCCGCATCATTTTGGTTGACACTTTGGGAATGCGAAAGGTGTGTGCCAAAATGATGCCAAAGGCTCTTGAGTTGACTGAGGAGCAGAAAGCTCAACGATTGAATGCATGCCGAGTTCACATGCATTTTTCCAAGTTTGACACAAAATTTAATGTTAATTCTTTGCTCAATCGTCATTCTTTAATTGAACCCCCTATCACCAAAAAACTCAATCAGACCTCGCACAGCATTTTTTTTCAACAATAAATTTATCACATTCACTTATGGATCCTGAAAAGCAAAAATAATTGCGATATTGTGTCAAAACAGCTGTTAAACAAAGCACACATATTACGCCACACTGCAAAAGTGCTGATTACCGATGGTTAATCGTGTTGCGCAATCTGTGACGTCAGTCCCGTTTCATTTTAGCCGCACCTCGTATATGAACCAAATATTAAAACTCTCACATTGCTTCGATATTGGATATGTTTTAAATTAGTTCATCAAATTCAGGTAGTATTTCTGAATTTCTTTTGTCAAATTCAAATGTACAAATATTTCCAACTGAAAGAATAAAACTCTCACATTGCTTCTTCCTCTCTACGTTTCTCATCTTCAATCATCCTCTTTGCTCTCTCCTCTTCCTCTTTCTTCTCTCGTTCCGCTTCAGCGGCCGCTTCTTCAAACATTTTTCGAGCTTCTTCTTCTCGTTTTTGAGATTCTATCTTCGCTAACCTAGAATGAAATAAAATTTGATTAGGGAGATTCAAAGCAATGTCTTGTGCACTTGCTCAGAAACAAAGGAGACTGATCTCTGAGTAAAGGTAATGTCGAACACGAAAGAGTCAAGAGCTACTGAACAAATAATACAAGGCTCTTACTGTCCCTTAGTGTCGAATTGTGAATCAGAAAATATCACCTAAAGCACCCTGTGCCGCCGAGGAGTCCAGCAATCGTCTCGTGCATAATTAGCCCTACGGGATTCGAACCTGCGAACCCAAGCATGGTAATCAAAGGTGCGATGGAGAGCATATTCTTAACTCTAAATGTGCCGCACCGATTAATTTGATTAGGAAAACAACCATGTCATTTTAGTAGGCCGGTTGCGAATGTAGACACATCTTTCGATAAGGAACTATAGTTGAGTGTCTCTTTATTGTATTTTTGAATGTGTCCCAGAGCATCTCGTCTCCCTTTGCCGTAACGTAAAACAAGATTGCAGTTTACAGAAAGCAAAACGCTCTTACAAAGAAAATTTTCAAGTGGAGGGTTACTGGTTGAAAAAAATTAACTTTACCTTATTCTTTCTTGACGTTCTCTCTCTTCCTGCTCTTTTTTCTCTTTCAATTCTCTCCTTTTTTCAGCGATTGCTTGCCGATATGCTTCTTTATCTGCTTCAGTCTCAAGTGCTTTCTGTTACAGAAAAGTGAGGAACAATCAGCAATGATTACAAATACAGTGAGCATGACCGGGGCATGTTCCTGTTATCATTTAAAATCAAATTTTGAAATGTGATATCGTGTTCAACGAATCGGTAATCAGGAAAATAGAAATTGATAAAAACTGAGTAATCCTCCTAAAATCAAATTAAAATACAGTTAATGATGACTAAATTGAATATTTTATGGAAATAGCATTTGCTGGCAAAGCTTGTTTACTCTCTCAAAAAGGCCATTTTAGTTACCAATTTCCAATGATACATTACAAGTTGATAGCATGCATGTAATGGCTAATAACATGCCACTAGGATTTTTACTCGAAGGGTTGCAAGCAAAGCGGCTCCGCTTGCCTGGTGAAAAATGCCTGGCGGCAGTAGGTAAAAAAAATTTTCTGCCATGTTATATCACCATACAATTCAAATATTTGCAAATTAGCCGCAAAACGATTCGACTAATTTGCGATTTGATCAGACAGCCCAAGTGATACATGTAAATTCATGCTCTTGTAACCACATTCGCCATAAGGGCCAATGTTAAAAACGTTAAGGCCATTTTCATTTTGCCCTCGTGGGATGGGCTTCAAATGGCTAAGGCAGGGGTTGGAAGGTTTTCGGACCAAAGGCCAGAAATGTTGCCCTACCTGGACTGGCGGGCCATGTGAGTGTGATGTAAAAAGTTACATTTTATGAACAATATTTACATTGTTACAAAAACAAATGCGGAAAACAATAAGCCTCGTGCCAAAACTAAATTCAATCGCATTCTCAACAAATTCCTTGAGCTGTTTTAGATCTAAAACCTCAAAATTTGGTTTGAGTTTGATTGTGGCAGCATCAGGCGGGTCAGAGTGAATTACCTAAAGGGCTGAACTTGACCCGCGGGCTGTAGTGTGCCCGTGTCCAGGCTAAGGGCTATTGAACAATCCTCAAACAGCTAATTAAAACACTGACCCTTGGCATGCTTTTCCTTTCAGCAGGAGCAGACTCAGATGTGGGAGGGGAATCTCCATCAGAATTTTGCTGCGCTGGCTCCAAAGTTTTTTCCTGCAAAAAATAATTTCAGTATTTACTTGTTACTTGGTCATTTATTTGTAAAGAGTTTTTATATCTTCACTCCAAACAATGCTTTAGACTAGTGGTTTCAAAAGGGCACCGTGGACCCCCCAATAGGGCTACAGAGGAGTTGGATGGGGCCACAAGGGGCTCCCGAAGTATGTGAACCAAGATGGCGGACATCGGAATGTAATATGTGTACTAGGTTAGGGTTAGGCCATAATTTTAGGTATAAATACTACGGGAGGCTCTTGGCTAGTCTTCGAACTGATAATAGGACTAAAATAAGGAAAATTGGAAAAAAATTATTGCCTAATCCTAACCTGTTACCCATGTTACGTTCCGATGTCCGCCATCTTGGTTCGCATACTTCGGGAGCACCGGCCACAATGCTAGGCGCAAGACCTATTTTACTTTTCTATCCACTAGAAAACTCCCCAATCTTCCGAGAATCATTACTTGATAAGGTTATTTCACAGGGTGTTTTCACATTGTTGAGCATGAATTGTTTGAACATAATGGAATTTGGAATCCACCAATCAAAATAACACTATAAATACCACTGGGATGATAAACAGGGGGATATAAATGCCAGAAGCTTCTGGGAGGGGGCCACGAGCCATGAAAGGGGAAACGGGGAGTTTTCTTAGAGAAAAGTAAAACCAGTTTTGCAACGAAAACTTTGGCCCCCATCCAACTGATCTGCTCAACCTTGAGCAAAATCTCTAAATGTAGAGGGTTAAGCTAAGAGCAGTGCCCAGCTTGACTAATAAGCTATTTATGACAAATACAAACCTGAGACTGATCTTTTTCCTCGGAAGTTTTCTCATTAGATTCAATTTCCTCCTTAGGTTGTTCCTGCTTATTATCTGTCTTAACGGTAGTGATGTCTGCAATTGGTTGACTATCAGGAACTTCCTTGTTTTCTGTGACCTTGACCTCTTCAGGCTCTGTGACTTGAGCTATTTCTTGTGTGTCAATTGGAGGAATCTAAAATTTCAAATAGAACCTCTATAAATAGTCAGATTATTAAAAACAAATTTTCTAAACTAATGAGGATTTTGAGCTGGATTCTGCTTGAGCATAGTGTAATATATATTTGAAAAAATTTATCAACGGAACTGAGGTCAAAAATGGGATAGAATTAAATAAGTTTGACTTTTGAGATTGTGAGAGGAGGGCATCCTACCATAGAATCAGCTTTTTTATAGAATTTTCTTTAAAAAAGGTCACACACACTCATCCGCAGTACAGGAGATTCATCTCTGAGCGAAGTTACAGGCAAAGTAACAGAATAAAAAGAAACTATTTCATAAAAAGTTCTGAGAGCTAGAGAGTTCTGGAGACTCTTTAGACAAAGTCATAGTGATAAAACCCATTCATAAGGCTCCACCGGTTCTCAACCAGTGGACCATGGCCCACAGCTGGGCCACAGAAGCAATTTCAGATGGACCAAAGCACTATTAAAAATAGCTTGTTTCATTTGTATCACTTTGTTCACTATAGATAATTTTGAGTAGCAATAGTAGCAAGTAGGAATGAATAATGATGTTGATTTTTGCTACTAATATTCATGCTAATTATCACAGTGAAAGTGTCCATTTCCGCAGAAAATTTCCATTTTTTTTGTAGTTTTCCCCTTGAGTTTCCCTTTGAATTTTTGAGCAACGAAAAAGGGCCAAAAAGGTTGAGAACCAAAAATGAGAAGCTTTTTAAGGAGACTTTTTAAAAAAACACAACATACCACTTCTTTTTGTTCCAATACAGTTATAGATTCATCTTGCTCTGTTGGTTTTTCCATTGGTTCCTCCTCTTCTTTCTGCAGAGAAATTTCATCTTCTTTTCTCTCTTGTTCTTGCGATTCCGATGGCTCAGGAGAAACATCAGTAGTTTGTACTTTATCTGTAATATCTTCAGGAATTTCCTCATGTTCTGTATCTTTCTCCGTTGGTTCCTGAAGGGAATAGATTTATAATAGTTTAGGGCAGCAGTTTCGGGCACAAAGATGGCGCACAACCTGAACATAGTGGGGGTACCAGGTTAGGGTTCAGGTTGTGCGCCATCTTGGTGCGGTGCAGAGACTTCGGGAGCGCCACAGTTTCTAGTCCTTATTACTCATTCTGTGGTTTAAGTCGATTTGTGTTTAGTTTAGCACGGTAGTTTTGATTCATTCCAGTAATTTAGGATAGAATTTACATATTTATCCTGGGGAAAGGAAAGCCAATAGGACGTCTCAATCATATGGTGAACCACGGCCTCTCGTTTGGTTACCAGTGCACGTCGGGTATGGGGTTAGTTAAATAATATTATTATTTTCTGCTCTTATTGTGAGAACATTTGAAAAAAATCAGCTTAAATTATGATAATATATAATTTTTGACTTCCTGACTTCTGAAACCCTCTTTAATATCAAGGCTGGGCAGTGCGAGGGACTAGGATTGACTTAACTGTGTTGGTCATTGCAGTTTGCAGATAACACATTGTGGGTTAACATACCCAGCTAATCAAGGGTGTTGGATTGGCAACACAAAACTGTAAAAATTAGAGGCCTTCCAAATAGGAGGTGACTTATGTGAAGTCATAATTGCAAAAGGAATTTATCGATACCATATATTGTTTTGGCCCTCACAGATGTATTAAATTAAGTAAAAATACTTGAACAATTACTGATTAAAAAACAAAAACGTTTTAAGATATATTAATTAAGATATAACTGACTTTTTATGGACACCCTGTATAACATTGGCAGCTCGTATTGGGCCAAGTTCGAAGCAAAGAGGTGTTAAAGACACACGGAGCAATAAACGATCACTCTGGTACTTACTTCTATCTCAACGATATTCTCTTTCACCGAAACTTGCTCTTCGCTCTCACTGTCACTACTTTCGGAGTCAAAATGATCTGGAGGAAGATACTCAACCGACTGTTCTTGAGTGTTTTCTGGTAACTCTGGCTCAGGCTCGAAGTCTTCCAGAGAATCGGTCGGTGATACGGCTCTTGGATCCTGCGGTTCAACCGTTTTAAACGAATCAAGTAACGAATCTCTGTTTTCTGGGATCGTGTCAATGAGATTCTCTTCCTGTGTTGTTAAGTCATTTATGACATCCTGAGCTTCGAGACTGTCTGGCTGTTCCTCAGTCACTGCTGTATCTACTACATTTAAAGTAATAGGAGTAGATATAGCAGTAGTCTGTGATAAATCCCCAATTTCCTCATTTTTCTGCAAATCAGTAACTTTTTGTTCGCCACTTTCAGCATTGTCTATCGTATCTTTTATTTCTTTTTCAGAATCTAAAGTATTGTCCACATTACCAGCTTCTTCCAGTATTTCTGGTTCAGGTTCGTAAGTCTTAGTAGTCGCTTGTAGCTGCTCTTTAGTTCCAGATTCAATTTTGAAGGTTTCCTCCTCCTTCGAAGGGGATTCCCCTTCTAATGAATCAGTATCTTGCTGGTTTTCATTGTTGTCAACTAGAGTTGAAAGGTCATTGGTCATGGTTGAGTTAACTTGGAGTGGAAGGTTGTTTTCAGAGAGTAAATTGAAGTCCTGTAAGGGGTCGGGAACAATGTTTGAATGTACTTGGGGTGAAAGGTCATTGTTCATGGGTGATTGGGTTTTGGGCGACATGTCATTCTCTATCGTAGATTCCACATTTGGTTTGACTTCATTGGTTACGTCTTGGGAAGTAAATTCATTGTTCACTTCAATATTCAGTTGGGGTTGAAGGTCATTCTCCACGGTTGACTGACCATGGGGCAATTTTACGCTTTCTGGGGTTATACTAACACCTAGTAACAGTTCCTGATTAGATTGTTCAATATTTTCAGTTTTTTCGGGCACATCACCCCCCACTTTTTCCTGGGAGACAGGCTCCACTGTATCTCCTTTTTCTACAGTCTCAGACAGGCTGGGGATTTCCGAAACCCCCTGTGATGTGTTGCTGAGGCTTTTCGGGATTTCTCCGCTTGTCGAGACGGACAGAGTAGCTCCCACACTATTGGGTATTGATGCTCCCTCCTGTGATGGTTTCGAAGCGTCCGTGAAACCACTATCTTGAGAAGTTTCTGGTGTTTTCTGTGGTTCTTTTGGAGTTTCTTTCGGTTTTTCAGTCTGTTTTGGAGTATCTGAAGAAATTTGAGACATTCATGAATTGAATCAAAATTTTACTTTAAGAAATGGCTGGGAAGGATAGGTCTGGGCATTTACATATACCTAATGATTTCAGAATCGGATTGAATATTTGTACCGGATAAACTCGAATTCCTGAAAACATAGAATCCGTTACTCAGACTGCCAAATGCCAATGTCAGGATTGCATTTTTAAAAAAGCTTCGATAAAAAAAGTTGAGCGATTCAATCGGCTGGACTATAAAAAATTCGGCGGTGATTCAAAATTTTAGTCTGACCTATCAAAAAATTTACTATTTGATTCGAAATGCCCTACCCTAGTAAAGAAATAGGATGAGAAACTAGAAAGTGGGTAGTATAACGATATTCTTGCATGTAATATTATCCTGAAGGATCCTAGGGTGCAAACTGAAAGCCAGCATATTATCCTTGGCAATGGCTTGGTTAAAGAGTTAGAATTAACAAAGCATCCCAGGTGGTTTCAGATTTTAGATTCAGAGTACAAAGCATGAAAGAGCATCACATCAAAAAAAAAAGCATACCAACATTCAACTAATTTATTCTGCTGAAATTCGAACATCTTGGAATTTGGAGATTCGAAATTTACCTGGCGTTTTGGGTTTTGGTGTTGCTGGCTTCTGAGTTTTAGTTGTTTTTGCTGCCGATGAAGTTTTATTTGCAGGAGAAGATCTGGTTGTTTTTATCTGAGTTGAATTCGTTGCACGAAGAGAAGGTTTGATATTTGGAGAAGTTGATTTAGGAGTGTCTGAAAAAATATTGAATTTGTTTAAATCTGTCAATACTGAGGATACCAGGATATCGTGTGGTGAACTGCAAGTCCTTTCTCTTTGTCTTCTCCCTTTGTCTATTTCGGATCCGTATGTGGCCGTTGCTACAAGGTAGTAGATCGTTATCTTTTTCTACAAAATAGCAGTATAACGGCGCTCCAATAGTTTGTGTACCAATATAGAGGTAACTAATTTTGTCCGCCTTCTTTACATCCACTTGTGTAAAGGGATTGAAACCTATGGGCAGGGGGTATATTCACTTGGCTAACACAGACAGTCCCCGAACTCATAATATAACTAGAATAAGGTGAATCAGAATAAAATTATGGCCTAACCTTAACCTGGTACACACACTACGGGAGTACGGTATATCTAAAATTGCATCTTGTTTTGTTTTAAGAAGTAAAATTACGAGGAACAAACAACCCTCCTCGAAATGTAAAAAAAAAAAGATTTTTTTGCATCATACATAGCTATTTTTTGTAGCATTTTAAACCTTCAAGAAGCCAGACCTGCTAGCTGTTACGGCCTAACTTAGCGATTGGAAATGTCAGAACTCCCTTTTTGGTTACGGCCCTGACAGGTATGCTCCATGCTCCTTCAAATACTAGATGGTGATTCACTTTATAGTGGGTTAGGTTAAATAAGTTAAATAAATCGAATAGTAGTATCACAGATAGTAATATTATGTTCACTTACCAACTTTGCTTTTTGTTTTTAATCCACTTGCTGGGGAGGGGGAAGCCCCTCTTGTTGATCTCTGTGGTGTAGTTTGTGGTGAATCGGAAGATGGCGTGGAAGTTTTGGGTTTTCGTGCAGGAGATGGTGCAGTACGCCTAGAGAAAATGTGACAAAATGTTTTTTAACAAAAATTTAGGAAAAGTTTGCTCAAAGCAAGGACAGACTCTGGAAAAAAAGGGGAAGAAATCCAGATAAAAAAGTTGCGAGGCTGCTAAAACGCAAAAGCCTGGACCGTTAACTTACGGTGGAAAGTATTGGTCACCCGTTTTTTGTTAAGAAAATTAGTTCAAACAACTTAATCAGAAGTGAAGTGAAAAAGATTAATCTCTGAGCGAAAAGTGTATTTAAGCTGTCTATACTGAAATAGAGATGTGAGAACCATTGTTTTCAAACGGTGACCGTACATTTGAAACCATGTACATTTGAACCCATGCGTATATCCACGAGTTCAATCTATATGCGGTGCTAAAACCCATGGGTTAGGGTTAGTATGGGTTTAACTATCCGTGAAACAAAAAAAATTCCATAGGTGCAATAGCATACAGGTGCAATTGTGATGGGTTCAAATGTAATGGAACCTTTTCAAACATACCTAGATGCTGGTGAATTCCCTCTTTTTTGGGTCCTATTTTCTGGTGTGGCAGTTTTCTTTGTTTCAGCGGCATTTGTTGCACTGGATGAACGATTTTGAGCTGGGGAAGCTGCTCGCTTACCGGGCAGCATCGGTGAGGAGCCTCGAGTAGGAGTGGCTTTACGTTCAGGTGTAGGTTTACGCATGGATGGAGATGATTTTGCTGTTTCTACTAAAGGAGATGAGCTGCCAGAATCAGACCTATAGAAAATTATAGTGAAATATTCTGGAATCATTTTCTATATAATTTATTTTATAAAATAATTTTGAAAATACAAGTTCAACAGACCGTGCCGGCATTTTGTCTTTAGTTCTTCTGTCTTTACTTCGGCTTCTCATTGGACCGTGACCTCCAGAAGCTGAGAAATTTTCAAATATGACAATTTTAACAATTCAGAGATGCTAGTTTAATGTGTAGGATGAATAGCTAGAGATTTAGAACGGGTTGGATCAGTTCTGCAATTTTTTAAGTGGCAAGTTAGGCTAGCTGGTCTGAAAACGTGCTATGAAAAATTACTATGTATGAAATATTTATTTTTGCTATTCAAAAAGAGGTGGGATTTCAGACCCTCAAATACCCCAAAAATCTTTTTCTGAGCAAAGATATTTGCAGGGCATACTATGGCTTTTCTCCTTACTACTTCGAATCCGTATGTGGCCATTGCCATGCTTGAACGAGTTGGTAATTAAAGTGATAAATAAAATTGTTATTTCAAAGACTGAATAACTTACTGTTGGATGATTGCGAAGCACTGTCATCCAAGTCATTAATTGCATTCCTAGAGCGCGCTAGAGAGGCCCGTGTGGGTGCAAGTAGACGCGGACTGATAGTGACTGGTTCTGTGAGCCCTGGTGTCGATATTGGCCGACCTAGGAAACAGAAAATGTGTCAAAGTGTTTGAAAAATTCAAATTTGTTACGCTTAGCTATTTTTGGTCGTATTTTGGATGGTGGATAGTTACTTTACAGTATTGATGATATTTTATTGAAATTACTGGTGTGTCAAAAAATCTATAACCAGCTACCAGCGTGTCTCTTCAACTCCTTCATCAGTGACTATTTGTGAAGACCTTTACACAAAAGGCCACTGATATATACGAAGTTACTATTCTTGAAACGGCCAAATCATTTTTATCTTCGTGGCACAGAATGTTGAATAAATCCCATTTACTATTTTATAGCTTTTCCAAGGCAATTAGTCACACATTGAATTTGGTTTAATTCTAAATTTCACGCTGATTTTGAATATTACATGAGTTCTGAATTCACTTATTGTCAATACTAAAATGGAAAAATACAGCAAATCGATTTTATATTTTTTCATGAAAGAAAGCCAGTATATAGATATATCATCAGTCATCTCCATAATGCAAGATACACACTAAAACTAGTGTTGGAAATACAGTAATAATGAACAAACTACATGAAAGGAAAGCTGAAATAAACAAAACAATTGTTCGAATTGACAAACAAAAATAAGGCTAAGATTGTTACAAAAACTAACACCGAAAATTAAACAACCCAGACAAAACTTACAAATCATCGATACAATCTCACCACAACAAAATTAAATAATGAGAAATTACAGCTAACTAATATTAGTACAAAAAAAATACAGGTACTAAATTCATAATGAAAAATAATAAAATCTGCTAAGACATGCCAGTAAAATGATCAAACATTTACTGATCAGAGTGTAAAAACTGCGAAGACGATCTCAAATGTAAAGAGTGTCGCAAAAGCAGGTTAACACAAATTAAATTTAAAAATTAACTTTCAAACCAAATTTTGAGACATCCTGTATTATGCCCAGATAAAAATACACCCTTGGCTAATTAAATCTTTAGCAAATTAAAAACTACTTCTATACCTACACTCTAACACCAGCTACAAGCAGAAGCAAAGCAGCTATATTTTTCAATGATGGAAATAAAGAGATAAAATAAAAATCATCAGAAACTAACATTAAAAATTTGAATCTGGATTAGAAAGATCTTCCTTGCAAACTCTCATTTTTTTTTGGTTTGAAATTTACATTATTTTGAGCCCATGGATGCCTAAACTCTATTGTAACGAAATATTTTACTGCTATTTTGAATCCTTTAATTCGGATTAATTATTTCGAAAATTATTATTTTGAGCAAGTCTCAATAGCATGACTAAAAGTGACGAAATTTTGAAATTTTCAAAATAAAAAGCCAATCCAATAAAATAACCATTTTTTGTAAAATTTGACATTTATCCATAGAGACTGCAAATCTAGCAAAAACAGTTTTTTTTTAGATTTTTCAAAATTGAAAGAACTTTCAACGCTGAATTCTGTACTCTGATTAAAGAATACTGTTTATATTGGTGCCCCGTGTTTATCACAGTGTTTCTATCAAAGGAATTCCCCCCCTTTTATGGCTCCTTCGAAGGCTTTCAGCACTGATGACCGCTGTTAATCTTTCAAGTGGTATTTATAATTTTACATTGTTTGGCTGATTTCAAATTCCATTATGTTCAAACAATTCCTGCTCAACAGGTGAAAACACCCAGTGAAATAACCTCATCAAGCAATGATTCTAGGAAGAACGGGAACTTTCCTTGTGAAATGAAATTGGTTCCTGATTGAGAACCGCGGTTCCATCACTACTGAGTACTGATGAAATAAACAACTTCCATTGTGTTGGACACTGTACTGAACAGGAACCCTAGAGGTTATTGAGAACCGCCTCGTAGTGTGTTATATATAATTTTTCTTTGGTTAGTAATGTGTTAATTACATAAATTTGGTGAAATATGAATGTCTGGTACTATAGTGAATCTTTTTTTCTAATTCTTCCTAAAAATGGTTTTTGAAATGATAAATCACTAAATTATGGAAAAAAATGAAAGTATAGGAAAGACTGAAAAACAAAATGATAGTTTTAGAATAATCGATTGAGAGGGATTAGAACTAATTACATGCACAACTGAGAGGGATGCCAACTAATATGTGCAGGGAACCTGCTGCAGTCGCTTTCTGGTTCTTCGCAAGTTGTTCACGAATTTTTGCAGTCGTTGTCAGGGTCACTTTAGGAGTGGGTGAACGACCCCTCATAATGGGGGCTTTGCTGGATGTTGGGGCTGGTTGCAAATGTGGGGTTTCATCTTTTTTTAAGGCAATATTCTCCACGCTTGAGGTCCTTGATGGTGGCCCTTTTACCGCTGGTTTTGGTCTTGCTCCAAGAGAATTAGAACGCCGTATACGTGGTGAATCTTCATTTTAAATTTATATAATGTAAGAACAGATAATGTTTTATGAATCATTTGAAAAGGCTACAAAAGTTGGCATATCTGTTGGTAACAAATGTTAAAGATCTCGGTTTACACCTGAGATAGGTAATCCTATGCTACTCATGACATTCATTGTGAGTCTAAAACTGTTTGCAATATCTATAGCCAGCCAAAGCCGCACTGTGAAACTACTGGCAGTCCTTGGCAAAAAAAATTGAGCGCTGCCAGAATTATATTCAGTTATAATTCACTCACATAGTAAGCAAGCACTAATCATGGCACAGAATGGCCACATTTACTTTCTATGCTACCAAACAAAAGCTTGCCCTGAGCAAAGCACAAAAAATTGGAACAGGCAGTTTAATAGGTTCCACTAAAAATAATTGGAAAATTGGACAATATTTGCATCATTCATACACTATGGGAAACAATTGCATAAACTGGGCCCTCTCCCTCATGTGGCGAACAGAGGCTTCCACAGGTACCAAGAGCAATGAAAGTTGAATTTGACTGTCATTTGTTTAATTCTTCGACTATCATGCATTTATTTTTTTGATTTCATTTGTTAAATTTGTTATTCTTCAAGATGACTTATGGTAATAACATTGAAAACAAACCAGGTTTCATATTGAAGAGCAAGGACCAAAAGAGTTGTCGATAATTTTAGAAAATGTTACTGATCATGAAAGTATTAGAACCACTGTTCTGGACTTACATGTCGTCAAAGTAAAGACCTGTGGCTCATGCTCTTCAAAAAATGCAAATGATTTATATTACATGCATAGCTTAGCGATTGTTTCTTAAACAAACCAAGCTTGCAACCACACTAATGCAATACATAGAGACATAACAGTAATTATACTCTAGGTAGCTCTGAAGCAGTATCAGAAATTATTGAACCAATTTTCTGACCTTACATGATAAGCACATACAAAATACTTTCTGCTGAAAGCGATAATTATTCAACTACAGAATCACAGAATTATATATAATTTGATTCGTTGGGATTCAATATACCTTGTTCAGTAGAAAATAATTCTGACAACACATCAACTGAAAGGTAACAGTTTAAATGTAACGTATGGAGGCATTTGATAAATACTTATAGAAGCCATAAGGTGGTTAAAAAGAGCCAAATCTCACATCCTAATTTAAACCTGCTTATCTTTGACTTTTTTTTTTAAACTTAAGACAGTATTTATCATTATACTGCTATAGCTATACTATACAGTTTTTCTAGGAAAGCTCCGAATGGACCTCTATTCTTCCGACACATATTAAAGAGGGTGACCAGGTTGATAAACATTGTTTCTCTTTTAGACACTAGTCAGTCAGTCAGTCGTTTATTTTTCACCAAAATGAAACATACACGTAATGCGAACAAAAATTAGAGAAAAACACAAAAAAAAGGCATTTCATGGTGAAGGGTGACGCGAAAAAACCAATGTTGGTTATCTAGCAGCGACACCTGTGATGAATGTCTAACTTTGATACAAGTAGAATAGAATAATAAGTGGACCTGTGGATAGTTTAGTACTTATGTTGTTCTTGTTGATATATTTTTTCTTCTTGTAATGAAGAAATCGCTTTTCTCATTCACTAATGGAAGTCAGGTGTACAAGCCTCATATCACATATCAAACCACACCTCTGCGAGACCAGTTGAAGCTATTTTAACTTGATACAATAGGCTACATATCAAGACTCTGCCGCATGAAATACCCATTATTAGAACTCTTCCAAAATTATTTAATATCTTTCATTCCATATTACATAGGGTGACCAAAAAAAAATAACCCATAGTTCCTAATACTTCTACGAAAAAGAGTTCAACACTCAAATTTCATTGTGTTTGCTTGTAAGTTGTAACTAAAAAGTACCAATAATCTAGGACGCTCTGCCTAAAAGTTCTGTTCTTTCTAGAATATGCTATGCTTGAAATTTCGTGTGTTCTGTTTTTTGAGTCACCCTGTACCTAAACCCTATATAACATTCAAATATTTTGTATGCAAGGGACCTTCTGAAATTATAGAGGACAGCCCTTTTGTGTGTGACACATATCCCTGACAAATAAGCAGCCAAACAAAACCTCTCATTATACTGCAATAGTTTGAATATGAACAATTCAATGCATTACAGGTTGTTATTAAAACTCTCACACAGAACACATTCTTTAGGATTAGGACAAAAGATTTACTACTCAACAAACAGCAGTTGCAAACAAAACTGTCGTTTAAACAACACACATTATTAAACAAAAACGGCTAAAAAGCTGAATAAGTTATTTAAATGTGAATACCTTTAGAACAGGGATGGCCAAAACTGAAAATGTTTAACTTTGAATACATTCCCAATATAATTGTTGTGACATGTAATATTATTCTAAACTTTGTCATTCAGAGAAAAATGTTAACAAATCTTTATAAACTTATAGGAATTGAATTTGATAATACAGAATGTTTAACATTGATTTGATTAATATTTACATTTTTTATAATGTAGGTAGTAAAAGTAATGGTTGTTCTAGGGCTGTTAAATGCCAAATATTCAAAATGACAATTATTTACTACAAAGTGTTCATAGAGTTTTAAATTTTTTTAAATTGCAAAGGGAATTCATCAATACTGTATATAGTTTGCTGGCCCATGTATATCGAATTAAGTAAAAATCTTAAATAAACACTAATAACAAAATCAAAATTGTAACAAAACCTTCTGGAGGAATAAAATAAAAAAGTTCATTGATGTTATGAAGTTAGTTCTTAATATATTTTGACTTCATAACAATATTGAAATCTTAATACGTCATTATGAACGAATAAAATAAAAAATCATTGAGCCATGTTACAAATTCAATTTTGTCAATAAGAAGTCAGTTCTCAACACATCTTAACCAGGTTTGATGTTTTATTTCAATTGGTATTTAGTTTTACACCTGTAGGGAAAACAACAAACTATATACGGTGGCAACAAAAGCCCTTGATTTGATTACTTTGAATGTATTTGCTCCATTTTGGGCATCCTTGCTCTAGCCTCGATATAGAAAAATATGTTCAATATCAAGTTTCTTTTTAAAACTGCAAATTCACACAAATTATAACTTACCGGGTGAGACTCCCCTCCCAGCCCCAGCATGGGGTTCATAAGATCTGAGACCCATAGCAAAGTTCATGTGGGTTGTGTTGATGAGCAGAGGGCTCTTAGAAAACCTGTCACTCTGTGGCTTGGAAGACGATGGTGATGCTGAAAGAAAAAAATTAAAGTTGTGAATTTGTTTTCAGGTGCAATAAATAGGATAGGGATGTCCTAAGAAAGAAGGCTGATAAGATGGTGCTCCAAGAGTATGTGTACCAATATGGAGGTAACTAATTTTGTTCGCCTACTTTACATCAAGTTGTGTAAAGGGACTGAAGCCTATGTGCAGGGGAATATTCACTTGGGTAACAAGGACGGTCTCCGAACTTGTAATAGAGCTAAAATAAGGAAAATTGGAATAAAATTGTGCCATAAGCCATAACCCTAAAACACATTACAGGAGTAACAATGAGACTGCAAAATCATATGACTAAACAAGGCTTTTGCCAGGCACACGGATGCTTAGCCATGAATGCACTCGGTGTTATTATGTTCTTATTTACATTTTGTGCAGTTGATTATCATCCTGAAATAACTGTGCTGTAACCTTAATTCCCACTTTTTAACTGGTCAATGCCAGCATAGCATAATGATCTTATGGGTAAAATCAATAAAAAATGACTTTCTGTGTATAAATTCTGCCATGAAATTATCGAATAGAACCAGGGCCAGTATATTGTGCAGACAGACCCTAGATCAGTATCACACTTGAGGATGTAATAAATTGGGAAAGCTATATATAACAGGAAAGATGATGTAAGTAATGTGACAACATAAGCATATCTTGGCCTGAGTAATGGCTTGAAACGCAGCACCAAATAAATAATAACCAATCATATAGGCCAACTGTTCCCGAGGAGGTGCCGGCCTAGTGATTTGTCGAGTACGCCCTGAAAATTACCAGAATTGGGTCGAACATAACTAATATAGGATTGAATAATTGAAAAGATGTGTTCAGAGCAGCAGCCGGAAACCTCTCATTAGATAAATATTTGGGAATGTTATGATGTTATGTTGACATTGCCTTCATTCTTTAGACTTACATATTTACACACTTTAAAAGGGACTCCTGCAGTGTATGTACCAGGTTAGCGTTAGGCCATAATTTTATTCCGATTCTCCATATTTTAGCTCTTATTATGAGTACGAGAACTGTCTGTGTTAGCCAAGTGAATACACCCCCTACCCATAGGCTACCGTCCCTTCACACAACTTCATGTGAAGTAGGCGAATAAAATTAGTTAACTCCATATTGGTACACATACTTCTGGAGCGTCCTTCAAAAAGCATAAAATACACATTAACGATCACAAAATTGAGTTTTATTTGACGAGTTTTATTTGACGTAATTTCGTTTTCGTTTAGGTGTGCCTTGAGTTTTTTCCCTAATGAAAATAAATTTTGGGAAACGCTGACATAAGCAATAGGCTTTTAATTATCACAAGAGGAAATAAAAACAACTCACCGAGATTGGTCATTGAACCGGTCTTCATCTGATCAGTGGCATTGTCATCTGCAAGTAATAAGAACAATTATGTCAAATACATGTTTTACTCTACTTTAAACAATATTTCATCTTATAACAAACTACTTGAGATAAGTTTACTGATACATTATGATATTTTTTTAAAAATGCTAATAGTATAGGCAGTAACATATTAGCAAATAAATTTTGTGAACTGCAATGAGGCATCATCCTTGTGTGACGCTGCTCAAGAAGTCAGCTTTGGCTCCCTGTAACTTCCCTTTCCTAATAAACTGTGTGCCTACTTTTTCTCAGAATTAATATACAATTGATATTTGATGGTTAGGAAAAATTATACTTGGCTTGGGTTATTAAATGAAACATTTATTTACAGTAATCAAACAGCATAAATTATGATAAAAAAAGCCTCCGTACATGATAAATGCATTTTGGTCACATACTTTAACCCTGTAATACCCAAAATCTTGAGTTGTTGCGATTCCTGGAATTCTCACTTACAATATTTTAAGCTTATCTTTTAAGCAGGGAAATTGATGCAATGAAATATTGTAAAATTTGACATAATAATAATTCCATTTCAAAAACTGCAATGTTATGAAAAAAAACGGTCTTTTTGGAACCAAATGCTGTGAAGATGTCGAGCTCACAGCATTCCAAAACAAATGCCTTCAACATATTAGCTCATGTTATCATATAACCACACAAACCATAATCAGACAAGCTTAACATCTGCCTGTGGTTACAGATATACATTTCAGTTATTGTGCAGAGCAAAATTCTCAAAGTTTGGCACAAATTTTAGTTTTTCAAACTAGAAATAAATCATGGCTTAACTCTACGGCAGCGCTACTCCACTATTTTCACCAAAGGTCGTTCACGGTCGTGGCTCAACGGGCTAAGCGTTAGGAATACGCTCGCCACCGTACCTCTAATTACTCTGCGTGGGTTCGCAGGTTCGAATCCCATGCAGGGATGATTATGTGCGAGAGGATTGCTGGACTCCTCGCCGTCATTGGGTGGTTCACGTAACCGCTGGTCGGTTACGGCTTCCTCCATCACCAAGTCCATGCTTCCAAAAAAACAAACAATACAGTAAAAAAGTAATCTCATACCCGACTTGGAATGGTAACCGGACGAGAGGCCGTGGTTCGCCATATGGATAAGCCGTCATATCGGCTTTCCTCTCCCCCGGGATAAATATGTAAATCCTATCCTATCCTATCCACAAAATTTGAAAATTACCACGGTCCGGTCATTCTAAAATAATTTATTTTAAGTATGCAAACAAAATTTCAAATGCATCAATTGGCAAAATACAAGAGCAATGCGTAATATCATCTCCGGTGCCGGTATGACAACGCTTCAGTTGTGTAACTTCGCAACAAAATCAACAAAAAAGAAACCACAGCAATCTTACCAAAGAATCTGCCAAGTTGTGAAACATCAAAATGACTCGCATGCATTGACCTGGGACGTTGCTGTGCCTTCCCTGAGTGTTAGTAATCAGTCAAAAGTTTATTTCGGGCCATGATCGAAGACACAAAATTTGAAATTTTGGAAAATTTTAGGAAAAAAATATTTTTTTTAGAAATAATTTTTGTTATTACTGTTAATAAGCAAGGCCGTATCTTCTCACAATTTTCTCACAGTTCTTATTATATCTTAACCAGGTTTGTTTTATTTTAATCAGTGTTCATTTGAATTATTTTATTTATTTATTTATATACCATTTTATACGCACATTATTAGTTGCACCAAGGACATTTTTTTTATTATTTACATACCTAATCTAATACAGGACTTTATGACAACCTCATATTATTTTTTATTTCTCAAAATTTTTTCTTTTTATAACCGAAATATTCAAAATTTAAAATTGGTCGCCGATCAGAATCTAAATTCCTAGTTACTATGGCAACATTGTGAGAGTGGACCACGAATAAAGTTTTGACTGATTATGTTGGTTAATTTCAATGTTTCTGGGTTAAAACAAAAGCAAACGTGTTAAAATAAATGTGAACATTCCAAATAAAAGATAAAACTGTGAGATTGGGAATCAAGTCAGAACTGAGACCGTGAGTTCAATTTTAAGTTTTTCATGCACACTTTATGAAGGACACCAATGAAATTGATTTAAACCAAATTAAAATTCAACAAATAATATGCTAACATCACTCCAAAGGAATGTAATTTTCGTAAAATTTTCTTACATTGGAAGGTATATTGAAGAGACACTACGAGTCCTAAAGTTGTAATTCATTTAGAAGGGGCAAAATTAAAAGAGTGTAAAAGAGTTACTCAAAATGGGCAGAAATCAAATAAACTAATATTTAAGAGTTCAATTGAAACTTTACTCTTGTTAACTTCCTACTTTGGATCCGTGAGTGGCAATTGTAGCAAGGATGTTTGAACGAGATACAGGGGCATAACCAGGAAAAGGGGGGATTCTGAAATTCCTAATCGCTAAGTTAGACCATGACAGTTAGTGGGTCTGGTCTAGTCAAGTCTTGAGGGTCTAAAAGGGCCTACTTGTCTGACTTTCATCCAAATCACAGTTTTCTCAAAATAAGAATAAATAAAATCAAAAATGCATAATGCAAAAATGATAAGATCATGCATAATCATCAATCATTTCATTAAATCCAAAGCAAAACATGCAATGCTATTATTCTGGGAAGCAGATTTGATTAATCTCCTCTTAATATGACATCATAAATCATAAAAACGAGGCAAATTAAGACAACACAATACAGTAAATGATGTTTCGAAACAGATTCATCATAAATTACCCAAAAATTAAATTTTGCCAAAATTTTGCACGAGTTAACGAAATACTATTACAATTTAGCTATTGGTAAATTGTTTTTTCAAATTAACATCTTGGGAGACAAAACATAAACCGAACAAAATTAGGCAGAATTAGCCATTCTTGTTTACCAGCAGATGATGGAGTCCTTTTTGTCATCCGTGTTGCATCGAAATAGTGGAATGGCGAAGGGGAATCCCCTCTTCCACCTCCTCCTCCCCCACCCCCACCAACACCTCCTTGTGATAAAAAATGAAATTTTAGTGACAAAATCAAAACAAGCAAATCAGTTTGTGTTAGTGGAGCATACAGTAATAAGATTGATCAAACTTATATGAATTTTTTTTAACCACATCGCCTATTTACTTATTTCGCTCCAAGCGAGGTTCTATACAAGCAACTACTGATATCTCACGATATGTAAGGTGTTGGTTGTTGCGTAGCTTACAATCTGAAAAAGTTTCGATTCAGAGATCCTTTCATTTTTGTTTTGTCTTGGCAAAGCCATTCGCATTTTTATACCACACTTGATTAATCACGTCTTTTGTTCCCTGTACAACCAGCCAATGATATTTAATAATATGCAAGGAGTTGGAACTATTTAGAAAAACCGGAATCTCCCTAGTTCAGCATTGCCTGACCAATTTATTACATACTGATAAGCTGATGGGTATGGTTTCTGGATTTGAGATTTCACCAAATTTGACAAAATGAATAATAAAAAAAGTTCCAAAAGATTTGAGAATACTCTGAACAAATTGATCTGGCGAAAAGTACAATAGTCGGATCCAATACACCAACTCATGGTATTATGAACAATTTGGTGAATATTCAACATTGAAATTAGCCAAAATAATTAAGCAATATAGAGGGTTTGAGGCCAATCGTGCGGTAACCGTGGCCAACCAAGCAAAGTTCGCAACGCATTAAACATTTGCTGATTATATGTCTGAATAGAATTTCCCATTGAAACTTTCAAACATTTTTGATTGGCGACATTAGCTTGGAGTTACTAGGCAAGGTTTCATCAATCTTATTTTTCATGATCACCAATAAAAGCACACACCAGGCATGTTATCACTCGCACATAAGAAGCATTATTACATGTGGGCACAAAATTCTGCAAAATATATATAAATTACGGCTTCACTTATAAATCACGGTGCTATCACCATGCATGTTATTACTCTTAAATAAGAAGCATTATGAAGCAAATAACTGTGGTTATACGTCCCTAAAAATTCGGGGTTGCGCAATACCACCTCTGTGCAATTCTGATAGTGGTTAATATGTATATGGACACTGTATGTGATTCGAGGGCCTCGTTGCACACTGGCGCGAATGTAGATTTTGTCCGACCAATGTCAGACTTCATCAGACAAGCCAGACATCTGCCTGTTATCCATTTTAGTTAGTGTGCAGAGAAAGATTCTTAGAGGGCGTAAATTTTGGTTTACACAAACTAAATATGAATCACAGCTTAACTCTATGGTACTAAGCACTCTCTTGAAAATTCAAAATTGTGTAATAAAAAAATGGGTGACTGTTATAAATTTAAAATGCTTAAGCAACACGAGATCAGAATTTTTTTATTCGACGACCAATTAGTTGGACGTTAAAAAAAGATAATTCGGCATTATATTTTATTTAAAATTGTATTATTGAATCTACTGAAAAGTCGATTATCGATCCGATTATCTTATTATTTTTAATTTCTGAAAAACCTGATTCGATTATTTGTATCGAATTTTACATCAAATTCAAATGCCTATTACCTATATTTAATTTAATATAATTTGATATTATAAAAAAGGGGAAAAATTCCAAAGTAAAATGAAGAATCCCAATCATTTTTTTTTTTGTAAAAAAGTTGTATCACAATTTTAAATCCCACACAAAATTTCTGATTATTTTATTGTTCGAAATTTTTGAAAAATCCGATTTCTATTTCACAAGGACTTCAAATACCTCCCACTTTTCCCTAATCTAATAGGCTGGCATATGGCTGATTGATCAAACCATGTAGGAAATAGATAATCCTATTTAATTACATATGTTCAAAGATCAATGTCTTTATGGAAGAGAGGTTTTGGAAAATCATAGTTATTTATGAATTACCAGTTATGGCTTTGTACTGAGCAAAATTTGGCCTTAATTTTCTAAGCATTTCTTAGTATTTGTCTTATTTAATAATAAAATGGAAATTTGCTCAAAGCACTAACTCAATAATAAAGGATTTTGATCCCTGAGTAAAGTTATGGGCGTCCACCAAAATACCAAAAGCTACCTAGACTATAAAGAATTCTAGTGTAAATTTAAAGACATAGAAAAAACATTTTAAAAATAAATTACCATGAATGAAAGTTTATTTCAATTTAAATGCCAAATCACACATATTCTTAAATTTAATCCTCCCCTTCTTTCCCAACTGATATATAGATATCATTCCGTTAACCACAACCCTCATTGATTGATTAATAAGTGGTACTCCCATAGTATGTGTAACAGGTTACGGCTGTTTGAGTTTGGGGACTGTCTGTGTTAGCCAAGTGAATATACCCCCTTCCAATAGGTTTCCGTCCCTTTACACAACTTGATGTAAAGTGGGCGAACAAAATAAGTTCCCTCCATTTTGGTACACACACCTCTAGAGCGCTGATTAGTGAGTTAGCAAGTTCAAGCACTATTAGTTATCACACCACTATGTATTAAGGGCAATAATATCTCAACAGAACAGTAAACACCAATCAATTAGCAATCAGAACCAATTTAATATTTCTAGGTCATTCAAAAGTCTTGTTTCACACAAACACTAATAGATTTCTGTAATATTTTGTCAGCCAAACCAAATGATTTATCGTTAATGTCTCATGCCTTTTTCTACAATAAGCTATTTGGAATATGCAAATTATAACTTTGTTTTCTTAATATTGTTTAAATTTGATTCTCCACATGCCTGGCTTTGGTGGAATCATGACTGGCGTTATTCTAGGTCGAGCATACATTGATATGATTTGAAATTTTTGTGCTCTCGTAGTATGTGAACCAAGATGGCGGACACCTGAATATAGTATGTGTGCCAGGTTAGAGTTAGGCCATAATTTTATACCAATTTTCCTTATTTTAGTTCAATAATGAGTTCTGGGACTAGCCAAGTGACTCCCGTAGTATTTGTACCTGAAATTATGGCCCAACCATAACCTGGTACTATGTTCAGGTGTCTGCCATCTTGATTCACATACTACGGGAGTACCGGAATTCTATCAATTTAGCCTGGGAAACAATGATAAAAATAGCAGCACTAGTATTTAAAATGTTAAGGGCAGAACAAAAATGATATAATTCCGATCTCCCACACTTTAATTATCTCAGCTAATGGGGAATTTATAATTTATAATGGTACTAAAGCAGACCAGCAGAGACTAACTCCCAATCCTTCCTCAATGCCTCTCTGTGCTAGTCAATCCGTATGCATATATAGCAAGGATGCTGTAGCAGGAATAAACATGACTTCACCATGCAATCCAAGAGTTCTGCTGATATTTGTGTTAGTGTGCAGCAGGACTCTTGAATTGCATTGTATGGTCACGTTTATTCCTGCTACAACATCCTTGCATTATACGCATTCGGATCCACTAGCGCAAAGGGATTAAGAAAGGATTGGGAGTTAGTCTTGTGGTACTCCTGAAGTATGTGAACCAAGATGTCGGACATGGAATGTTGTAGTATGTGTATCAGGTTAGAGTTGGGGCATAATTTTATTCCAATTTTCCTTATTTTAGTTCCATTACGAGTTCGGGACTAGCCAAATGACTCCCGTAGTATTTGTACCTGAAATTATGACCTAACCATATCCTGGTACACATACTACGTTCCGGTGTCCCCCATCTTGGTTCACATACTACGAGATTACCGTCTCATGTAACCTTTACTGATAGTTATAGTGCAGCAGGACTATAGAATATTAATTTCAACCCTACCAAATTATATAATTAGGTTTGAACTTTGAACTCTATGATTTGTAAAAAATTCAAGCAAAGTGAAGCCAAATCTACAAGATCATACCTCCTCCCCACGACCATCTTTTATTTCCTCTGTCTGACGAAGAACTTCGTTTATGTCTCATTTTCACTTCATAAACATGTTCAGTTTTTGCGATCTTTGCTTCCGCTTTTTTCTGCCAAAGTAAGAAACATTATAAGAAAAAAATGCAAATTTAATTGGCTTGTACACTTCACTTGTGAATGTGTTATAGGCAGAGATGTACTCAACTAAACGTATTTGAATATACACAACTATTTATATTTGATAAGGTTAATTCCTGAAAAAACTTGGAATATTTTTATCAAGAAAGACATGCTTCTGCACAATTGAAATTTATTATTCAGACCAATCCAGTTGTTATCACTAGATTTCTGAAGGAGATAGAGTTATTTAGCAAGATTTTTAAGTGTAAAATGTTAAAGCAAAAGCTAAAAACTCAAACACGATATTTTTTCATTTTCAAACTTGACCATTTGAGAAGTTTAAATAAACCAGAGATTCTCAGATTATTATTAATAGGAAAGGGTTTTGTGAGGGTCCGTTCAAGGCAAGATTAGTTGCACTCCCTCAAAACTAAGGGAGACTCATCTTTGAGCAAAGTTATGACTGAAATTTCAAACGGCGATGCATTAGGCACCATTGAATATAAATTGGAGCAAGCCTTAAATATTCTGCCAAAACGAATACAGTAAGAAGATGCAGAAGCTGAATAGTACAGAAAATTTTTTCGGATTGCTGTATTAAAATGACAGTACTCCCGCAGTATTTGCAACAAGATGGGGGACACTAGAACGTAGTACGTGTATCAGGTTAGGGTTAGGCCATAATTTCAGGTACAAGTACTACGGGAGTCACTTAGCTAGTCACCGAACTCGTAATAGAACTAAAATAAGGAAAATTAGAATAAAATTATGGCCTCATCCTAACCTGGTACTGTGGTACACATACTATGTTCAGGATTTTTGTCTATCTTGGTACGCATACTTCGGGAGCGTCAAAAAGACTGCCAAAATCATTTTCACACAGTTTTAAAAGAAAGCATGATCTTGGAATAGCCCAATCTCCAAAATCACATTCTGGAGGCTAGCTGCCCTACTAGATGGTTGTTTGACGTGATAAAAAGAATTTTAGAACAGCAAAGGAAGCGATCCGATATTTCTTGAAAAAAAGTCAAGATACCTTATCCTCGTCCAATTGTTGTTTCTTTCTCATCTCTACCTCCCTCCTGTGTTGGTCATCTTTCATTTTATTTTCTTCGATCTTCCTTCTCTTTTCTTCTTGTCCCTGCAACCACTTCATGTGTGCTTGGTTTTCACGATCACGACGCAATTTTAAATCCAATTCTGGTTTGAAATACAATGAAATACAAGTTAAACACACAAAATTTCAAAATGTATTTTTTTTTATCACAGTGTGTGTTGTATGTTAGTTTTGATCAGTGTTAGCAAACAAATTTAAATAAAAAAAAAATAACCAAACTATGAATTACATAATATGGATAATACAAATACATAATAAAAAGACAAAATGGCTTTTTCACAAAGAGATTTGCTGAAAGAAAAGTTGAACAGATTTGAATACTGGATGAAGCCGGAACCGACCAGTTACATGACCCAACCTGCGACGGCGAGGATATAACAATCTTCTCGCACATAGTTACCCGCACGGTGTTCAAGCATGTGAACCCGGGCTGAGTAATGATCAGAGGTGCGCATTCACTCAAAAGATAGGAGATTGATCTCTGAGCAAAGGTACAGGCGACCAGTAAAGTGCCAAGAGCTACCGGGACTATAACAAGTTATAGAATAGATTTGCCTGTTAGTAAACATATGGCTCATTAAAGCAGTTCTTCATAAAACAATTTATGGTTGGCCTGTGGCCATTTTCTCTCAGTTTTGCAAGTCAAAGTCAGAAACAAATTATCTTGAATAAAAAGTTAGAAAGTTTACTTGCTTTTTGAATAGCTCGGAATAAAACAGTTGGATCTCCTAATTTTGGGGGTTTAATAAAATTTTACTTGACAATAAAGTACCAATGTTGGATTAGCAAACACTGCAGTAATACATCCTTCCAGATATATATGAAATGTACACATGCTCACATGCCATTATCAATATTTATATTATGTAAGATGCACCATGACCAAATCCTGTATTTTTTTAGTGGGACACTTGGAAACTTTAAGACTTGTTGCATAGTTTATTAACATCAGCCTTGACAGAAGTTGTAGCAACCCTTAAAAACTGACTGGTCACACATTATGTATTTTATGTACTTTATTTTATTTATGTATTTTATCATGTATTATGTACCCATGCAAGCAGTTTTTTAAAATACGAACTGTCAAATTGGTATCGATTTCATGCCTGATGGGGAAAAATCAGATTGTTGAGAAGGGCCACACAAAATGGCTTGGCGGGCCGAGTTATGGCCCGCCTGTTGCACACCCCTGCTGTACGATATAAATGACCTGGGTTCTAGTTTTTGTGTCACCCTTCATTTAAATACATCTTATGCCATGCAAGTTATCTATATTACAGATAACAGTCATCAATTAATGTAAATTAAATAAATAACAGAATCCGCACTCTATGGGTTCACAATAATGATGCACAGATTTTGTGTCAATGGAAAAAATATTCATTTGAAGAGTTTTTCCATGTATATTGATAAAGAGTTTATTATTCATGAATTTTCTCAAATTCACAATTGCGTTTGATTTAAAAAGTGAATGAAATTTGACGATGAAACTCAAGCCTAGAGACCAGAAAAGTGATAAAAAACGTCATGGAGTAGGTAAAAAAAAGGGTACTCCTGTAGTATGCGAACCAATATGGCAGACACCAGAACGTAGTATGTGTACCAGGTTACGGTTAGGCCATAATTTCAGTTACAAGTACTACGGGAGTCACTTGGCTAGTACCCGAACTCGAAAGAGAACTAAAATAAAGAAAATTGGAATAAAATTTTGGCCTAACCTTAACCTGATACACATACAATGTTCCGGTGTCCGCCATCTTGGTTCGCATAATACGGGAGTACCGAAAAATATACATATCAAATAACTGCGTACGTCTAGCCTACACAGACATAAACATGATATGAAATACCCTTATATATCCGTTCACTTCACTACTTTATTTCTCATAAGTACAAGAGTTGCTATTTACTAAACATCACAATCCCATAGTATATAAAGACCTAAATGAGATCATATTCAAACTAATTTTCATGTCTAGTAGGGCATTTTCAATTCCGTAACCAAACATTGACGTTTTTAACTACTCTGCACCGCGCGAATAAAGTTTTTTTAACACAATTTTAGCTAGAGTACAGGAAGGATAATTAGTTACAAAACTTTGTGTTCCCGAAATATGTGAACCAAGATGGCGGACACCTGAACATAGTAGGTGTACCAGGTAAGGGTTGGACCATAATTTCATTTCAATTTTCCTTATTTTAGTTCTATTACGAGTTAGGGGAATAGCCAAATGACTCCCATAGTATTTGGACCTGAAATTATGGCCTAACCCTAACCTGGTACACATACTACAGGAGTACCTGAAAACTTCTGTAGGCACAGTCTTGCACCCTAATACTTTACACTTTTATTGAAACTGTGTCATTGTTTCAAACGCACAGGCTGAAACTATAATTCATTTGGTACAGGCCTAATAACCTTAGGACTCCCTGACACCGCTCAGTCGGTATTATTATCCTGCATACATAATAAGCAAACAGTGCATTAGCAATCCACACACTGAGTAAATTTGTAAGTAAGTTTACATTTCATTTTTAATCTTGTATCTCTTTTTTGATGTTTACCACCACTACTCCAGAAGAAACTTGCATCAAATATTCACCTAGACATAAGTGGCTGATTGATTAGGAGAACAAATATAGCGTAACATACCCCATCTAAGTTTTCAAACCTTTAAAACAATAAAGAGTTTCGGACCAAAATAAAATTGTTCAAGCCCTACCCAAGAATTCTGCCAGATGGCAGCGACAAAAATAAGCTAGAAATTGCTGTTTTGTATAGAAATATTACCCATAGAACCGGTAGTGTCAACTAACTAACTAAGTGTTTCATCTGACCTACTCGTGTCTGCTAGAATTACACTATAGTTTTTATAGATCTAAACTTTCGTTCGAAATATAAATGAAAATAACGTCAAAATGACAGTGATTGTTACATTGTTTATCTTTATTATTATGTAAACATTAATCCAGATGCAGGAATAACTGTTGTAAATACCCTGTTTTTTATTCATAGTTTATCATATTAAGTTTTGAGCCTGCGGCCCAGTAACCAAGTCTATTATCTGTAACAGGCCCACTCAGAAAAGTTATTGCCCACTCCTGGCTTACCTGACACCGGTATCATTATTCTGTGCACAAAATAACCAAACAGTGCATTAGCAATTGTCACACTGAGTAAATTTGCAGTCTTGTACAATGGATCAATACACAATACACACAGGACTAATGTTTGTTAGCATTTCTCAATATTACCCAACAACGTATCTTGTTCAATCTATAATCAATATTACTTTATTGAGCACTTTGCTGAATAACTTTTATAAATTATTATTTAGCCAAGATGTCTGAGTTTATCCCACAATATAGTGGGCGAGAAAAAAATATTTTCCAGTATGAACAGAATTAGGAAAGTAACCCAAACTAACAAATTATTAAGTTTTTTAGCGTCCGGCTGTAACTTCGTTCAGAGATGAATCTCGCTTTATTTTGGGTAAGTTCATTCATACAAGTTGTTGTTTATTGAACGAAACAAACATACGACTGGCCCAAACGGCGCTCCAGAAGTATATGGAGGTAACTAATTTTGTTCCCCGACTTTACATCAAGTTGTGTAAAGGGACGGTAGCCTATGAGCAGGAGGTATATTCACTTGGCTACAGACAGTCCCCGACTCGTAATAGAACTAAAACAAGAAAAACCTGAATAAAATTATGGCCTAACCCTAACCAGGTACACATACTATGGGAGTAGCGCCCAGTCATTTTCAAACTTTCACGATCAGTGATTAAATACAAATCCTTTGTCACTTGATAACTAGCTTTGGTATACCACGACTTCAATTACCTAGTAAAGTGGGAATCTCTTATAATTTTGTTTTGTTTGCAATCTTTTTTACTATCTTGAAAAATTAACATGGCTTGCTAAGAAACTAAAAATACACATGCGCACTCAACTTTATTCAAATTCAACTTTGCTGAAAACTGATATTCTCTAATTTTCAAATTTTAACTAGATATGAGAATTATTTACAGTAGGGGTTCTCAACCTTTTTCTTATTAAGTATCCCTGAGTCATGAAACAATCAACCCGTACCCCCAGTAAAAAGACACCAAGAAAAGTTGTAATATAATGACTGACAACAATTCTTAAAATCTCTCTCTTAATAAGTTTCAATTAGCCTATCAATTTTTGCTTGCAGCACATTGTCTTTTGAGATTTCACAGTTTGGCTGCAAAGCTTTCATTCAGCACGCATTTACCTCTGGTAGTAAAGGATATTAAAAATAGCAACACATGAAAAATCAACTGCCATCCAAGTTAGCATATCAATTTCTGCTTGCAGCACATTGTCTTTTGAGATTTCACAGTTTAGCTGCAAAGCTTTCATTCTGCACGCATTTACCTCTGGTAGTAAAGGATATTAAAAATAGCAACACATGAAAAATCAACTGCCATCCGAGTACCCCTGGAAATCTTCCTGTGAACCCCTGATTTACAGCAGGATAACCAGCTTTTGTTTCCCATGGCTGCCTAATACAACTGTGTGTGTTCAATTTTTTCCCACAATTTGACCATGGAATTAATATTTAACAAGCAATATCATATCTAATAAATTAAGCATAAATCCAATTCCAAATTAGTGAAATCTTATCTATGGATTTCCTTTTATAAACTACATAACTGTCATTTTTTGTGGGCGGACTTGAAACCCTCAGGAATACCGAATTAATAGTCAGTTTATGAATATAAATGAAAAATCTCGAAGCAAATTCGATCCTAATGAAAACCGATATCATGGTATCCAATTTATACAACTACATATCAGTACTATTTTAGGACAAACTAGAAGCCTTGCTTTGGGAATAAAGTTATATAAATTACCAGTATTGCCATACTTGCTGGAAGCCAGTTTTATGTGCCGTATATTCACATATAAAAAAGATTTGTCTCTGAAAAATGATATGGGTAACCACAAGAGCAACTTGCATTGTTGATACAACAGAAATAATTTTAATAACGTTTTTCAAGTACTTTTAAAGACTCTCCAGATTTGAATTAGTTTGCTACAGACAAAAGTAATA